TCAATTTCGGCAGATAAACGCTTAAATTTTAAGCATATCAATATTCGCGAAAATAAAGTGAAAATCTCGGTGATCACCATAACTTTGGATCATTTGGATCCGCTCTAAAGTGTAGGGCCTGAAATATAATGGAACAGCCAATGAAGAAACACGGCAGTTATCTCGCCGCTACGCACAGAAATCGATAACACGCTCCTGTATGACTGGGCATCTTCTATTACGCCTCCAAAATTATTTCCGATGTTTAAGCCCTGGACACGTGTGCATGACCGTCTTTTCAGGAACAAGTACTTGAAATGTCTCGGATTAATGTTGTTTCATATTTGGATAATAATGTTTTCCCCAAACGCAATTCAACCATCATTACGAATCCAGAATTGCTAGCGTGTGTCATAACGACGGTTGAAACATTAATTAGAGTGGACTGAGTCTATTTTGGTCTCGATTGACCTTTACGTATGCTAGATTATCGGTTTTCCTGCTTGTAATCCACATCGGGCAAATTACAATTCCTCTCTGGTCGAGATCCAACGAATAGAATAGGATTGGCAGCCACCAACTGATTTTGCATTCCCAACTCAGACAAAAGTTCATTACGCACATATTATATTTACCACCTTGTGGGTTTATATCTGATCAAATAAAAATTTAGCTTAGGGGTGTGGTTATGATGATGTTGATCAAAATCTTCACATCTACTACTTCATGCTTTTGTCATGGTTAAAAAGGCAATGCAATGACTCCTGTGAAATCTGAACTTATCTTGGGAAACTAATAATTATTTTTAAGAAAAACTTTTATACAAATTAATCTAAAGTTACTGTCCCTAAGTAAAACTAAATATTTCAACAAAAAAAAATGCTTAATATATGGATTATTTCTTATGTGCAAGATTTTTTTATGGAAATTTAATACTCGTTCGTCTTTGTAATACAGCCCCTTGTATTTTATTTGACCTTCCAATAGACCAACTAACCGTTGTTTCAAGGCCCCCTAACAACTGGCAACTGCTTAACTTTTAACCCAGCAAAATTAGAGACACGAGACAAATAAAGATAAGATTAAGACATACACGATTTTAATTTTCTTACTTTGTATCATTGTTGACACGGGGATAAGAGCGCCAACCTAAGAGAATTTTGCCGCCCTTACTAATTTTAGTTTTTTTCTTTTGTATATAACTTATTAATGGGTAAACATCCCAGCGGATTAAGAAGTTAGGTATTTGTGAATCAGATGAGTTTATATAATACAAAAATATAAAAAGTATACATCAATATGCCGCAAATATTGATTCTAACAAAATATTATATAATATAAATAAAATTCCCTTAGTATATTCTCTGAATTGGCCTAGCCGTTAAAGAAACTATTTTTTATTGTCAATAATTTGGATAAACACGGCAATAAAAAGTGTTATTTATTTTACAAATAATCCAGACAAAATAAAATATATAATACTAGCCTATAAAAACAAACTGCCTAAAACTAGGAAAGAGGAATCAAAATAATGGATTTCATCAATTGAAGTTGCGTTTAGCTTTAAACTTAGTCAATGACTGTGTCTACTAACAACCAATTAGATAATTTATAGCGGAACCCTTTAGATGTTATAATATTTTTCATTTCAGCAGGAATTATGTTATATAATTTATTTACAACTTATAGACATATTCGCTGCCCTATCCTATTCTTTGCAAATGGTTATGTTAAGTTTTGAATCATAGTTATTTTATAGTATAGTTGTCGAATAGTTAATACTTTGCAATACTCAAAAAGCTGATCTGAGGGATACTGTCGGTCAAGTTGAAATATAACTTTCAGGACTCTTTTCTGAATAACCTCTAATGGTTTGAGATTACTTTTATATGCACCGCCCCAGCCGATAATGCCGTATAGTAAAAGTGACAGGACCAACGCAAAGTATATTTTATTGAAAGAGTTTGTCTGGTTTGCTTAAAAATATATACTAGAGATCTGATTTTTTTAATTAATGTTTGAGTATGAATATCCCATTTCAGGTGGCCGTCCAAGAGTATGCCCAAGAGATTTGACACTTTTAACACTCCACATTGTTACCTGGTAATGTGAAGGTGTTACTAGAAAAAGGTACGCAAGAGGCTATATTATTATAGGCATACTAGTCCCGCCCACAGCAGGCAGCAGGAGGCAGGAACTTGTTCCAAATGTCCGGGGCGGTCTTAATGCTAGAGCAGGCGCTGCTGCAAACTACTGAGTTGAACAACGTTCAAAAACTTGAGCCCGTTGGATACAGACAGATGCGAGAAAGATATGGTCAAAGAATTTTTGAGCAACTGGGTGTTTTTAGTAGTTAGTTTGTCTTTTCACAGAAACAATAAAAATAAGCTTGTGATTGTGATAGTCTTGCTATTCCTGTTATTCTTCTTTCTTTGATATAAACCAGAGCCGTATCATTCAAAGTCTTGTTTTCTTATGAGTATCGCCACAATGCATAATAACATAATCCAACAAAGCTTTGATATAAATAATAATAAATAAAAAAATAAAAGTAAAAGAAAATGCAATAAGTACGACGATTGTGACTGAACTTCCCGCGATTTAACAATGACGCATTATTTTAAGTCACCCAAAAATTAAATGCGCAGTCGTCCAACACCCCCGCCTTTAGGTAGCGTTTATTTGGACAGAGTTGTAGAAGGGTATAGCATGGCGAAAGAAAAACATCTTGGGATTCATTTTTCTAAAAGTCCAATTTAATTAAAACAAAAAAGAAATACTTTTTAATGTTTTCCAAAATATGTCTGTTGATGCAGTGCAATCTCATGTTCACAGCTATAAAACTAGGAAAACATTTATTAGATCTATTCTACTTCCAAGATATGAATAAATAATAATAATAAAGGGGTATAATAAAGTTCCTGAAAGGTATAAAAATACGCACAGCATTAGTTGTGAAAATATGCTTGCACCTCATGTGACGTAACTCCAAAAAGAATTTATTAGTTGTTGAAATATATTAATTAATTATTAATAAAGTTATAGTAAATTCGAATAAATAAATAACCAATAAAAAACTGTAAGAAATAGAGGTTAGTGAAGGTGGACCCTTGAAGCAAATAATGAATAAGCAGTCTTAGGTGCTGAGGAAAATGTGATTGCGTTGCATTTTTTGAATTTTCTTCAATTTCTCATGTAGACTGGGCTCATTAAGAAAACTGTTTACAGAAACCTACTATACTATATACAAAGTGTTATAATGATGTGTCGGCAATTTATTGTTGTCAAATACCAATGTTAAACAACGGTCTTTTTGGTAAACAATTTTTGAAACAAAGAAAAGTTGGCTCATTTCTGTGCTACAATTAGTGCAGCAATTAACGCAGTATTAACAGTATCTTATCCTTATAGTTCAGGTAGACGAGATTAAGGTTGAACAACTACCAAGCGGTCAAGAAAAAATCATCATGGAATGACATAATTATCTTATTTTAATAAACTGTAATAAGCGTTTTAATTCTTTACAATCGTTAATACTTGTTAAGGCATTGGTGCCAGTTTTTTAAACTGCTTTGATTTCTGCAATAAACCGTTAAAAAAATAAGATGTATTGTATAGGTACACAGCTTCAGAGGCTAGAAATAAGTTTTAAATGTGACCAAATATGTATTGCAAAAAATATCAATGCATTCGAAAATTTAATATAAACTTTGAATTATTTTTTTTTATTTTCTAAAATTCATGGCAAAGTGGAAAGTGAAATAACTCTCCCATTATTTGATTCACGAAAAAATGATTTAAACCTTTCATGTTCGAAAGAATAGTGGTAATAGATTAGACCTTGAAATACCGGGTGTCCAATAAAAAAACATTTTTGGAAAATACTATGTTTAATTGTTTTTCTGTTGCTACTTACTACTTTAATAAACGGGAATACTCAGGACTGGCAAACAACTATTGTGCATAGTGTCCAAAATGTGCATATATTAAAAAAAATATTTTTAACAGGGTTTCGATGTTTTGAGTTCAATTGAACCAGACATTTCTTGTTTTGAATTAAACGACACTTTTTCGTATTTCTTCTTTACACTGCCAATGTGCATGTCATAAAGTAAAAAAAAACAAGTCCTACATCTTTTCCAGTTTTTCAAAAATATTATTTTCAAATATTTGAGATTGTCTTCGGTAATAATTTCACATATCACTAATTCGAAAAATTATATACTGCGTCGATCAAAAACTGGCTCTTATTGGTAAAAAGTCAGGTCCAAATCGGACTTTTCTGGATAGAGTGAAAATGAAGAATTCAAATAACGAAAATGAATATGTTCCGCTATAATTTGTAGGACTTTCCAAATCGCAGGAAAAAGATAAGCAAAAATTCGATCAATCAGATTGAAATCTATTGTTTACAAGTAATTATTTACAGATAATTAATCGAAGACAGCCTTGCTCATGAGGTTTAAGGTCAAAAAGACTTAAAATGGGTGCAAGTTCAGAAAGTTCCCAATTGAAAAAGCTAGTAAAAATATCAAAAATCGATCGAATTTGTTTTCTACCTTTTTAATGTTGGTAAAATGCGGGAAAACATTTTTTTTAAGGTGTCGGTGAAATTTATGAAAATATACGCATACACAGTGTACGCAACGAGCCTTCAGACACATAAATCCCCTAAATATTTAGTTCTGTAGATATGACTGAAAACAGTGTACAATTCTCCTTTACCCGAGGTCTGGTCCACTAATTTAGCCGACCTCGTAATGAAGTCCTTTGGCGAAAAATTTCGAATACGCCACCGACCGCAGGGTTGCATCATCTCTGTTAATTCCGGCCGGCCCGGCGTCTATTTTTTCTCCGGCCACGAGAGAGCTTTTCGCTCCAAAATACGGCGCGGCGCGTTACATCAGTCGATAATCGTCCCGACGCGAACGCACGAAAAGCTCAAAGCCGGTAATCAACTCGTTACGAATTACGTTCAATTTGCGTACGGCCGCAACTGAACACTAAACGTTCGCACTTACCACAAAAGACTTGGCGGCCTGTGGAGTATTCATCGTTATACATGATCCCGCAAACGGACTAAATATTATCGAAGCGTGCTTATTCGCTGATTTCATGTCACTCACTGACGGAGCTAAAGCGACGCGGTCGGTTTTGGTGTGGCCGCTCTTCGGCTCGTGCGATTTCCTGCCGCCGACGTCCTCTGACGGCGACATTTGCAATCTCGGGACGTCGGCGTTGCGACGCGCCGAAATCTCGAGGAGTAGGGTGGGTGTTTCCATTTCCTGAGTGCTGGTCGACCACTACAGATCGGAAGATCGCCGCTTTTCTTGATGAAAAAATACCGACAAGCCCTTAATGTTTATGGAACCAACATGTACATCACATTCTAAGTTTAAGCGAATACAATTTTGCAACATTTGCAATTTATCAGTTGTTCTTGAGTAAACATATAGTTTCAGAAACACACATAAATCGATTTACTGGAAAAACTTGTGGGTAGAGTTATTGAACACAGTTATTTAACAAATATCTGAAGAAATCTGTGATGCAAAGAGCTTCGTTTGTCAGTTTTGAGGTATCACAATATAATAATAATAACAATAATAATAATAATAATAATAATAATAATAATAATAATAATAATAATAATAATAATAATAATAATAATAACAATAATAACAATAATAATAATAAATATAATAATAATACATTAATTCTTGTCCCATTAATACATTTCATATTACAATGACTTGTACAGTACATCGCCAATAAAAGGCTTTCTTTTTTTTTTCTTTCTGGATTAAGTTGCAACAGATGATTAGAGGCAGTTTTATAACATTTACATAGGTCTATGTTAATCAAAATTTCGACCTCTTTAATTTTACTAACAGGAAATGATTAATAGATCATATACCCCAAAATACATTTTTTTCAACTTTTTTAATTTTAGCCACCATTATATTTTGACGTTTCTCACGATCACGTACCACAAACTAGTGGTAGTATAAAAGTTTATAAACTTCCCCTGTATTAAAAACCCACACCCTTGTCAATTAATATTAGCACTAAACACTATCAAAGATAAAAAACGTCACTCTCATCCTTTTAACTCTTTCGCACTCTTGAAGCACATTAGTGCTAGGCGCGTATGCACTGTACTTATGCCTAGCTTTGCCTATTTCTTCGCAACGCGCTTTAGAGTTCGTTGGAACCCATAAATATTTCAATTTTACACCGGAACAATGTTATGTGCGAATAAGAATTTAAAATGCACAAATTGGTAGGTTTGACGTGGCTGCGGCAAAATATTAAAACATTAGAAGACATTCTCATTGAAAATTAAAATCTAAAATTTTAACCGACATTCCAAAGTCAGATTGGAAAACTGAAATATTTACATAAACGTGCAGCTTTCTACACATTCTGTGTAATAATTTATCTATATAGTATCTTTATACTTGACATCATAAAACACATGAGAGAAAAATTTATTAAACATTGTCTAGATTTTACTTGTCATTTAGTCCAGTTTTTTTATATGATTTATTAAATATTAAGTGTCGTTATATAGTATTTAATATGCAGTGTGTCCAAGATAAAAAAGATATTGGAAATCATAAATATAAACTAGAAAAAAGTTGCAAAATGTAAAGGTTAACGTGCTGTTGAGAAAACTAAAAAATTCCCAAGACACGCAAAAACACGAAATTTGCCGATTTGGTTTTTATTTGTTTTTTGGCGTTATTTACAGACATATAAAAAAATAAAGTTTCCTTTCTTGTGGTCATTTTGCAATTTCATTTGCATCATTTCATCATAAAAATTTTAATCACGGATACAAAAGTGTACGGTATAATATGATTCTACATTGTTTAAATCACAAAAAAGGGTTTTTTTGCAGTAATTAAACCATCTCATCTCTTATGGTTTCCAATATCCCTATGATAGACAACCTTATCTTGGACATAAAATAATAATTAGTTATTATTATTACTTATATTGGAGAAACTACATTGCCCAAGAAATAAGTAATATAGAGAGTGTATATTACTTAAATTGGCCGAAAACGACTCCTTCAGAAGATACGGCTTCGTAAAACAGGCCATAAAAACACCATTTCTTTTCTTATATTTCTGAAACGGTTTAAGATACCTAAATGAAATTTAGACCCAAACCACCTTAGATTCGGTCAAAAAAGCTGACTTCATAGAAACAATCATTCTTCACTAAGATAGTTAGTTCTATTCTCACGTATTTCTTTTCTTTGACTTTAAACAAGACTACCTTTTTTAATAGAAAAATATTATGTTTGTCCAAAAAAAATTAAAAATATCACCATAAAAAATGTTTGGGGCAAAATAAGATAACTTTTAATGACTTGAAATTATGACTTCTTTTACAAAGCCCTCTGCAATTTTCGGACATATATTGATTAGCCAAACTAACGTTATTTTTTAATATCTTATTTATCTAAGAAATTAACGAAGCGTTTTTTGAAACACCCTGGAAATGCGTCACATTGCTTTATTTAAAAGTTCTATTCTAGGATAACATGAACTTCCGTCTTCGTCATCCTTCGTGTGATTGCCCCACGAATTCAGCGCCTCTCGTAAAAGTAGGTAAAACATCTCAAATCAAAAATTTATGACCTGTCGTTTCTGTAATTGGTTTCCAATTAATAACTTTTATTTTATGTCTGACCAATATTTTGATCGTAAATTTACTGTTTGTGAATAAAATTACAACACATAGTTTATCTAAATATCTAAAATTATTAAAAAATATATCCAAAAACTAAAATTATCGAAATCTTTTTTCTAGTTAGGAGCTTTTTCCTGCGTCCTTTTTTTAGACAGTAATATAAAAATTTTACAGAATAAAATGTACAAGTTTATTTATTAGAAGAAAAGGGGGTTGTATAGATTCGTTTATACGCCGGTTACGTGTGTGTCTCGTCGATTAATAAATAATATATTTCTGCAGCGCTCAGCATAAACGGTGTACTAAATTAACTACTTCAATTAACCGCAATGAAATGTTCTCATATTTTTCTGCTTTCGTTAAAAATGGTCATATTGGAAACGAAAAAGAAATTCTGTTTCAATCAACTAATTGGAGAGAACATTCTATAAAAAAATAAATAAAAAGAACGGAAGTCAAGTTATAGGTACCAAAATTACCGGGATAAGGAGCGTCGGAAAGCACAGCAGTCTAGATAAACAAACGTTTCGGAGAAGTCATAATCAGTGCTGCGGGAGGTAATTTTATTCTTAACACGGCGATAACTTATTTGAATGAATAATTACGAGCAGTTACACATAATTTTCGATAATAGATGCATTTGTATTTACCATTTGTATAACGTACAGTGGTGTACTGCAATGGAGCTGTTTATATTCAGATTTCCGCGTTTTTCATCGTTTTCAGTGGGTCTTTCTGCTAACGGGGAAACCGCAGGAGTGTCCGCTGGATTTTCTGTAGCTGAAAACCCAACATAGTGGCTGTGACGTATTTTTGTCGCTTATTGAATAATGTATGAGGAGCGTATTTTTCCGAATTTTAAATAATATATAGTAAAACAACATAAATACCATTAATTGGAGTATTTCCATATTTTTAAAAACACATATCCAGTAGTTATTTTAGGTATAACTGTTAGGATCCCGTAAGTGGGTATTTTAATGAAACACGTTATTATTCCAATCATAAAGTCCTGATATCCTTTATTCTTGAACTACTCAACTAACGCCGCTCTATTTAATCGTACCATCTTGCAAAATTAAAACAATAATTCTCGTCTCTTATAGTATTAAATTCGTCGAATATTAGTCATAACATACATAATTTTTGGAGTCAAATATGTTGTGCAATATTTTTTTATTTCAATGATAGCTGAAACAATATGGGATTATACTTTATCTCGGAATCTGTAAACCTGTAAAAAGTATTAAAAAAATGTTACATATTAATAGTGAGTGTACTTTAGGGAATGAAAAAAAGTTTTTTTTTTAAATTAACGCATTTTTAAAAATCAGTGGCGTATCTTTTGACAATACTATTGATTATTACACCTCCCGTCTCAGCACATTACTTCACCACTTTAATCTCGCTGAAGCACTTTGGAGACTATGTTTTTATGATCTTTTTCCTTTTTTTTGGATAGCGAATCTCTGGCTGAAAATACCCTATATGTACTAAAGTGTTCGGCGACACACGCCTCTCCAATAAAGCAATGCATTCCAGCGACACAAGCCTCATCTGGCCACACTGTTTACCTTCATGTAAACCTAACCAGCCAACAACATACCTCCAGTAAGACTCCTTTTACTGGGTAAATCAAACTAGGCAACACTATGCCTCTAGCTTTGGCGACACATGCTCGTGAAATAACGCAATGCTTATCGGGATAACCACTTTTGGCGACACACGCCTCTCCAATCAAACAATGATTGTCGCAACAATTACTTTCAGCAACACATGTCTCCCCACTAATGCTTGTCACACACTCCACATCTGGTCTCACCGTTCACCTTCATGTAAACCAACCAGGCAACAACACATCTCCAGTAACTTACTGGGTAAACAAAACTAGGCAAACACATGCCTCCACCACACAGACCCTGTTAGTTAAAATAACAGAAATCCACCGTCAAACAAACCAAATTGCTGCAATGCTCCAGATAACTAATGAAAAAAATAAATAAGCCGAAATTATTTTTGCTTAGTTTTGCCAGGACGGAGTGAATTTCGTGTATTCAAATATTACCTATTTATTTTAAGAATTCGCCGACACAGGCTTATTCTGTTACTCATTTGTAGGTTCTGATTCGGCTTTACTTTGGTCATCAGGCGCACGAATAAGCTGAGCATAAGCAAATTCGAAAAACTTACTTTTGCACTTACAGCTGTGTCTAATAACTTGGCAATGCTCATTTTTTTTAAACTGCGGTAATTTTAAATGGACCTTGAGATTTACGATCTAATTTGAAATTATTCATTCAATTGTTTTATAATATACTAAATCGCCTACTGAAAAGGACCTTACAGTAGGTTTTTCCGACTTTTCTTTTATTTTCAAAGTTTTTTTATCATCTTATCGATATTTTTACTTGCTACATCACTACTTTCAGAGAGTCAAGATTTCAACATAATTATCGATGTTACAATTTTTGTAATTCAAAAGAGTAAACTGATTTGCCGAATAAAAATCCTGCTGGATTAAGCGCAATAACCTTAAATTTTGTTCACTTAAGTGATAACTGCAAATTTACATAATTCTTTATTCTTCTCCGTTCACCCCTATTAGTATCATGACCAAAAAAATCCAATTTAAGATTGAATTTTGCTACAAAATTGCAATTCACTGCTAAAAAAACACTTACACAACTGATACCAGAAAGATTATCAAACAAATTCTAAGATTTTTTAAAGAATTAACAGCTAAAGCAGTTAAAGAACGTATAACAATACAAATTTGATAAATGCATCGATGATTACAGAGGCGTATTCTTTGGTATCACTTTTTCCAATTAATTAGTGCAAATTGTATACTTAAACAATTAAAAAAACATGTTCTCACTTGCACTATACATAACAACTAACGTTTATAAATTTTCTATAAAGTATATTTATATATAATTAATGAGATAAAATAAGAAAATTAGTTCTTTTCATTTCACTGAAAAAAATATTGTTTGGAATCATATGTTCTTTTGCTTCCTTGGGACTGAGTTTATTGCCATTTATGGTGACAATAACTTTTAAAAGGGCCTCCTCGGATAGTTAAGCTACATACTATTATTATTATTATTACCCGCCAGTCGTTCAGCAATTCGACATTTTGAATAACGTTAAGTGGTTTACAATTTATGTGGTGTCATACTTTTGCTTTAATATAATCGTTGGAATAAAAAATATAAACAACCAGTTGTTTTAAAATTTTTATATAATTTCCACTGCGGCTGTCAATCAGTGCTGCTGTATCTTTTAAGCAAACTACCCGAGTTTACACACTAATAAGTATTTAGAACTCCTGATATGAAAATTGTTTATCCATGTTAGAAAAATTGACTTTTTTTCCAAACTAGGACATTTAATTCCCAATTAAAGCATAGATCATTTAAACCAAATCGAATAGCTATACCCAATTTGATTAAATCTTGGTTCTTATATAATATAAGTAGTCATAAAGTCGATCACCTATAAAAATAAAATTTACTGAATTCCAACAAGTCGCAGCATTTACTTATTGCATCTTCAAGAGCTACTCCTGAATCCGTGCTAAGTAAAAAAGGAAAGATCTCACCAAATTGAAGCTTCAGTGGAGCTGGGAGACTCTGCTCTTAGCTTTTTGCTTTCGCGGAATAATTTGTCACATTTTAAACTATTTTAATATCAAACTGCCTTATGCCCATCACTTTCGCGTGCATAAAATTTCAGTGCTATAGGGCAACGACAAATATTAGCGCCGGTATGACGAAAGGAGGGAAATAGAGCGAATCGTTTGCCTAGTGACACTTAACAACATAGCATAGCAACGAAACACCAAAAATTTTAAGTGACAAAATATCCCTCAAGACTCCCATAAATGTACTGTTTTTGCAAATACTGCCAAGAACTGCATCCTATTATTTTCTCTTCTTCTTTATAGAGCCTATAAATCCACAATTGCAGTTCATCCATCGAACAGTAGCGCATTTATTTAGCGCACTAATCGCGGTCGTTATAGCCACTTTCACTGTCCGAATGTTACCGAAAATTCCTGACCCTGCGATGTCGGAGATCGTAAGAAATAATCGATATAATAAAAATGATAAAATAGAAATAGGAACCCAGACATAGGGTTTGACTTCTCGGACATATTAAATCACTTAATGGATTATTAAAGGGAATCCAACGATCCGCGACCCACTAGATCACCTACAAAATAGCTTATTAAAAATAAACCATCGGAACTACTTAAAATCCGACCTAACCAGTGCTTTTATAAAGCCAGACTATCTTCGCCGGTTCGCGTTCCGTTCTCTTCTAAAAAAATACCAAAGTGGGTTCCCATGGGTCACAATATTACGAATGACAGAATTATAACTGCTTAGTTTGTACCGATAAATAATTCAAGTCAAAAATAAACAATTTATAACACCCAAACAAAATATGAGAGAGTATCGACCACTTAAAGCTAAGGACGCCGACATGCCTGAATTTCTCATTTATCTACTTTATTGCGCTATTTTTCTAGACAATTGCTTCGTAAAATACATTTCCGGTTTGCAGTTCGCCTATATCCGTTTCCAACCCAACTTCTGCTATTTTTTTATTCCGTGCCAGACTGGCTTTGATTCTGTCGCCTTGGTCACTTGAAATCCCTGTTTCTCGAAAGTCGACCCACTCGATAGTCGTATTGTATTCCAGCGCTTCGACGATATGCTGAAAATTCAATATTCTAACACAAGTGACTGACCCAGAATGTTGTCTACCTCTCCACCCTCCATCCCAAACCAGTTGTTGCTAATATTTAGTATTTTTAATGACTGGTTTAGTCTCAACATCTGACAGACTTTAATTGGAGTGTCTTCTTCGAAGTGACAGGCAGCAAACGAAATTTCTGTTGGTAACGCGCACCGTACCATTGCTCGCAGTATACCCATAGTTCCGTCAGTCTTCAGAGGATTTAATCTGAGGTCCAGCATCTACATTTAAAATTTTATACCGGCTGACAAGTTAAAAACGTATAAACGGCTTCAAATCAATAACAAAATCCTTGATGATTTATACGTAGCTGTTGAGTGCCCGAAAATGTGTGGTAATTTTTTAAAATCTGAACATAAGGATACGGTTCTGCTGTAGCACATTACAATTTTAAAATGGCCTATGTTCTGAGATCATTTAACGATTTAAAAAGTGTTCAAGGCACTAGTGATATAGTACTTTTATACCAAAAATTAAGAAATCTCGTCTTTTTAACTATATATAAACAAAATATTCCCTAATTCACCGTTAGCTGCCTCCGTGATTCAGGCCTTTGGTGTCGTTTCCCTTTGTTTTTTTAAATACCGCTAAAAACCGAAACAGACATAACAATTGAATTCAACTCAGTTGAAAGTTTTTGTCCATAATTTATCTCAAAAGAAACAAAAAAATAAAAACTCAAAAGTCAAGAGAAAATGTCCCATCTGGCAAATTTTCATATCAAAAATCCTCCTTATCATTATTTGGAAATTTTAAGAGAGATAATTCATTTTGGTTAGTTTTCGAAGTCCGTCGCCTTTGCTGCTAATTAGTATCAAATCAACTAAAATAACATTATAAAAAATAAGATCCTGAAATAATTGGCGAAAGAAAGCTTCAAAAAATTAAAAAAAAAAATTTTTAAAAAATCACTCCCACTGCCATTCAAGGGTTGACCCTCATTAGTTTTATATTTTACCGAGTGAAAATAATTGGTTCAACGCGATAAAGCAAAAGACTGAAAAGAGAAAATTAAATGGATGAAAAGTATATCAACATACTATTATTTGAATATTGACATATTTAATTTATAATTATAACGAATAATTGAACAGTTACTAAAGTATAATACATAAAAATGTTCATACTTTAGTAACCGTTTAATGGTTGGAAAACGCAATATTACCCCCTTCAAAACATCAAATGTGATCGTTTGAAAATCCAGTAAGTAGTGAAAAATGTAATGTTATGCAAATAAAAAAATGTATAAAAGATCGAAAATTGATTATTAAAAGCGCTGCTGCATATATCTTATATCTGTTCGTATCCGTATTGTCCGGTCCACTAGCGATATGATTGGTGAGATACATTGTACCAAGTGGAATAATTATCCACGTATCCCTAGTATTTGACCCATCATATCGCTAAGTTACCAGTTGATACGGATGCGGATGGACAAGAATACTTATACTAAAAAATGTCTTCCTTCATTATTCCCTAAAAAATAATAATAACAATAATATTAGTCATTTGTTAAAATAAGTAACTGAATCTCAACAAGATGAAAGTTCTGGACATTAAGGCGTTGTTACCATCATTCCTTAGGCAATAAACTCTCAAATATAATTAATATCGTTTTCTCAACACGTCGAAATTCTTTTGGTACATTATATAGTTTTATTTTAACCGGTCTATCAGCAAAAACGTTAATTTCTTCTAAGCCATCTTACCACTACCGACCAGCCAAACAAAACGCTTAAATTCGGAACTGGGGCTAGTGTTTGTCCATAATTTTCGGGTACGCTTTTATGATAAAAATGCTGGTTAAACAATGTTTCCCAGCATTTTAAGCCAAGTTTTCATGTTTTGCATAGTCATAATGGACACGCCTTTTAATGATGATTGTATGCAATAAATTACCCACCAAAATACAATTCGCTCTGAATCGATTCTCCGTTTATTTAATAGATCGCAACATCTATAACAAATGGGCACGTACTGTTAGGTTTGGGGAGGTACCGCACTGCAGTGCAAATCCTAAACCTTCCGAGCCGATGTTTCCAATTCCATTATTGGCCAACTTTAGGGTGGAAAGGTTGGTGCCATTTTGTAATAGGTAAGCAACGCACAAAGCTCCGGTGTCACCAATGTGACAATTTGACAAGTCAAGTTCCGTAAATTGTCCGTGTTTCATCAAATCTGCTCAAAAAATAAACCTAAACATAAAATATAAGCGCGATAAATGGGGTTGAATCGATTTTTTGTATTATGTAAATTATCCAAAGTTTTAAATGCGTTTTAAAAACATTTGCAATAATAGTGAAACTTATTCTTGTAGAATTGAAATGGGACAATTTTTTTCAATATCAGTGGAATCAGAGACTACATTGACAATTTGGCATTCTTGTTCGAAAAATTCGTCCATTGCTTCGAACATATTTGGGTTAATACAAATAAAATAGAAATACCGTATAGTAATAATTTCAATTGAAAAGAAATAAATAAATTATTATAACGATATTTATTGAGTTTTTTGTGAACTAGAAGACCGACATACATACAACACACATAGAACCATAAATCCTAAAAAATTTGTTTCTAATTTTTTAATTTTTTAATACACATAATTTAAAAAAAACCTAATCTGTTCTACGCAGAAAATAATATTTATTCTGGTCAGGTTACCCTTTTTTAAATAAAACCTAATTTCTGCAATTTTTAAGGTGTTCCGATCCCTGGCGGAACTTTAATATAATTTAATTTGCAGACGGTGCTGGGAAGAATTCAAACATTTTACCCTGGCATTATTACATTTTAGATAGTATTGGATAGATCTGGAAGGGTCGTGTTTGAAAAAGTTTTCTATACAAAGTTTAGAAACACGTAATTCAGATATTGCTCTTAGTCATACTGTAAAGGAAAAATATTATTGCTCCGTCGAAGTTTCTAAAGTGCGACAAAGTTAGGTACTTTGAGATTTTAAATGAATTGAAGTGATTTGGAAAATGTTACGGTATTACTGCGGCCCATCGACATATATCTTTGCTGTTTGCATTGCCAATTTGTCGAATATGACAATAACGGATCATTTCTCGTCTCTCTGTTTCATTCCAATCGGTATATCTTTCTTACACTGGAAATTGGACCCATGGACCGTTAAATTTTTTCGTTGTTTTGATTGAAGTTGAAGAAATTCTTCAAAAAGTTTGTCAATAAAACCAAGAGCGTAATAAATTCATACTTTGGAACAGAGCTCGGCAATGCGAATATTCTAGCCTGCTTCGGTGAATTTTAACAATTTTCAAATATTTCAAGTCTAGCAGGGCCCTACCGAGCCTTTGACAATCCATCACCGATATCAGATACATATTTTTACTGAAGTTTTCGCCCACGTTGTTCATTCCTACGGAAAAATACGGCTCTAAATAGGTACTAAGAATTCGAACCCATTGCACCGTATACGAGACTGAACTCTTCAATTAAGCTCAATTTTCTGAATATAGGCTTGAAATTTATTCGATCGAGTGGGTATTCTTCAGGTATTTCATCCTTCTCCATAGTCAACAGAGGCTTCCAGCACTGTAGCTGACGGACGCGCAATTTTTTGACGTACGGACAGCACAATTCGAGAATGTTGTCCAGGGAATCTTCGTCGAAGTTCTCTGGTTCGGCTTCCTCCACCAAATGCCGCACATATCGTTCCACATAAAAGCGCATCCAGCTGTACCCATCTTCCTTGATTTCAGCTTCTCCGCCGTACGTCGATTTATAGCGACGTTCCCAGTAGTAGTCTTTCTAGGAATGTATAGTTTGATTCAAATTATACCGTTGATCTGTACTGCAATAAATCAACTACCTCATTCTGTAAGTCACAACGTCTTACTCAAGCATATTGCTAAGAGTTGAACATTAATAGTAGTACTCACAAACATAAGAATTGTATACCTTAATTACATGTATAGGGTACAACTGACTACAGAGACAAATCTTTTTACTTTTGTTGGAGAAACGAATAGTAATAGTATATTATGCCACAAGTGCGGTAAACGGCATTTAAGTCACGAGCGTAGCGAGTGTTTAATAAACGAGTCACTTAAAAAGTTTACCGAACGTGTTGACAAACGTCAAAATTCAAGACGTGAGAAATATCTCCGAAAACATCCGATTACTCCCAGACCCGTGCGGTAAAATCCCGGAAATGTCCGAGGTGGCTCGGATCCGTGGGAAACTAAACTGACGTAGTAAAGTGATGCTTCGCGCACGGTAGAACGATGTGTAATTGGGAATTTTACAGAAATAGAAAAATATTTTTTCTGAAAGTACCCGCTCTGTCTGTCGAATTATCAATGTTAGAAAAAGTACTGAATATAAAAGGCATTTAATTTGTTAATTAAACTGTTCTACTAAATATTAAGACCGTCGAAATGTTTAAAAATAATACATGCTATGTTGGTTTCTGCTGTGTCGTGAAAGTACGGATGAAGCATCTGAATTGTATTTGCACAGGTATAATAGGCCATAAAGTATGTTTTACTTTACTTACTTTATGTACCCAATAAAAGCATATTTGGTAGGTTTACAACCAACCCACCACCCCAACACAACACACCCAAACTAACCAAAACTAACCAACTAACCTAATTATAATTAACATTGACTTTTTTCGCAAAGGTCGGCCAAGAACGTATAATAAACAGTATCGGGAAATGAGTGAAATTATTTTTTTGCGGAGGATAGTGTAGGCGTTCTAAAACCTAAGGTTGAAGACTTAAAAACTCAAGTTTAAACCTTATAAATTTAAGTTAGTTAATAACTCGCATCCCAGGGACCAACAACGAAGACTAAAATTTTGTCATTATTATTTACAAATTATTAACAGAGATAGGGATTTTTATAGGGAAATTATCTGGTCTGATGAAGCTTATATTAGCATTTTAAACAGGCAAAATAGTCGTTACTGGTCCCAGGAAAATAAACATACTGTATATCCTCAGGAGCAACAAGGCAGATTCGGCATCGAATACAAATACAAATACAAATAGAAATTAAAGTAGAATAATAATGCAGTTCTAGAGAGTAATTGATATTAATGAACTAAAACTAACTAATTGATAAATATATAAAATTATGGTATAATATAGTTATTATATAAAATATTAATTAATAATAATAATAATTTATTTGCATTTCATGGCCTACTATAAGAAATCATATTATAATATTGAATGCAGATCAGAGTTAAAAACAGATGGTAAAGTGTTATACAACTTTATGTCATAATTAAAACAAAAGCAAAAACTAGCTACGCTATTGGATTTGAAGTAAAAAAATCTCTACAGACGTACTTTTATTTTTTCGATAGCTTAAATATTAACGGAGATACGGGGAGTGCCGCAAATTGCGAAATTTTCAAAATCATCCCTCTAGTTTTACTCATGATCGAGATATCCCGCAATGACAACGAATCTCGGATACACTACATTTCAAAATGAATTATCAAATTCAGCGTTGTCAGATTTACAGAAAACTCTTTCAAATAGACTATCTTGTATTCTATTACATATTAAATATTTTAGTATTGTAGGTAGGTTATACAGTCGAACTTCGATAAGTCGAACTGCGATTGGACACATGAAAATTTCGAGTTATCAAGACTTCGAGTTATCAATAAAAACTACAGATGCATGTACTTTTTTGTGAATGAACATTTATTCATTCATTTTTAAAAATGGGTTATACGTTACATAAATCCCTAATATCTATGATTTTTGAACAAAAAACCAAAATTATGAAATAGTAGTAGTATCTATCTATCTATCAAATGTATTGTATATGTACCCAGTATATATAAACATAGTATGTATGCACATATACATATGTATTAAAGTTTACTCTTTCACTGGAAAAAAAGTCAGTTATTTGGTTTTCAACAAAAGGTTTAAATTTATTTAAACAATCATAGAGGGAATCGGTTGTGTATTCACTGCTTTTCAAATAGGAACGCAAGACACTCAACGAATTTTCAACCAATTCATTTGAAGGTGGTTACTTACTCCTCGATAGTGTCACTTTCGCAGCCATCTTCGATGTTTAACTGTAACGGTTCGGATCCGCAGGACTCGATAATATCTTCATCAGTAGGAAACTCTGAAGTAACAATATCCTCATCCACATGTATAAAATCGTTGATGGTGCTACCTTCTGCTATACCTCTAATGTTTGTCCAAGCTTTAAACTGGATTTCTATTTGGATTTCGTCTTCACTCTTTTCTTTCAGGCGTTCACTTAAGAAAATCAAGGAAATCTCATCTTCTTCGTCCCATTCAGGATACTGACCAAAACCGGCTTTTTAAAACAATTGGAAATTGTTTCAGGCTTAACGTCGATATTCCATGCGTCAACACAATCCATTAGTGTAATGTTATTGTTTTTGTTTTCTTCGAAACGTTCCATTGCGGTGATGACTGAATGTTTATTTTTCAAAATTGTAGATACTGTACTTACCGAAATCCCATACTTCACAGCTACATCTTTATTTTTTGAGCCACTTTCCACTTCTTTTATAACCTTGAATTTTTGATCAACAGACAAAGCTTTTAAAGTACGTTTTGATGACATATCAACAAATGCAAAAATCCAAAAATGTCTTTAATATAATGTGTAAATTGAATAGGGACAGTATTTTTCACTTAGTATTAACTAGTAAGTCATACAAGTGAACTTAGCAAGCACAGAAACTGAACTGCTTGCATAGATACGTTAAAAAGACAGGTTAAGATTGGTCGTAATTAGGGGGTTACCCGAGAAAATTCGACTTATCGAAGTTGGCACCAAATGTTTCGTTCGAGTTATCAAGATTTTCGACTAATCGAAGTTCGAGTAATCAAGACAAACTAACACGCATTTCCTACTTTTGACGCTATTGCCAACCACTTTGGTTCGACTTATCAAAAATTCGAGTTATCCAAGTTCGACTGTATATATAAAATGTAATTTATCATATAGTAAGGCCGTAAACAAACTCGGGTATGCTGTCGCTAACCATATACGGACAAAATGTCTGTCATGTCTAATCTGTGGCTAGCCAAATTCGTAAAGGTATTCGTGCGTCAATGGTTAACCACTAGCCAGATAGAATTTCGACCGAATTTAATGCGCAGATTTGGATTCGCCGCGCCGTCAGTAGTAGTGGAGCTGATAATAGTATGCAGTCAAGCAGACTAAAGAACTTTGTTTCTGTACTCCCTACTCTAAAACTCAATTATTAAGAAGTTAAACTTTAAGGCGTCAGCGTCGTTAACCACTGTGGGTAGCCATTTCGGACGTTTCCGGTACTTTGGCCACGAGTTTGGGAGTGATCGGATGATTTCGGTAGGTTTTAGCCACTATGGTATTTTGACGTTTGTCAATTCTGACGGTCAAGTTGCACATCACTTTGTGAATGAATTCGTGCTGTTTAATCAAAATATACGCAAAAACTAATGGTTGTAGGAAAAGTATAGTACGTCACGTTTACTTTAAAATCGTAAAAAGCAATAGAGACTTGACAGAAAGTATATTATCACATCATTTTAGAGCTGAAAGTTAAGACATTGCTGTAATCTATAGTAACTCTAGCGTGCCTCTTTATTGTAATTCTCGGTGATCGGAGGTTTGAACGTACCTAATTTGTGTAGAAATTTACAAATGGCATACTTGCTCATCTTTAATAAAAAGAGTGATAGAATTGTACCACAAAAATAAGGCTATTTTACAAAATGTATGGGTTTTCTTTTTCACTCCTTTTTTGGCGAAGACTTTGTAAAACAACTATAATACCAGCCTTTAGCATAAATAAAGCAGATCAAATCTATTTAAGATAATGATGGTTGATGATTTGATACTTCAAATGATGCATGGAAATCCAACGTGCCCGACTGATATTCAATCGGCCAAGAAAAAGTTTAATGTCTCCAATCCAGATCTACATCGAATCACATCTCTACATATCGGACTTGTACTGAAAAGAAACGTTTCTTACGTCGATTACTTTAATCGCAATGTCCAACGGCAAATTGGTGGGTAAAATCTCCAAAAGGTAAGCCTGATCTGAGCAGGGCAGCTCGTGTAAAAGCGAGCTTATTTGAAAATTCTTCTTTATGGCGTGTACGCAAATGTCCGCCAAGGAGGGTATTCGGTCTTTATCCCACGAAAAATTCTCCGCTATTATTTTGCGCTGATGTTCGCCGAGGAGGTTCACGCTCTCCGGCGATGGGGCGTAAGCCTTCTGGACATTGCCGTCGATTATATGGGGTATTCTCATATTCGCAAATTAAATGAAGTAATACATTTTGGTTGTCGTTGTCACTGTCTTTGCTTAATAGAAAAACACAGCCTTCTTTTTCGTCAATCCTGAAACTTAATATACCACAATTTTCAATATTCGTCCCTGTTGTTCCAAAAACTATAGCCTAGGATTAAGATTAAGATTCAGATTAACAGTTGGGAGAGCTAGCAGTCAGCCTGTCCGTCACTGCGACCCAGAGGATCTATTGTGACTCTCTCCATAGCTATCCAGGTTCGTCTCTCTAACCAGACTCCACAACTTCGATAATGGCTGGTATCGCCCAGCAGATGGAAACGCACTCTCGCTAGGCCTTCGCAGTGGCACAGTACGTGTGCGGATGTTTCCTCCTCTTCGTGACAGAATCTACATTCTGTGTTTTCTTCCATCAGGCTTAGATGTCTCTTAAGGCCTGCAGTGGCGCGTCAGCAGACCTACCATTATTCTTACGGCTTTCCTATTGTAGCTTAGTAGGTCCGCTGTAAAATTGGCCGATGGGCCCCTTGGCCTAGGATAATAGGTCTATAATATAAGCAGGAGGTTGTAAGCAAATTTTTATGTTTTTTTTTTTCACAAAAACACCAGCAGAGGCATCATATAATCTTGATTTGAATTAGCTGTGTTGAGATTTTCCAATTCAAACAGGTTACACTGTATATTTTGATAAAAGTATTTTTCTATTTTCTGTGACTTATAATATAACGCTTTTATAACGACGCCACAGATTCATACCTATATAAAAATATAACTAAATAGTAATCCACCAGGGGTACCACCAAAAAACAGAAAGAAAATTAAATTTAAATTTTATTGAATGAATTATATGAATATTGAAACGCTAGCTAATAGTAATAATAATAATAATAATTATTATTATTATTATTGACTACACTAATATGTTGAAAAAATTAGGAGTCGTTGACAAATTGGGACCATGTCTTCAAAATGACAAACCAAATACTTTCTGCCAAAAGAATAGAACAGCCAAATCTTATACAAGCTCGCTGAACTTCAGTCAATCAGGAGACCCTCTTCTTGAACTAATGCCAGTCAGTAGTTCCAAGAAGACAAAAGGGTAAAAAAGGAAGGGTTTAGTCGTTCGGTGACTTCCGGTAGAAGTACCAACCCGACACTATCCGGGCAAACAAGATCGCCACGAGCTAAGCTGATGTCTGATTAATTATCAAATTCCTAATCCTCTATAAAAAAAATATGTTGTGGGTGCATTTTGTTTATGAAGATGTATAGTGCGTCCCATATTTGATAACTTCACGGCGTATTTTCCTTATCAGCAAAGCTAGCGTGTTGCAGACCCAAGGCGTTTTTTTCGTGAAATGAAACAAAAAACAAAACAAATGTAGTTATGTCGGATATTTAGCTACATGGTGATTTTGAAAATGTTGCATTTTTTGACACCCTTTGTAGCTTGGTTATGCTTCGTAAAAGGCGAAACCTGGTCAGGCTGGGTTTTTTTACACAGCATCCAATGGCAGGACCAGTTTTCTTCTTTTCTTCTGAACTAATGCAATTGGATACCTAATTGGATATAATAGGGGTGTGTTGATGCATTAACGGTTATATATATGATGATTTAGGTTTAATTCCGGGGCAAGTTACAAACAGGGTAAAATATAAATAGAAAATGTCAATAAATGTAACATAGTTATTTAAGGCAGACGCATTTAACATAGGAAAAATGTTTATATAAACGTCTAGTTAAAGACCTCTCAAGTTTAATACAAACAAATTTTTAGGCATCTGCATTTGCAAATTTCCAATTTTTTCCAGAAATGAAATACTATCCAAAACTAAAAAACATTATTTTAACCATATTTCTATCAAAAATTAAGGCAAAAATTATCTATCACCGATTTTTTGCCGCTGTTGAGACTGTTGGACTGATGCTTCTCTTATTATTGCTTATTAAATTCAATGAGTAATGAAAATTGTGCTCTTCTCATACGAAAAAATTAAACCAAAAATAGTTATACAACCTAAACGGAAAACAAGTCTAGAACTAACCAAAAATAAGACTAAAAACTAAAAATTCCTGCCGTTTGGAAAATTGAAGCGATTTATGGGTCGACCTCGCAATTCACTAACTTTTCCAGGTGTTCCAATCGCAAATAATGTACTCGTATCGATTTCTTTCATTTCCGTTTGAGACACAAATAGAGCTGTTAACGTATACGTTTTACACGGAAACACGAATCCATCGCCGCTGCTTATATCCGCCCAATTCAAGGGCGTAATAATTAAATTAAGTCCATTTTTCATCCCCCGCCGCGAACATCCATCCTCGTCTATCACGTATCGATTCCGCAAAGGTATACAACATACCTTACCTATTCAACTGGTAATCATCAAGTGGTAATATAGTTTTTCCCCGTTCACCGTGTGTGTGTTTTCAGTCGCCTTTATTTCTAAATTTTCTCCAAGAGGTCGATCCGGCGTCCGAGAATTCACGAACGGCGCCGAATCGCACTCGTATCATTTCCCTATTTTGATTTCGGAATTAAAAGCCAGTTTGATCTGCAGCGGTCGGTGTACGTGCGGCCTGTGGCGAATTTTTCTTTTCGATATCGCGTACTTTCCAATCAATTTTCGGACCAAATCGAATTTGACGACGACACGCCCTGAATGTCCGTCGAGTGAAACGAAACCGAAATATCGACGGGTCGATGATTATCGCATATCGCAGGTGCCGCTGGCCGGATTCCAAAACGCCAGCGAAAACAATAAACAAAAACATCGTCGAGGGTAACTGCGACACGAGTGCTGATGTGCGAAAACTGTGTTAATTTTTTTACGATAGAAAACGCAATGCCGACGTATCAGGTATGTCGCACTCAGCTTATCCCAGTCGAATAACGTGTGAGCCACAAAAATTTTTCTGTTCTGGTGACCATGACACGGTTAGCACTCGGTGGGTTCGATTTGACGTAAGCGATGACGTCACCGTTGATTGAATATGTCACTAGCATATGACTGCTTTAATAGCCCTCGCGCGGTGGTCTATACTGGACATTTTTGTTTAGAAATACCTGTTTAAAGCGAAAATAAACTAACCTACGTGATACGCACGAGCTTGTTTCTGATGAGAAACATAAAAGACAAAAATCCGAGTAAAAACAGCACTCAACTTTGTAACAGATGGTGTTTAAATGTAACAACTTCTTTTTTGCCGGTGCTTCCATCAGATTTGTAAGAATCTCTTTCTCTTATTTAATCTTATATTGACGAATTTTAGAGACACTAAATATTGAGAAGGAAAATTTTCACAGGCATTTGTTAATATTCGCAAACCTCCCGCAACTCGGCGTCGCAGTAACTACCAGCATCAATATATTTTTTAAAACATATGTGCGTCCTGCTACCGCTTACAAGGGGATCATCAGAGATATAGCTATTAGATAATATCAAACCTGCACCAATTTTCTTTCAAAACAATGATCTCCATCCGCTTAACTTGCCTTCTTTTCCTGAAAATTTAATGGATCTGTCATATTTTAACTAAATAAACATACAAACCGAAAAGTGTTATTGATGAACTATTAGCGTCCATGGTGATTGTTGAACGTCGTAAGGTTTTATTGGATGGTTTAAAAGAACAGGTGTTATTAGTTGAAAGCGAGTTATCAATTGACTTGCGCATGCGCATATTGAATGGTCCCCCTCAAAATGGTTTCATGTTGGCTTCAAAAGTACCTCTATCTCGGCATACATATATATGATTTAGAAAATGGCTGTTGTACCCTATTTGGTTAAGCATAACTTTACTTTTTTTAATATTTAACTCGGACCTCGTACATATTATCTACCTATATCATCACCTACGTCGCAACACGAAAATTCGGGCAGCGTATCATTTCTCGTCCCTCTCCTTGATTCAATGCTCTTTGCATGTCTTTGTGACACTAAGAAATTAACCTAGAGGCCCATACAATTTTTCATTCTCTATAGGTATCGGTGTTATTTTTTTTTATAAAAATTCAAAAGAAAGCATTTTAAGAAAGTCTAAACATATTTACATCATATATCTTTTTTTTCTGCACACACACCTGAATATTCGCATCAGAAACAGGTAATTAAATTTCAAATAAACTTTATTTGAATGTCGGACGCCGAAATCAGCTGCGCTAAGGATTGTCGCTCTGTTGATAAATGATTTTGATTGATCGGATATAAAATAAAATTTAAAATTCATCTAACGTCGAATAAGCAAATCAATTTTGTTTTTCTGTTTGCAGTTTTTCGTTAACTGAAATCTTCTAGCTTTCTATAGATTTACACTAGAGGTGGGTGGTTAACTAAGCATTCCGACATCCCCATTCCTAAATACGATCAGTCAGCTTATCCTACGTTACGACGTTACGACTTATATACCTAAACAAATTTGTTAATCTAAAACTCTTACACTGAAATTGCTTTAAAATATTTTTCGCTAAAGTGCCCTTTTTGTCATTGCGTAAAGGGTATAAAAGTTAATAAAAACATGTTCTATTTATAATCCGTTTCGGCCGCCATATTTTTGTTCGCCTAATAATATCTAAAATATCTAAATGGAAAAACTGTCAAATATAAAAAACAGCAAAGATAAAACAGACAAAGTGATGAGACTCGCTGTATCACCCTTCTGAGAATTGAAATTCTCCTATTTCCAAATTAATAAAGATTGCTTGAAGGAGACTAAATTTTTTTCTCTGATTTTAATCGCGTGCGTCCAACTATTTTTTCTAAGGAATTTATTTATAGTGCAAACAAAAATCCACATACGGCAGTCGTTTAGGCGGGCACATATCAAGATCAGATATTTTTACCTTCAATATTTTATGTCGATTCATTACAGTTTCACTTACAGAATCACTTATTATAAAACACTCACAGATCATTGCAACTATAATTAGAATAACGCCAGCTAATTTTCTAATAAGGCGTCTAATTAACGAAATTGAAATTAAGACCGCGGCCGTCTCTAATTGAAAATCGAGCCCGGGTAAATATTTGAGTATCACCTGATCGAAATTTTATTTTACCACCCTTTAGAATACTTCGACCAGTCTTGAAGTCGCCACGGTTTAGTTCGTACGTACATCTTTCATTGCCCATAAATTTCCAAACGTTTCAGACTTTCGTGGGTTGTTGCAGACGTCGCACCGATTATCTTCGAGTTTGTGGACATAAGTCGGCTAATGGCTGATGACGAAGTCTTTGTCCACACGAAGTCATGTGATTGCTAAACGAACTCTCAAAAAGGGCACCAAGATGGGCTGCGGACACAGCAAAATCACCATATATCCACGAAAATCCAAGTCAAAACGCAGTTCCAAAAAGTCAGGTGATTCTCGTCGTGCGGTGCTTTGCCCATCTATATTTTGACGTATGAAGGTAACGCGTTTGTTGCAGCCACGCCCGAGAAGACGGAATCGGAAGAGGAAGACGGTATAGAAAACGAAATCGAAAACAGCGAGAACCAAGAAGACTGCGATAGCCAAAAAAAGTTACTTAAACCTCCAGGGGGGCCACTACTAGCGCATATGTGAGTACCAAATTAATGTATCAACGTGGAATTTTCCGCAAGCGAAGCTCTTTTCAGTAATTTGATTAGAAACATACAAAAATTTTGACATCCCTGAATAGAACGGAAAAAGTGTAATCCGTTTTTAAATAATGTCCAGAAAAAATAAAACCGTTCTCTCTCTCGATATGCTCGGGTGTTTTTTTTTTTATTTTTACAATTGGATTTTTTTTTAACAAATTGGGGTCTGTAATATAATATGTCTCAGAGATGCTACTATTTACACACACTATTTAAATTACTCTATTAAATAATATGATGTAAGTTCTAGAGGATATCACTCAAGCAATTATTATATGTTCATTACATTCCTAAATTTCCAATAAGCTTCGGTTTTCACTAATGCAAAGAGACTAATACCCATGCATGAAAATGACACCCTCGATAAGCACACGTAGTTTCCGGCGTAATCTAAAAAATATTATATAAAAATAAAATAATAGGTCATAATCAAAAAACTAAGAAAGTCTCCCCGACACTTCATGTGCATAGAAATCTGGGTTGGCGCCTCTCGTTAGAATGGAGCTCTTTGGTATAACCAGAACTATTGAAAAGAAACGATTAAGCAGCCTAAATTATTAATAAAACATAAATTCTATTTTCGCATTCCGTTTTCCAATATTGTGGTTTATTTTTAGTATAAGTGCAATTCAAGCCTTAAGTTCGCGGGTTGTTTTGGACTATGCGTATACTATATTAGTACTAAAAACAATTTAATCGTTTGATATATAACTGAGGCACTTATGCCTGCTTAATTTTTTTCAACAAGCTATTGACTTGTCATTTGAAGAACCTGATTTTCGGTTATTATTGCGTTTCAGAGAAATTTCAACTAGTCAGCAAGATTTCTTCAGGATGTTAGACGAAAAAATCGAAAATGTAAGTATATATCTCAAATATGCGCTTTTGTTATTTGAAAAAATTATTAAAAGTACAAGTAAATTCCGCTGTTTTCCTTACTTTCAAAAGAAAATCCGGTGTTGTTTGTAACTAAACAACCCCAAAAAAAATGTCTTTAAAATTTTTTACTAGAAAATGGCATATTACTCGATGATTCGAAACAATTTTAAAAAAGCATATCTTTGGTTAATTATAAAATTCCATATACAAAATCAAATTTGCCGATTGGCGAACGTCATTGAATGTCCTCACAGCATGCATGCCTCTAAATATCTAGTTAGCTATACGGTTACAGATATCTACAAGTTTAATTAAACTTTATTCGATACAGGGTGACTAAAAAAAGTACAAGCGGTTCATTACATGGGACCGAGAGATATCGCTGCAATTTATATTAAGTTTTTAATGCGGTTGGCAAAGTGCGTAATGTTAATGGTAACTCGTTTTCACAGGGCAAGATAATGCGCATTTAAAAAATATATATATTTGCCTCCCACCTTATTTGAAGATTTAGGAACCAAAGTTGCACGGAATGGAATAAACATTCTATTGTATTTTACAATTTAGAAAAACTCCAGTTTTTACACCCTCTGGCGGCTATATTATAAATAGACCATACTAACCAAAAAGGTTATTTCCAGATACATACACTCGCTTACCTTTTGGCAACACTATATATTTTCAACTACGGAAATTACATGTCTTTATTGGATATTGGAAAATTCATATTTTCTATAAAAGATAGAGGTATATTTTCATTTACGTCCTCCACAATTCGTGTAGTAAACGGAAATAATCTCCGGTAAAGTTCACCAAACAATATACCGTTTTTACAACCTTTTATGGCTTTGACTTCGGAATGAGTTTAAGATCTGCCTGTTGTTAATCGGAATGGTCTATTCTTTTCATAACGTCTATCACAAGCTAGTGTCGTATTTAAGACAGAAACTGTGATGTGCGGACTGTTGTATTTGCTTGGACTAAAATGTTTTAAAACGGTCCCTACTTGAGGTAGCTCGATTTCAAGTTGAATAGTGATTATTTTGATGTAGAATAACTTTTTTTTCATAAATATTCTTTCATTTATATTTATAATAAAAATTTGAAAGTAAAAATGGATTTTGCACTGAATGAACTATTAATCATTGAGGAATCTCACCGATGAAACTACACAAATCAGGCAGCTTTCAGCATTTGTATGCACGAAATACCGAAGTACGGTTCTGGAACGTCATTGTGGAATTGCGGATCTAATTATTGCGGTTTAGAAGGAGAAACCCAAGCGAGGTAGGCCTGCGGTTAGACCTTCATAAAATTTAAAAAGTGAAATACTGGATTATGTCGTAAAAAGGGTACATCGACAGGAGAACTCTATACGATATTACCCTCCCCCACAGGGACCGGACTACAATTCGGAATCGGAAAGTGAGCAAATAGCGGAAAATTTTCGTATTCGGGCTCTGTTGAAAGATTGGGAAACTGCTTCGGCTGGCTCGAGGTCGCTACCCAACACACCGAAACTACGTCATCAGGTCATGGACGTGAAGCATACGGAAGCTCTGATTAACGAATTTGGCAGGGGCACGTATCACGAAAAACCGTACCACAACGTAACGCAGGTGTCCCAGAGTGTTATCCACCAATCGTACGGCGTGTCCCTGTTCCAGGAATCACCGCCGCAACAACAACAGCAGCAAGTCGTATATCGGCAAGTGGCGTACGGTCATCCGAACTATATGTCTCAGGGTTCTCGGGCGACCTGCGTGCCCGCGACTTATCCTTCCGCGCTGCAGTACCAAGCCATCAGTCCGCTTTATGGTCAAGTGCCGGCCGCTTACCCTCCAGCGGCCTTAAGACAGTATCCTAGTTACAATCAGTGCGGCAGTCCCCTGAAACCATACTCCAAACATCACACTGGCAACTCCTCATTTCCGGATTATAGCCAAGAAGTTATCCACTCGTCAGCCAGTCACAAGATTGTCTCTGTCGTAAAACAAGTACCTGATCTAAGGTTAGTTTTGCTACAAAGCGTAGCACTTTGCGAGCATGTTTATAAGACATAGGCAATGCTTGATTTAGTAGTTTGTAGAGTTGGCAATAAATAAAGAACGTAACTGTTAACAACCAGTAAGCTAAAATTTCGGTGGATTCTGCACATATGCATCGGGTGTCCCAATTTCTTAGAAACTGAAAAGAATACTGGGCATTACTTTCGAAATTACCATCCCGGTGTCTGCAAAATTTAGTACTTTTTTGGTAATGTTTAAAAATGAGTAGTAAAAAGGATTATTTAAATACATCTGGACAGCAAAAATTGGTTTATTTTTGCAGAATTCATTTTACGTATTCAGCTTGATAAGTTTTTCTCTCGGACCTTGCGGAAATGAAGCAAAAAATTAAATTTAAAAACTGTAATATGGTGGTGCACATTTTGAAAATATATTTCTAGTCATTGTATATCCATTTCATAAAAGTTCTTGGATTATGGTATTTAACATTAAAAATTAAAATAGGATTGATTATCTATGACAAATTTGGACACAAAAAAGTGTCCTGGTTTGCTGTACACCCTTTCAGAAATGTACAAAAGAATCTCGTTCGTAATAAGGTATTATTAAAATTTTATTGCATGGAAGAAAGTATTTAAAATTTTGGATTTATGTGTTGCCATTGCATGTTTCGCCATCGACATGATACTGAGATATGTGGTAGGTCCGTAGATTCGCTTGCTGCTGATAAGGTGTACTTTAGTGGATTTATGGAATGTAAGAAAATATCCTATTTAAACCCGTATTTTGTAAATTCAGCAACGGCGACGTGACGCAACAAAAACCGATCCAACCTCGGGTTCAGTACCAGCATTACAATGAGGCGAACGATCAAATGCCATTCCAGGGTCAACAACCTCAACAAGTAGCGCTTTTCAAGCACCATTCTAGGAATTATCAGTCATCGATGACCATTCCAGTAGTGGCGAACAGCAAGGGCAATGACGTGAACTGTATCCAGAGGCATCAGTACGAGATGGTGTGATAAGTATTACGCGGAACTAGAGAACGTAATCGTTGTAGTAGCAAATACAAATAAAATTGGAAAGGTTAGTAGTTGGTTTAAATAATTGGACACGTAGCTGAGCCAACTATTTACCCAAGAGAAACGTGTTAAACATTCTAAAATCTAAATCGATATTTATAAATGTGTTTAACTGATCGTGGTAGACAGATTGTAAATGTATCACCGTGTATCCGCGTCTCCCATTTTAAAGATAATAATTGTTTCAGAGACTAAGTAAAATTTATGTGTCGCAATTAAACGGGTCCTCTGTTTTTTTTTTTTTTTGCTTTATGATATTTATTGTGCGTAAAGTCAAACCGATGCGAGATATCTGTCTGACGCCTGAGTGTTACACGGCAGTGTTTCCAAAGTTCTTATTTTTTCTTCTGACGACTAAATGGTGCCAAACTTTACGACGATGGCTCTAACACACAAGAGATTTATTTTAAACAAACAATTTCACGAGGAAATTTAGCCAAATCCATGTCTGCAGGAATTCTAAAATTTCGCTATCACAAAACAATCATTTTCATGTCACTCTTAAATAACGATAGAGAAAATGTCGGGAAGTTTTTTTTGATAGTTTGTAAAATTTGTAAAAATTATTTATACATATACAAATATATCTTTGTTAGGAAATTAGACAAATATATTTACAAAAAAAAAACTGTCATTGGGTTTATCCTATAGGGTAATGTATATCAGATAGCTTTAGCAAATTCTAATTCTAAATAATTGCCAAAAATAACGTTAGACTTCTGAAGTGCTTAGTCTACTTCATGTGTCATAATTTGTTGGGAATGTGCAGTTTCGTACTTTTAAGGATACTTTGAATATCATTTTTAAGTTTCAATCTACCGGGAAACCCTTATTGTTTTATTTAGAGGTGGAGATGGCGTTCCTAACGCTACCGCATTGATTTCTCCTGCTCCTTCAAGAAAATTCCATCACTGAAACGCAAAAAGTGCTCTTGAATACGAACCACATTCGATTAATTTGTAGCCCACTCTTTAAAATGTGATATTGTACCATAGGCTAGACATATGTACAATTTATGGAGTAAATGTATAACAATTTTTGTTTTATGTCTGTTCCTATTCCTAAGTTCGGTTAAATAAATACGAATCGAATTTCTATAATAACCTTTTAATTACTGATTTTCAATATACAAAATATATAATATATAAAAAATATTGAGCTGAAACTAAAAATTAATAAATAATCACTAAAAAATGGAGCTATTTATAAGACTGGGCCACGCAAATCGACCCCAACAAGGTAAAACAACATTTTGGTACGGGACAATTATATAAGGAATAAATAATTCATTTATTTTATAATAAATTGAATTAAATTTAATGGAAGCTTATCGTTACATTTTTTCAATACCTAAAAGACAAAAAATATAACCCTATAAGCTTCAGGACGGTAACAAGTTGTTACAAGAATGTTACTTTCTAAAAAATGTGGCACTGGGTGGTGCCGTTTGGCATAATCAATCATTTTAAATTAAAAAAAAAGGACAAAATGGACAAAATTGAAAAATGTGTGTCAGATAAAATAATTTTGAAGAATTCGATAATTTAATTTATTGAAATATGCAGGAATGCTAACATCTTCAAAAATTAAATTATAGGCAAAATAGAGTCATATTATCCAAAAGTAACATAAACAATAACATAATAAACAACAAAGAAATATATAAAAACGACAATTAACTATAATCGCAACAAAATGGGACATTATTCAAATCCGCCAAATGCAGATAAAGTTCGAGTTAAATCAATTTAAGTACATTAACAATGAAGGAGTTAAAGAATTACCAATGTCTAATAAATTCAGACGCTTTTTTAGAATTGGAATTTCTTTGGTGATACCGCGTATATGTAGAAAGAAAGTCCCACTTCGTTGCGCATTGCCTAGAAACAAAATTTGTCTTACGCAGACCCAAGCCAACTATATTAAATCTAGATCAAATTGTGTACCAATGTCCTCCAAAATAAATGGGTACGAATGCATCAAAATTTTTCTATAGGTAATATAAAAAGCCACTGAAAAAAGAACACCATAATTGAGCTATAGTGGCTCACTGGAAAGGCGTACACATACAGTCTGTTAAATTTGACCTAAAAACATCTAGCAAATGTTGACAGCATTGCACGATTTCAACAAATTTATTTTATCAACATTCAAGTCCCCGCTTGGAATTAGGATAAAACAAAAAAGGAATAATTTCCGACAATTCCAAGTTTAATTATCCTATTCTAGAATAGAATGAGGAATAGCCTGACATAAAATAAATAAAAAGTTGAAAAAAAAGCTTTTTTAACCTTTTTATTTATTTATTTTTTTAATTTTTTTTTATTTAATTTTTTAAAATTTAAATTACTTCTAAACTACAGTTCAGAAAAAAAATCCTCAACTAAAAAACATATGCAGCGAAGATCTTACTTACGTAAAATGCACAAGTGATAAAGATTTTCTTGAAATCGATTCGCTACATATTCACTGATGGGGTTTTAGGTCAAGTTTCAGTACACTGTATATTTTTAATGCAGCTATAGCGATTTATTTCAGATACGGTCGCACAATTGGACTACTTTCGTAAAAAAGACGAAAAAATGTTAATATCGTTGACTCTTGAGACTTTTAATCTTAACTATAAGATCACTAGAATATTAATAATCACATACTGGGGTCACGAATCGTTGCACATATTGTTTGATCGTTGCACCAAATTGGTCTTACATTCAATAAAAATGTACAAATATACAAAAATTGAGCACATTTGGCGATATTCTAACCCCAATGAAGCTGAGTAAGAGCAAAATGATGTATCTTTAAATTCTTATTTTTAAAAAAATATGTATTTAATGTAAAATACATACAAATCCGTCTATAAATAGTGTTTGGTAAAAATGCTCGCCAAGATTTTTCAACTCAAAACATCAAACGGAGCAATTATCACAGGAAATCAGGCCCCACTATAAAGCATTAACCACCTATCAGACGGTCGCTGGAATCGATTTAAAAAGATTCGAATAAAAAACCCAAAAACGTTAAACAAAGAGAAAAAAAATAAATTCAACAATTATTAGCTCAGGTAATTGGGTTTGACGACTTCAATAATATAAATCTTCCCCTTTTCGTCTAATACTAAGAAGGAATTGAAATCGTTGGAAGCAGAGATAAACTTTGCCTTCGAACGGAACCGGACGCAGGCCAATAAATTGACACACCCTCCAACGAAAGGCCTGTCATACGAGAAGCTAATACTTAGATTACCCAGACTTTGCAAAGGGTTATCTAATAACTCAATACTGCAACAAAAAACGAGATTCCGTCAATTTTTAAAATTAACGATTAATTAATCTTATTCGGTAGGTAGTAGCTTAACTTAACGAGAGAAGGTTGGTATTGAGACGACACTAAATGAATCTTACCTTTTGGGTTTTCCCTTATCGATCTTCGGTGCTTCTTTAAGCGTCGTCAAGTTCCACCACGCAACCTCGTCGCTCAAACTAACCAAAATTGGTTCGATGCTGGGAGAAAATAGTAGCTGTTCCACTAAGTCGCTGTGCAGATCGAGCATGGTCAGCTTATAGTCATTTTGAAGGCTCCATATGTTAATTACCCCCGACTGCAAGCTGACCGCTAAGAGACAGCCGTCGTTTGAAAACTTCGAATATGTAGCGACGGATTCCAATGTTATGTGTCGCAGTACAGCTATCTTTAGCGAAACTTCATCCATACGAACGACGTTTAAGAAATTGCCACGCACTTCCTTAAAGCATACAGCCAGTAAACCTTTTGCAGGGCAGAACGCTGCCGACACTAACGTCGTTTCGATGCCATAATTGTCGATATCGCTGCTGAACTCTACTAATCGATTAGTTTGCACATTCCACAAGTGAACGCGGCAATTCTTATTTACGATTATAATATTCGGAGGCTTTACGAGCACCATCGGCTCTCGAACCTTTAACGAGTACAAATTGTGGTCCGCGTGAACGGTAATGAAGTCGTCTTGACATACTGCCAGTATGGAATTCATCCCGACGACGTCACTGTTGAAATTGTATTCCGCGGGATTGTCGAGCATCGTGTACGGAAAACACTCCAAGTACTTAATTTTTCCCCTTCGGGGGAGGTTTTTGAGAGGGCGGTCAGTCTTTGTTTTTATGTTGAAGACACGTATATCACCGTTGGATAGACCGTACACGACGTAGTTGCCGCACGTTGAAAAACATGCGTAAGTTACCTGCTTAAGAAACGGGAAATTAAAAGGTGTAAGTTGTTTAAGAAAGTATTTAAAGATTTGCCTATGTCGGTTTTAGACTATTAATAATCCACTCTGGTTTTGGGAAACGAACTAGACGAAGCTATAGAATTCAAGGCAAGTGGTGAAGGTTACTCAACGCACCACCCACCACTTGATATTTAACACAGTGGCATTACAATATTGTTCATATATTGATAATTACAACAATAATGGCACTCAACACGCAGTTAATCAAAACTCCGGGTCACTTCTTATGTTAGATTTAGACTATTAAATTAAACAACAATTAAAACATATATACCGTCCCTTCGCCCCTAGTCACATTTTTCGTGTGTAATTCATAACGTTGCCATTTGGTGGGTTGGTGACACAAAGTCAGTAGATTTGTTTCCACAAATACAACTTGCAGGCAAGAAAAAGTACAAACCAGTAAAAATTTGCAGAAAATGCAACAATCTATCAGTTGACCGCCCATACCACTGGGCAACATTTCTTGCCCCTTGCAAGCTTTAGTACAGCCGTTAGTGAGAAGCTAGCACAGGAAACTCTCTCATAGAGGTTGATGACAGGGGTTGAGTGATTTGAAGAGAGGGATGTGCATTCCATCTATTGGGAAGAATAATCAAGTACTTAAAACTGTTCCCCAATACCCTCTGACTAGAGGATCTGAAGAATGTGCCTCCCTTACTTACTTAGCAGTTTGACTCCCAAGAGTGATACAAACTTTGACTACCACAGTGTAGAATAAATAAACTTAACTTGAGGATCTGACGGACGTATCTCCCTTACATACTTAGCAGTGCGAATTAATATATAATCAATCAGCTTGCATAATTCCTAAATCCTATATTATGTTTAATCTCCTCCCGAGGAGATACAAACTACAACTACTACAGTCTAGACCAAATAAAGTTTTATCCATAGCTGATAATACTTGTCACTTTCTAATGATTTTCGTTCCAAAAAAGTCGAGGAACTATTATTAAAAAAAATCTAGAATCATCCCAGAAATCTCTTAAAATCACAAAAATGTAACAAAAACCAAAATCGATCGTCATTATTCGAAAAGTAAGTCAAACAGAATATGGAACTTATGTAGCAATTATAAAAAATAATCTCATTTTTAAGCAATGTGTTAAGTATGTGGATATAGCTGTTTAAAAAGAAAATGGCGTAAAGGTGCAGTTTAGTAGGTAAAATGGAGAGGATGTGCGGAAGTTCATTTCAATTTCTAAGAAAATATCATAGTCATCCGAAAGGCAGTAGCAGGGTCACTGAATTACCTAATAGCGATATGGGCAATCAAATTTAACAGGTTTTGGATTGAACATTCTACTAAAAATATGCACAACTAACTAAAACCTTAAATCAATGGGAAATATTGTACTCTTCGATATTGACATTTTATTGAGGTCCTTTTTTTAAAAAATTAAGTTGGGCTAAAATTTAATACACTTACCTCACTTGGTATGTTCCCGATTTCTGATACTACAGTGTACCCATGTAGAATTTCAATTTTATTCTCATTGGCGCACACAAGTGGAATAAATGGTTGCTTTTTCTTCCAATATGGTACAAATTTGGAGCAGTTATGGGTGTTGGGTTCCTTCTCGCATGGCTGTATGTGGCACTGTTGCAGTGTCTTCCGATCAGAACCAATGAGGAGCATGTGAAATGAGCTGTTTTCGTCGTAAATTGTGTCCAAAAACTTCACCGATCCTTTCTCAAACATTCGAACGGTTTTACGCTTTTCGACGTCCCAAAAATAGATAGCGTGTTGGTTGGTGCTTATAACCAAATGCGCTCCATCATCTGTCAGTGCTGCGCAAACGTTTTTTCCCCATTCCGGGTCCACCTTATATGAGTACTGCTTGCAGTCGTGCCTCCACAAGTTGATTATTGATTCGCTTACCACCACAATTTCCTCATTCTTAATAAAGAAAAAGTTGATTTTTTCCCTGTTATACAGCGAACTTTTAAAGGTGAGCTTAATTTCGGTATTTACTTCAATTATTTCATATGTGATGAGCAAATCCTCATATGAGAACATTAAATAATTATCGCACAAATAAACGCAAGAGGTCTCGTAACCTCTGCCACCCGTACTGGCCAGCACTTTGGGCGAGTCCACGTCCCACACTAAGCAATTGCCCTTCTGCGATCCGGTCACTATGCGATTACACTTCGGGAAATTAATTGAAAAATTCGCGGAAACTAATACATCCGAGCCAAATTTTTCCAATTCGAAACGCCGTTTTGGTTTAATTTGACCCCGTTCTGGTGTAAACATGTCCTGCCAATCTTTCTGGGTAGTTTTGGGAGATACTAAAAAAAAGATATCCACCCTGCCTTCATCCAAAAAAAAAACAAACAAACAAGAGAAGGTCATAATCAATAATAAACTTTTCGGAAAAGCTAAATTTACTACTTTGTAGTCACTAATAGGGAACTTGAACATTTTTTTTATTTCTTTAATATATTTGTTAGAAATAACGCATACCAAATATCAAAACCCAATTCCTTTTAAACGACACTAAACGCGCTCGTGATCGTGACGTCGTCATACCGCTGCTTTTCGAACTATACGGCATCTTATAGTGTTATTTTCAGGTTATAGGCCGAGAATTATATGATTTACGTTTATTTTTGGCTCGTGTAAAGTGTGTTTACGCAAGTTTGTATTCGCGCTTACTACGTTTTACATGGTAATAATGGAAACATCACAAAAACAATATTTCAAATCATGCCATCGTGTTTGAATTTAACCCGTAAAACGTCAAATAAACTTTTTATTAACCCTGCAAACTCTTCGAACTTGCACCCATCCTATTTCAGTCTCCAGAAGAATGACTGACTTCCTGATCTATATAAAATAAGGAACACCATTAGTTATCAATTCCAATATACTTTAAAATCAGTATTTAGGTTTCTATTATTGTTAAAAAAAATCCTTTTTGTTTTTTTTGTTGAATAATTTACACTTTATTTGATATACCATTTGAATTTTAAAAACTAGAAGACTTTAAATTGATTAATAATAATAATAATATCTTTATTATCCCACATACTTAGAATACAATCAAGTCAAGTAGGTGAAAATTAGGTACACAATGTAGATCACATTAAAAATTTATACAACAGTTTTAACAAACCTTAATAAATAAAAGATTACTTTAAATTATCAAAACTTTCAATTACATCTAGAAATGAATTTTTGTGCATTTTAGATGACTTCTTAATTTTTTCAAATATTTTATTTGGCACAACAACACTCTTGAGAGAATGGTCCAATGTACATGCTTTCAGGGAAACTTTAAATTACATCTAGAAATGAATTTTTGTGCGTTTTAGATGACTTCTTAATTTTTTCAAATATTTTATTTGGAGCTTCTATAAAAAAGTTGTTCATAAAATTGGCTCATGCTACCGGTTCCTTAATGATATTATCATTGTTTTTAATCTCAAAATTACAATTACAATATTATATTGGTTTAAAACTATTGACAAAATTTTCTATGAACATACTTTTTAGCTTTAACACCTCGAAACCCAGCAAAAGAAAAACTTTCGGTGTTTTGTATGTAAGATGTCACCATCGGCTTCGGGCATTTTCAACACTTTCTTTTTGGTACTAAAGACAAGATAACAAAAGCAAGAAACAGGATCAAGATTAAAATTAAAATTAAAACTACCAAGACTAATGCGTAGTCGTTCTCTAATGACCTCTTCATGTTACCGTCCAGCTGGCACATAGTCTAAGCAGCAAATTGACCTCACAATGACAGCGCGTTTCAAAGAGGATTTAAATTTTACAATTTTTAATTGCTTATATTTGTTTCATAAAACCATAGAATTATTTTTTTTGTGTGAACTGTGGTTCTTTTAATAGTATAAACTTACTTTTATAAGCAATATTTTTCAAATTAAAATTTTGTTCAAGTTCCCTCTCATTTTTAACATAATTTTTTCCTTAGCTTAAAAAACAAACCTGGCAAAGCTGGATCCATGCTATTTCTTTTCTTGTCGGCCGAGAACTTCCACAAGAAAACCAAACCATCCTCGCCGATAGATAAAAAGTGACTTTGATCCGGGCTGACTACTAAACTCTTTACTAAACCAGTGTGCCCCACAAAACTCGATATTTCTTTCTCATACTGCTCAAAAAATAGCTAAAAGGAGGGTGTAAACAAAAACATATAACTGAAAATTCTAGTCGAACCTTTATTTTACCGTTAGCAGTTCCGACCAAAATGTGCTGGGGCGTATCTACGAAACAAGCGCAAGTAACGTCGTCTTTGACTTGAATTATTTGCGAATAACCAAAATCACCAACAGGTCGCCTTAAAAAAAATGGAAATAACGTACGCTCACTTAAGCTTTTCGATGATTAGAAAACTCACTGAAATTCAAAATACAACTCGGAGGATTCTTTGGCAGCATCCAACGCAACCTTAAAAACATAATTGTTTTTGTCCTCCTGCAGGGCATATTGGATAATGTCTGTTTTCGGGAAATTAAACAGATTCGCGCCCAGTTTCTTGATAAATTCCTTATATTCCAATAAATTGTGTTTGAGCACCTCATTCTGAAACATTAAATTTATTTTAGTTTGTTAACACTTTTGAAAATGAATATTTGGGAATTTCTCCTTAAAATCATCATTTATTTCTAACAAATACCTAAAGGATGTTTCGAGAAAATTATACTGGAACCCAGAATATGTAAATAATAATAACTTCAAATATGATAAGAAGTTGAGTTAACATTTTGATGTTTGTGACAGACTTGACTGAGATTTTCAGTTCCCAACAAAAAAAAAATATGTTTGCCTCCACGACACCATTCGTAACAGTAACTAATTATATTCTTTTAATTTTTAATTATTTGCAGTATAAAATTAATTTGTTTTTAAAATAAAAGATACATATTGTCCATCGAGAGTTCCAGCATAAACAATGGTTTAACAAACAAAATTTGCAGAAAGAGTTATACAGCGAATACTACAGATTAATGATTATTGTTTGAGTTAACATTTGGCAAAAAATATAATAAAACTTACCTCTTTGGTGATAAACTTTTCATATTTCTCCATGTCCCGAAGCAGATCCTCCTTGCCTACTGTTTTCAGCTTGGCTTCAATGAACTTCAAGTCAAAATAAATGTTAAACCTATCATAGTGCTTCGCATGATACAGATGATAACCAATAAAATGTAGTGAATAGTTATCATTAGGAAGGAAAGCGTAATTTCCATTGGTTAATTTGTCATAGCCTAAGATCAACCGCCTGTGAATGTCAGTGAGCTTATCTTTTGCTTCTTCTTTGAGGTAGTTCAAATAAATGTCATGGACACCATATATAAACCTTTGGAGATCATAATGATAGAAAGGTACCACAAGAGATTTCTCAGCAAATTTGTTCATGGTATTGCGTACATCTGACGGGTCAGTGTCCCAAAGTATTTCCAGCACTTCTGGGGGAATGTTGACATCTTGTAGGAATATGGCCAAGTCTTCGTAGCGAGATTTGAGCTTTGCATTTTTTGAAAGCAGCTGATTTACACATTTCTTAATCATTTCATTTGGTATTTGGACTTGTTCATCAAACTCATTTAATCGATATTCACCTTTACGAAACATTGTTTCAATATACCCCCAAATTAGATCCTTGCTTCCACATGCATGATCTCTGTTATCACTTAAATAGGATCCTATTAAAGCTATTAAGGTAGGATGACCTTTGCATATGTAATACACTTCTTCAGCACCTACAGGGAGATCTTTATCTGTACCCAATGATATTCTAAATAAGTTCATTGCTTCATTTAAGGAAAAACCAGTCTTAACCTAAAAAAAATAAATGAAATGTTATGCTAATTGATCATTATTCTGTATACCTCCACAAAGTGAGCATCTTCTCTACCAAGAATATTTTTATCTTGAGTTGTGACCACAGTCCTACAGCCAATATCAAAAAGTTTAAGCACTTCACTGCTACAAACATCATCTAAAATTATAAGGGCATTGTTCAGTCTCTCTTCAAGGAAAATGTTAATTAAATGCTCTTTTAAAATTTGTACATCATCAGGGCAGTGAATCTTGTTGGAACTATTGCATGCGCTACAATACAGCCTTAAAAATTTAATTCATTAGATATTTTATCATAAAAAATGTATTGTTCTTACTTCCACATTGTTTGTAAAACATTGTTGCTGTTGTGATACTCTCCCAAATTCACCCAAAAGACATTGTTGTCAAAGTATTTACGGAGAATTTTGTCATTCAACACTTCATTCACAAGGCATGATTTTCCATATCCCATCATACCATAGACTACCAACTTCTTATTCCAGGTGATATTCTCCAATACTGATTTTACATGTTTTGACTATCAAAGAAATAATGTTATAATCAACACAAACATGTTTAGAAAGTATTTAAACCTTTATAGTTTCGTAAGAATTAAATAAACAAACTACTCAATTAAATAGGTAATTACCAATTGAATCCATTCCTGATGCCGCATTAAAAGAAATAGTTATTCAATTAATTTATCAAGAGGAAGCATATTTTTGGGCTCTCCATTTACAAAAGAATTAATGAAACACTGGTAAATAAATCGTTATAATAAACACTCATCATTTTCTCAACTTACCAAAGTCTCTCTCCTGACATAATTTGGGGGCAACTTTGGAAAACTGCCTCTTACTGATGATATTCTAAAACGCCTTTCATCTTCCTTAATTTCTTCAATGTTTGGGTATCTTTTAACTAAATATTCCAAAACCAGATCAAAATGTTTTTTTCCATTTGTGACTACAATATTAAAAATTTCGTTTAGTCTGTTCCTTTCGGGCTAAAATGGAAAATGATTGAATTGATTGCTAAAATAAGTCTTTAATTGCGTACCTGAACCCAAACTCCATAATAATCCTTTTTACCCAAAACATCTATCGAAATTAAAAAATCTATAAAATCATTTAACTCGATTGCTTCCGAATATTGTTTTAATTTCGATATATTGGAAGAGCTTGGCTCCATTTCGATTTAGAAACAATGGAATTAAGGAAAAATTAATCAATATCGGAAAACATTTTAGTACCACCGTTATTTAACAGATAAACAAAGACAAATATTTGCCAAGAGTAAAAATTAAAAAGACATAAGCAAAATAAAACAAAACTGATTATTAAAATTAGTCACATCAGTTACCACCACTTGTCAAGACCTGTCACTTCCACAGACAATTTCTCAGTGCACATATATGCACTGCTGGGCTCAACGAAATACAAACAAAACTGACATATCAGCCTTTCTTTCTGACATCGATGTCAGCGTATCAGATGAACAAAAAAACCAAAACCATCCAACACCCTTCTCATCATCATAGGTGATAAAAGTAAGAGACGGTAAATAAAAAAGGATAGTTATATCGGTAATGTAATTCGTTAGTGCCACTGCAGTGACGTCGTTTGGCCCATCAAGTAGATAATATTGGTTAGATTATGTTAATTGTTTGGTTTATATTAATTGCTACCTTTCATTATGAACCAAGGCAACTTTGATCCATTATCTCCTGTGAGAACTAATAAATATAGGAAAAAGAATGCTTCAAAGTGAACTTTTTATTTCAGAGCAATCTTTGGGTCGGAATAGAGACTATAAACAAATGGACCAATAACGTAAATTTTATTTCTATAAATTCACAACGGGCAAACGGTATTTGTGTGCCGAATTATTTTTAATAAAAGGCTGTTTTAGTTTTGTCCAGTTAAAGAAATTGTCGCTTGTATCACACGTTGTGACGTTATACGCAGTTACGCTACTTGTTCTATTCTATGAAAGCCAATATTTGAGCAATTTGCATAAGCAATCGGTGGATTTAGTTTCTGGTCTATGGGACTGTGGTGAAATTAGGGAGGATATAGTCAATTACGTTAATGTTGAGCTGTTTTTGAGCGAGTTTTTTGAGAACGTTAAATTTAGCAGTGGCAGCAGATTGTGTATGCAGAACATCGCGTAAATAACCATCTGGGTGACAGTCCGCCCATTTTTTTTGTCTGGTCGCTAGTGGAACCGAAGTTTTCATCATAACGCTGTCAGATACTGCGTTGATGGACATGGTTGTTTCAAACTTGCAGCAGCAACGTGCAGTTACGGAACAATTGCGTCGCGAAGCAGCGATCAAAAGAATGCCAGTTTCATTAGCCGTAAAAGACATAATAAAATATGTGACAGAACACGAACAGGACGACTGTCTGGTTGTGGGCTTCTCAAGTCAGCGGGTCAACCCATTTCGAGAAAAAACTCCGTGCGCCTTGTTGTAGTTGTATGAGTAATTTAGATCAGTAAGCTACTAGTGGGACTCAAGTCATCAATAGTATTTTAAAAATAGTATGTTGAATTCAACACTCATGTTTGGCCTTTGGATGAAAATTTGATGTGCAACAATTCAAAATTAATTAATAATTGAAAGTGTCATTTGGGATAGAAAATTTGAAAATCTAAAAGTATTCCTATTTCTAATTACTGAACAGAGGTCTATTTTGTAATCCAATTTTTTTAAACAACTGTATAAATTAAAAATTAAGAACTCCATTGGCAAAAAGTTGACCCAATTTCTCTCAAAAAATGTATATTTGTTGTTAGTATCTGATCTACTAAATTGCTAAAACTATGAGTCTGTTATATATTTTCAGAGAACAGTTCTATGGTTTATGTTTATCATTTACAATAAAGTAATATTTAGCGTATTACGGTGTATTTTTCCAATTTTTAATGCTCCAAATGTACAATTTTTGATTTAGGTGTAGAATGCCTTTATCTGTATTCTTGTCTTCGATTTTGCTGCAACATTAAACAAAAAAAATGCCTTAAAAATTCAATTCAGTGAAAAGTTTGAATGTCTGGCAAGACAAGGGTACTTTTGCCTTAACAAAATAAAATCATCATGGATCAACTATAAACTATATTTTTCTTATTGTACAGTTTAAGGTAAAAGTCCTATCTGTTGTAGGGCTATAGTAGCTGCTACAGCCTTAGCTTCTTTTTTATTGGCGCTGGCTACATTGGGTTTGTATTCTACCCCATTAACTATAACCTGTAAAAAAAAAAAACTATTCTACCTTGTTAGTGTATAAAACGATTACTTTAAACAGGAAATTTTTCTTGTGATCAGGACCACATTCAAACTCCAAAATGTACTGAGGTGCGCCAATTTTCTTCTTTGACGTATATTCGCCAAGCAATGAGACAGGATGTTTTCCTTGTAGATTCTTGACAGTTGGTCCTTTGATTTTTTTTTTAACACTTTGTTTACTCTCTTCCTCATTGGCAACTAAACCTCGCTTGTCCAACTTCACTTCCAACAATAGAGGTTCCAGAGCACCAGTCTTTTCTTTGCCTAATCCTTCACCAGGTTTCCAACCCATTTTCTGTAGGAGATGCATACCCATACCACCAGAAACTGGCGCTGCAGTTTGCAACTGGTCCTAATTTAACAAAGCAACAAACGCTTGAGCTGAACATAGATACGTTTTGGTTATCATATTTCAGATTTCAACACTTACCAACCTTCCGTATCTGCTCAAAAAAGTGAGAAAATCCGATGGGGCAACATCAATTCGATAACTCTAACAAAACAGGCCTAAAACAAATTTTCAGGTAGCAGATCATAAACTAAAAGCATAGCTTTTAGTTTATGATAGCATAGCATTTAGTTTACCAAATCTCCAAGACAACCAATCAGTTAGCAAAAAAAATTAAGTGAAACAAGCCTGTGAAAAAGGCATTAGGGTAAGGTGAAATTGTTTCAATTAAAGTTTTAATTTAAATATAGCTGCTGTAAGAGTTCTTATCAATTTGGTAGGTACATGTGGAGTATTCGGGAAAATGAAGGCAATTCATTCGATTTAGATAACACACAAAATAACATAGGAAGTTAAAAACAATAGACAATAATACTTGTGGCAACACGATTAGTACAAATTGAGAGGAGAGATCCAGATCATTACATGAGCAAATTTTTAATTGTTACATTTGGTGACAAATTATTAACAAAACATGTTTTTGTTAAATCAGCACAATACTAAAATCGTGCCCTTGAAATATTTAGTTTTTTTACACTTTAATTCTTATATGTTTAACATCCTCTACCCTAAAAGCTGTAAACAAACAAGCATTTTCCGGCAAGCTTGTAGTCTGTAAGGATGTTAAAACATATATATGCATTAATGTGTAAAAGTTAGTTTTGGTAAAATGTTACAATTTCTTTAACATGTAAATATAAATCAGTACTGAAGACAAAATTTTTAACTAGTTATATTATTTTTGTGTTTTATCTAAGCAGATGGATAGTCCACATTTTCTTGGACACCCTGTATAAAGCAACTTTTATAAGGCACAGATTTCATCTCTTGCATCAGAAATGATCTGCACCTTGGACCTATTCTTTATGAACACAAGTTCAAAAAGAACTGTACAAAAATGTTCCTGAAAATTTGTCTGAGCCCTGAAAAAGTAAACAATTTTTGCTTTACACACAAATAACTTCATCAAATACAATGTTGGGGTGGTTGAATATTTCCTTTACCACAATTAAGATGTGCTTGTTGAAGTAAATTTTAGGATCTAGGCTCTGAAATTTAAACTAAGTCATTAAATTATTGAAGCACCTTCTTGGCCCAGGCTTGGTATCCTGAAGCTAGCTCTGTTTGGGACATTATCTGTGCTCCAGTTGAGCCTGTGAACTGACCAAATTGCTGTTTGCTTTCGGCCCACGATTTCATCTAAAACTTAAGAATTGTGTTTGTTGCTAAAAGAAGGCATGTAAAAATTACTTCTTGAGTAGATTTGTACATTTGAGAAAGAGCTTGGACATCATTGGGGTTTTCTTGCAACTTTCTCATAGCTGTCAATCTCTGGGAAACAATAGACCCGATATCTGATGACTAAAACAAATAAAAAAATATATTTTCTACACCGTATATCAAAAATTTAACATTTACTTCTGTTATTTGTATAGGGGTGGCCTCTGGTACTGGAGGTGCGGGTATTTCCACAATTGGTACTATAGTTGGCGAAGAAAGAGGTGGGAGAGGCTTAACAGTGGCAACTGGCGCCTCTGCGCCTTTTCTGCTTGCAATAGGTTCTGTGGGAAGCACCACTTTGGGTTTAACATTTTCCACAGACTTTTGAATGGAAGATGGCGCGACTGGTATCCATTCCTCATTAACCCGATGCTGTTGTCCACTGCTTACTGGAAACTGCATCCTCAGTTCAGTGGTTCGTTCTTGGGTAGTTTTTGTGGGTAATGGTACTGAATTCTAAACAAATCATGGTTAACTTGAAAAATACGAAAAATTATTGCAGTATTAACCTTGATATTAATTGTAATGGAAGTTGGCCTATCTTTAATCTGAAATGGATGATGGAATAGCTCATCAGTGTCACTGCCATTCCCTGACAAACTAGACAGTTCACCTAACTCTTCTTTTTTAGACAATGACTTACAAAAGTCTGTCAATTCTTCTATAGTCTTGCCACCAGATTTAATAGCTGCTATGACTTTTTCCTGAGCTTGTGGACCCAATGCTAGTGCTCCAGGGAGATTGCCTGATTTCATCATTAGAATAGCATTCCTACGAGCAATTTCCAATAGCTTTTTTTTGTCTATATAAGAAGAATCACTCTCCCTATGTCTTTCTCTGGACCGACTTTTATCTCTGTTTCTTCTATATTTATCCCTTGTTAATTGTTCACTATCTTTGTATCTACTCCTATAATTTGAATCATCCCTGAATCTGCTCTTATAAAAGTTATCATTTGAATTATTTCTATATGTTCTATGTTCTCTTGATGTTTCTCTATTTCTTTCGCGACTCCTCTGACCACAGTCGCGCACCTGTTCTTTAGAAACATGTTTACTACTTGATTCCGGAGATTTGCTATATTTAATTTTATTACGTAAATCTTGAGATTTTTTTTCTCTGCTCCTGCTACGATGTCTACTAATACTTCGCCTCTTCTTGTCTGATTTCTTTTCTTTATGTTTGCTTTTTTTGTGCTTCTTGTCAATTAATTCCCTCTCATCCTTTTTATAAGGTTTTGTTGGAGTTGCTCCCTTATTTTTACTTCTATGGTGTTGTCCCTCTTTTTGTACAATTGCCTGCTTGATTTCTTTGATTTCAGCAGTCAATGAAGTTCCCTCAATTTTAATTTTCTTCTCCGCTACATTTTTTTCTTGTTTTATCAGTATCTCAGCCAAATCAATTTCAGTTTCATTTGATGACAAACTATTTGAACGTTTCCTCTTTTTATTCTTTTTGTGTTTCTTGTCTTTATCTTTGTGTTTGTGTTTCCTTTTGCTCTTCTTAATTTTCTTGTGAGTCTCGCCTTTAATTTTTTTTTCCTTTTTAACAATTACTGGAGGCTCAGCGTCGAAGGTACTAAAAAGTTCAGATAAAATTTGCATTGATGATTTTTTTGATTCCTCAACATCTTCTTGTATTTTAGGTTTCTGAGCATCTTTCTCTATTTTAGGTTCCTTAATAGCTGTCTCTAATTTATGTTCCTCAGCATTCTTCTTTCTTTTCGTTTCTTCGGCATTTTTCTCCAGCTTGGGTTCAATTGTCGAGTTTTCACTAACAATGGACATGTTCAATATTACCTCAATAAAAATTATTTGATAAAGTCAAAATATTTAGCTACAAACATTACAAAGTACAAACCACAGAACATTTACAAAAAACTTTGCTCCTGTCTATGTTCTATATATCACAGACGATAGACAAATAAATATGGTTGCAACACAACACTTTAAAAACTTATTTACTTATTTGCATTCATGCGTATATATATTTTTTTCTACTCCGATCTGTAAAATGACTGATTACACACCGATCCAACGTGCGGGAAGCGCTACTTTACCACTTCGGTTTGGTTTCCAACGGATGAGCCACTTCGGATATTTCCGGGATTTTACCGCACGGGTTTGGAGGCAATCGGATGTTTTCGGAGGTATTTCCCACTCCTTGAATTGTGACGTTTGTCAATTCTGACGGCCATGTCAGTGAATGAATTCGTGTGGTTTTGCGAAAATGTACCCAAAAACTAATGGTCGTAGAAAAAGTATAGTATGTAACACGTTAGGTAAACTTTTTTATCTACTCCCGTCTGTAAAATACCTAATTACACACCGATCTAACGTGCAGGAAGTGTGACTTTACCACGTCAGTTTCGTTTCCCACGGTTTCGAGCCACTCCGGACATTTCCGGGATTTTACCGTACGGGTTTGGGGACAATCGGATGTTTTCGGAGGTATTTCTCACGCTTTAAATTTTGACGTCTGTCAATTCTGACGGTCATGTCAGTGAATGTAATAGTGTTGTTTTGCGAAAATGTACTCAAAAACCAACGGTTGTAGAAAAAGTATACTATGCAACATGTTCGGAAAACTTTTTAATTTGTTTATTAAAAATGCGCTCCGCTGCGCTCCGGTCGTGTCAAATAAACTCGTAAGTCAAATGCCGTTTACCGCACTTGTTGCATAATTTACTATTAAACTTTTGAATTTGTTGTTTAGTGTAAGACGTTCATTATAAATTAATAGCAATTCAAAAACAATGTCCTTGCTTATAACTATAGGAAATTTAACCGCATTCGTTAAAAAGTCTTCGGTTTTTAACGTAAAAAGTTAACCTTTTAAAATTGTTGTAACCAATTAAAAAATAATGGAAAATATAAATGCAAATTTTAGGGAAAAATCTATGAACTTTCATGGCAGCTGTTTTCATAAAGTACCATTGAGCTTTCATCGTTTTGAAAAAAAAAGTTAACTTGCAGTATCTTCATATCTAATAATAGTATATTATTTAACGAGCGTATTATGAAGGCCATAATAAACGAGGATGATTTATAAAACGAGCCGCTTGCGGCGAGTGTTATAATCATCTGAGTTTATTATGGTCCATAATACTCGAGTCAAATACTATACTTTATCTACAACCATCCACTTATATAGGGTACCTCACCGGAATTGAAATGTGTCATTTTATTGTGAAAAAAAACTATACATGGGAGAAACCTGAAAATTCGGTAGGAAGCTAATGCTGATGGCAGAGCAATTCAGCTAGAATATTCTCAAGATGGTGGCACTTCCGGTTAGGCCGGAAGTGGATGTTAACTTGCTTTATATGAAATGGAACATAATATCATACATTTTTAGATTCTACCATTCACTCAATATCAACACTGGTTACTGTTTATGTATGCTGTTTATGTTATATGTTTATGTGTTATGAGTTGTGATGTAATAAGGAATAAATTCAATGAAAGTCCTGGATTGAACATTTAATAAGTTTAATAATATTTAATTAACATTTACACTTCAGCACACAATTATTTTTAAATTGACGCTTAATAGGATCATTATGTATTACTCTGTCTATTTCATAAAATTGATTGTTATATTAGGGCAGTTATTGAAATTCATCGTAGTTGGTGTAGTACCAATACTAATGTCCGTGGTGTCTTTACTAATCGAAAAAGTGTTATGAGAAGATTCGCTCGTAATAGTAGACATACCTGGATATTGTGAGGGGGTAGAAACAAAAGTACTGTTATTAATATTACAATTAGGGTTGATTTGACTTAATATTTTAGTAGCTGCATCGGTCTTGTTCTTCTGCGAGTCTGCAATATAGCCTTCAGCTACAGAAGCCGACTTCCAGCCTCCGTGGCGCTTCAGAGCTGTCATACTTGCCCCTGCGTCGACATACAATGTGGCTGAAGATCGTCGTAGACAGTGCCCGGTATATCTTTCTGGGTTTTTGATTTGTAAGAAACTTGCAATTTCTCTGCCCATTTTGGCAAACTTGTTAATGCCGATAACTTGTTTTGTGCATTTTCCATTTTGAAAATTCATAAAAAAAGAATCTGATGCATTTGGCAGTCTCAGATTTGCATATTTTTTAACAATATCATGGAACTTCTCAGTAATAGTAAAATTCCTAGGGATCTTGGTCTTCGTAACGGGAACTATTACTCTAGTGCAACCTTCATAAAATGTAACGTGTTGTATTTTCATTGCATGTAGTTCATTTGAGCGGCATGCACCCATCACTCCCATAATTAATGCAACCTAAAAAATTAACACCTCTTGGTAAATACCGTAGGTATGTAACGTCTTATCATTCCTTACCTTTGTAGCCAAATATTTTGTATCAGGAGCTTCATAAATAAATTTATTTATTTCCTGTCCGGTAAATGCCTTAGATTTTTTGGGTTGATAGCCTTCTGATTGTCTTTTTAATAAAGCATGTAGCTTCGCGTAGTGGTCGATCTTGACATTGTGTTTAATATAAAGTGTGCTTTTCAGCATGGAATAAAACGTCCACAAGGAGGACGACTTATACTTTTTAGCCAATTCTTTGAAATACACTAATAATGTATCTTCAGAGAAGGAGGTGGCCTTGTTTCTTGATCGCCAATCCATGAAATTGTTGTAGGCAATTTCATAATTGTTTCTTGATTTCTTGGGAAGTAAATCCAGAGACGCAGCTTCCGCTGCCGCTCGAATTTCCGGGGGTGTTAGTACTTCGTTTTCAGAATCCATTTTTATTAAATCTTATGTTTTAATTGCAAGGCGAAATTTTAAAGCTTCTCTATATGAATATTATTTACTTTACAATTATTATTTCATGAAAGAAAATGTTTGTATTCACGATGAGCGTCGCGTCGGGTAAGCTGTCGCTATGGATACCCGCTGCGCGCTGTCAGATTTAGCCTGCACGGCCTACTAATTCTTTTTAATTATTGTCATATTGGTTTGTATTTTTTGAACTGTTTTTGAATAATAGAATTGAATTGGTAACGTGTGTATGACTTTAATATGGGTAACTTTATAGTAAATTTTCATAAAAATAATAAATGAAATGTGTGAATTCTGCGCCGATTAATTGAAGCCCGGATTATTAAGAATTCCAGAATATTTTATTACACTTGTTGTTTTATGATATAATTACACTTGTTTTTTTATGATATAATTACACTTGTTGTATTATGCGTAGCATAATACTCTCACTGTCAGAAGTATTATGCGTCTATTATTAAATGGTTGTAGATAAAATCAATTAATGATATATTTTTATGCATTGGATGGATCGATTTAAAATCCTTTCTGTATATTTGTTTTTATAATTACATTGTTTACGTCTTTTAATCGCTGTACATGTTTCCTCTATTGGAAAAAATGAAATGCAAATTTAACCAGTAGTACTAAAAAAAGAAAAAATAAGTGAATGCATCAGGTTACTGGGGCGCATTATTAATTTTGCGTTATTATTTGAACTATGTCAATGTCGTTTGGACCTGGTATAACCATTTGTATATTTAGGTGCATAATAATTATGGATTTCGAAACGGAATTTGTAAGCGTTATATACGCAAACTATAAGCGGTGTTAGATTAGTTTAATAATACCATCGAAAATGCGAATCGGTTTGTGTTTGGTGGTGGCATTTGTTTGCGCCTGCGAATGCAGATTTAATTTTTCTAATACACAAAATTACAATAATATTAACGAAACATGTAGTAGTAGTAAGTATAGAAACCATTTTATATGTGTTAGTAAACTTTGTGTAAATATCGAAAGATTTATGCTTAAAATGTTAATTCGTGTACCTATTATATGTAGGAATAAAAATTTTTGTTTTTAAAATTGACTGAATTGCAGGATATTTTACGAAATTTAACGAAACATTGACGATTGCTCAGCCGGTTTATACTATTCCGGCGAAAATGAATATTTCCGATATTTTTCATATGTGGCACAGTTTTCCTGTGCAAGTGTTAGAAACATCCAGAGCGGTTTCCTCGCGATGCGCGACGGGTTACAAAAAATACCTGGCAAAATTGATCGAAGGCGATCTCAAGGCTTTAAAGAGTGAGTATAAAAGGCGAACTTATTTTTTTCTACGTAGGGAATAAAAATATTTTCGTTAAACCAGTGTTTGATGCAACTGCTAAATTGCCCTCGGGATTGCTAAGGGGTAATGTAAATCAGTATGGCGATTTCGACGAATGCTTAGAAGTCGAAGAGGCTCAATATTGTTTAATTGAGCTCGATTTGAGCGCGCTTTGGAAAAAATCAAATCTTTCCGAATATAGACACTTGGTCCACTCCCATTTTAGTATAAAAGAGACCTTCGACGATGTAAGAGCAAACATTTTGTTTTGTGCATATGTAACTTTTTTCTTACTAGCCCGGGCACCGAGTACCTGGCTTTAACATAGTAAGGTGGGGATTTTGTATACCAAAAGGGTGCAACGGCAGAGATTTGAGTGATTCTCTAAGGAAAACATTGGGCGTGAAGGCTAGAGCGAGACCTTTCCTGTGTCAGATGTCAATAAAGAAACCTCTTATATTGTCTCTCGGCGATTACGTAGCCAGAATATACTTTTCCATAATTGTCATTTGCATTATCATTTCAACTTTGTACTACGAGAAGCTAGGAAAGAAATATGGTGAGTAGATCAAAAGTCGGATGTCCAATAAATATATTTTATAAACATTTTTCTTAGCAGATAGCAAAATTGTCCAAATGATAATGAGCTTTTCTTTCAAAAAAAATTACAGCCAATTAATAAGAATCAGTGAAAGCATCCAAAATGAATACAAGTCGGTGCACGGTGCTAGGTTTTTGGCTGCTCTGGCTTTATTAATGGCGCATAAAACCATGGCTTTACTGTACAACCCTTACATAAATAGAACGTGGATGACTGAAGTAAATTGGCGTACCTTATTCTAGTGAACTCAATCTAAACTGAGTGGTAACGGCTTGATAAAAATAAGTGAGGCAATTTTTATATTATAAATAAATGGGGATTGTTGTCTGTAAGACATAAGAGTGGGTGTTCTCGTTGTCCAATTGAGTTATCTATCGATATATTATTATTGAAAACAATGTTTTCTCCAAATATTTATATAAATTAAAATTGATTTACTTAAAAATCCAAAATATTTTGTCTTTCTAACGTTTAAAAAAAAATTTGGCCAAAAATCATTAGGCATGTACTTACATATTTCTAAATAATCCTTGTAAAGATATAACACACAGTACAGTATTAACATGAATGACAATGAAAACATTCACAGAATACTAAAAAACAATCCACATTAGTACCGTCTCATTCTAAATAAAATTTATCTCATAAAATCGTCATTGGCTGCAATACCAGAACCCTTCCAGTTCCATAGATCGAGTTCATTGTCTCTAGTAGTTCTTTGATTTTATTGATTTAAGTTAACTTTTAAAACTTGAATCAACTTTTTGTAGACACATTCAATGGAATGGTCAGTTATAGGACGTAATGCAATAATCTTCACCGATGTCTTCTTGCTAATAAGTGGCCTTTTAAATGCGAGTGTGTTATTCAAAGAGTTAGACAAAGGAAATTATTTTATGCATTTTAAAGAGAAAATTTTCAATAGATTGTTTAGGTGAGTAGTACATGATAGTAATAGTGGTGAAAAAATCTAAGGTTTAAATTTCAGTCATAAAGAAAAAGTTTGTTTTCTATAACTATTTAAATAATATTTTAGTACCTAGAAACAAAAAAAAACGTTAATCCAGGTTAATATTCAATAAAATATATTTTTCACACAGGCAATTCTATTGCAAGGTAATTTATTCACTGGCAGATCCAGAAGGCGACGCAGATCTTGATCCAGACCCAGATCTTGATCTGCTGCGTGATCTTGATTCTGACTTAGATCTAGATCGTGACCTTGATACTGACCTGGATCTTGAACCAGACTTTGATCTAGATCGTGACTTACTTTTGGATCTTGATGGTGATTTGCTTTTTGACTTTGACCTAGAATGAGATCTTGAAGGAGATTTGGAAGGTGACCGTGACCGTGAGGGGGATTTTGATTGTGATCTTGATCGCGAACCCGATCTGGATGCACTGGCAGATCGAGATCTTGACTTTGACTTTGACTTGGATCGGGAACGGGACCTTGATGTAGACTTAGATCTGGAACGGGATTTTCTTGAATCTTTAGATGATCTGGACGACGCCCGAGACTGTCTTCCCTCTTCATTGCTTTCATTACCACTATCTTTAGCTTTTTCATTTTTCTCTTGTTCTGATTCCCCTTGACTTTCATTGCCCTGTTCATTTTCCTCTTCAATCTCTTCCAGTTCCAGTTCTTCATCATCGTCACCTGGTGGTTCAAGCTGTTTCTCCCTATATCTTTGCATTCGAAACTCATTGGCATTCATTGGTCTGTGTTTTACAACTAATCTTGTGTTGCTAGGTGCTTGGCCCACTTTTTGCCTCCTTTTACTAAGACGCACTCGGGTCTCAAGCTCATTATAAAAAATACCATCACTTCTAACAACAAAAAAGTAGTTTTCCTCATATCCTTTGCTTGCTTTGCTCTTGACATTCCAGTTGTATTCTCGTGCCATCTTGTATTCATATTCTTCATCATCTTGATAAGGGATGTTATTGGCAAAGTCTTCTCTGCGTTTTCCTAATGTTTCTTCAGTGGGCAGGAAATATGCTACAAACTGTTCACCACTTTCATCCATGACACCCCTTATCATGGCTTGTGACATTTCTTCTATCTGAGCAGGAACCTGTTTACCTACAGGGGCAGGATCTGAGTCGAAGATAACCTGTGCACAAGGATACTTCCACAAATTAAAATCAGGAAATACTGGAAGAATTTCTACAGGAACAACATTTGGTTTACTATAATGCTTTTCAATTGGGGCTTTGGAATCCAAAAAGGTTTTTTCAATTGCTTTGATTTGTGAGTCTCGATCCATATACAATGTTTCATTGTTGAGTGCTTTTTTAATGCTAAATCCAACTTTGGCCTCAACTTTATCCATTGTCTGTGGCTGAAACCGCGTCTGTTCAGTGGATATGTACTCAGTTCTTCTCAGCCATGATACAGATTTTGCATGGTGACGAGATCTTTTAGAATCTTGAGGCGTGAGAATGTCTTCCTCCAGCAATTTCTCATCAGCTGGGTCTAGTTGTGCCCCAGGTTTAACAGTATAAGTATCTTTATCAATCAAATTAATGCTCACCCCCAAATCATGTTCAGTCAGAACTTCATACCTGTAGTTTCTTTCCAGAGATGTCGGATTGTACTGTATAAATCTTGAAGATTCAAATGGATACGATATAAACTTCAAATCGAACGGAATATCGGGCAACGTGTTGCAGTATTTTACCTTGCATATTAAATCGGATCTGCAAATGCAAAGAAAATTAAACAAAAAAAAACAAATTACTATGAGGAGACAGACCTTTTTTCTATCGGTTTTACAGGTCGTTTCTCCACAGAGGGGCTTATGCCGCTCTGTATTGTCGGGGGCATCTTACATTAAAAAAGAAAATATTTATTAAATATACGTCAAAACTAACCTTCCCATATATCAATCTTGGTTAGTCAAAACGAAACATTCAACGACAGTTGACATTGACTGTAATTATAGGAAATGGCTACTTGGTGGTCCAAGTTCTGACGTCATTGGCGGGACAGTTTTCTGAAAATCTATAGCGCTTTTATTTTTTAATTTCTTCTGTTTCAGAATATTACCCAGTTTAATTTCTGTGATATTGTTTTGTACTTATTTGCTTCCTTACTTGGGGTCTGGTCCATTGTGGCCACTGGTTGTAGATCACCATTCAATTTTGTGCAAGAAATACATGTGGAGAAATATGTTTCTAATTCATAATTACTTTGGTTTCGAAAACATGGTAATTATTTAAAAACGAGTAACTCTGAACTAATTTACAAGTTAGTAAATTGATGTTTTAGTGTTTAACTCACACTCATCAGGTTGGAATAGATATGCAGTTATTTCTTGCGACACCCCTTTTCGTATATTTGATTTGGAGATATAAAAGGACCGGATTTTGGATCATCGCCACCTTTGCGGCCCTATCTACAGCTCTCAGATTTTGGGCAACGATGAAATACAACCTCAGCCATTTCGTTCATTTTGGAATCCCGTAAGTTTTTCAACTTAAAAAGAAACGTAACAAAAACTGTTTTCGTTAGAATTTCAAGAATGTTCGACACAGCAAACTATTCGTATATTTTGCCCACTCACAGAGCTACTATTTACTTAATGGGTGTTACTCTAGCGTATGCGCTTCGTTATACTCGCAAACGGCCTTCAATTACTAAGGTTTGTATTTGGGTGTTACACAGGGTGTTTCTAATGTTTTCTTGGATATCTCACAGATTCAGGTTTATATATTCCTATTTAAATTATTTAAGTATTGAAAGATTCCTCAAACAATATTTTTATGACATCATTTTTTGTCGAGATTATCTTTAAAAGTTTTCATCTGGAGAAGTCGAATGTATCTCATGTGCCTCTTTATGAATTAAAAATCTAAAAATTCGTAACGAAGCTTGGACACCCTGTAGATTTTTGTTAAAGTAATGAACAATTCCGTTACAAATCGAACCAAAATATTTACAGGGCCAAACTGCTATAATATGGACACTTCTTTATCTTGTGAGTTTTGGCACCTGGTTCGGACCAATAAATATGTCAGTCCGGACCTACGAATACAACAAATTGCAGGCAGCTTTGTATGGTGCCATTTCACCTATAACGTGGGGGGCGGGGGTGGCCTGGGTAATTTATAGCACCGAACGGGGATTTGGCAGTAAGTAGTTTAAGGTGGTTTTCCACTTTACATCATATTAGAAGCACTCATCGTTCTGTTTTAGGTTGGTTCGCTTATATTTTGAATTGGAAATATTTCGAAGTATTTACTCGTATTGCGTATGCTGTATACTTAGTTCAGTTTCCTGTATTTTTCTACAATGTGGGAATCAGGAGACACGTTGATGAATATAAAAGTTACATGATGGTAAGCCAACATATAATCATATGTAGTCGTGAATTTTTTCAAGCGCTCTTTTTTATAGCTTCCGCCTCTGGAAACTGGAGTAATATTAGGTCTTTCTACGCTTCTTACGTTGTGTATAGACATGCCTTTCCAAAACATTGGTAAAATATGCTTGCTAAAGAAGAGGCGCCATATTAATTAGATTGCCTTTTGCCACTATTAGGGGCCATGTATATTTTAGGATGTTCTTTATAAATGTACAGTATTTGTAATATAATTTATATTTTAAGATATGCAATTTGTGTCTTTTTTGAGTTTAATCATAAAAAAGCTTTGAAATAATTAAGCACAACTACGAACATAGGACTCATAAGAAAAGAAAATTGGAATTAAATATTTACGTTGGATCAAATATCACGCAAAATTACCCAGAATTTTTCTCGTTAGCAGAGATGAGGTAATGTGCATATAATGACATTATTGTATACAGAATTTTTCGCGTTAGCAGAGGAGCGCTAATGTGCATTTAATGACACTATTGTATACAAGATTTTTTCGATTTCACATGACAGAATTTAATGACTGAAGCCAGGTTTTAGGGACACATAGTAAAAATAAGGGTATTTAGGTGTGTTGCTTGTCGTGTTACTGGATTTTTTAGGAGGAAAAAATAATTATATCAATAAGAATTCATGATGCCAGGTGGGCAAATTTAAGCAACTGTTATTTATTAAAGTTATTCATCACTCTTATTTCCCTTATTTTTTCTCATTTGCTAGGCTTTTTTCTACGCAGTCGTGACACATGTCTTGTTGTAAAATTGTCGTCTATTATACATGCAAATTTTAAATAAAAACATATAAAGTGATTTAACGTTTATTAAATTTTAAAGAAAAAAAATAACCATAATTAATCAACCATTTTGTATCGAATTTCGCTGTCGCTCAGCACAATAATGCGTTCCTCCTCTTCTTGAAATACCGGCGACCGGTGCCGTAAGTAATTCTCATATACGTCAATGTCGACCGGGCCGATTTCTGTATTTTTTAAATTATCTGAAAGGGCGCTAAAGCCGTCCCCTCCGCTTCTAAGGAAAGACTGGGCCACGATGCGATAACTTTTATCCAGGACGAGATCTTCGTAGACCGGAGTGAGACACTGCTGACAACGGACTTTAATGGATTGGACTCTATCTCCTTTTGGTCTCGTGAGATTAAATACTACGTGGATACCTAAAAATTTTATCAAAGAAACTTCACTTTATTTCAAGTCGGCGCGGTTTACCGGAAACTTGTATCAAACTTATATCAGAGTACGACCTTTGGTTCGAGTAAGCTTCCGTGCACTGCTCCATCAATTCCTTAAGGTAGCGCCCTTCCAACTCACCCACGTCTACAGTATTGGCGAAAGGTTGGGCAATTGATATGTCGTTGTACGTGATATCTTAAAATAATGTACTGGAATGCCGTATACACTAATACGTAATTTGGTACTTACTGCCAACTGGAATGTCCGTGCGAATTCCTCCTGCGTTGACTAGGGCAATGGCCGCATAGGTCCAGGATGTAGCGTCCGCCCTATCGGTATACTAAAATCGGAAAATTAGATTCAAAAATTTTGTATTTTTTGTTTTTGTATTCGGTACTCGCCTGGAATACTAAAGCGTCCGCAAGAAAGTTACCCAAAGTGCATTCTTTATAATAGCAGCCCGTTTTCTGTAGCAGCACTATGGAAGAGCCAAGTACCCTGGAGCCTTCCGCTTCCACTATACTCTTCCACGGTTCCAATTGCTTGTCGATCGAGTCATCTTGGTGAAAAAATGCACAATATTAAATTAAATTAATCAATGAATGTGAACTTTGGGGTACAGGGTAGCAAAATGAAAAAAATAACACAGGGACTACGAGGTATTTTTTAGTATATCACATTTTTACTTATTTCCACGGGTGTGGTGTTGGAATCTCAGCTGTATATTCTTCTTAAAATAAAAAATACTCATAAAAATAAAAATGACTAAAGGTAGATTTGAGTTCTTAGAGTAAATACACCACAAAGAACGAGTTACTACATTCAGACGTGACGCCATATAATATGGTCACTATTTTCAATTCGAATCAAGAGCATTTTTTTACTTGCCAGTTGGTTTGTCCGTGTTTAGATAGATTGGTGCTCCACTCCAGTCTACAATCTCTCCATCGTCGTTATAAACAACGCTGATGTTCCCTAAATATTTGCTGTAGGCAGACGCCTGCACTACGAGCACCGTTTTGTTGTTTTTGCTTTTCACCACGGTAGGATAAGGACCTTCCGGAGTGTCCGGACCAGGTGGGTCAGCTGAATCAAACAAGTATTAATTATGAAAACCCAAAGGTTGTTCTTGGTTCTTTATATTTGATTACCGCCGGTCCATAGAAATGTATGAGAGTGAGCACCGACGATCAACCCTATTTTTTCGCTGGCGTTGGCGGCGATGGCTTGTTCGATGTCGTAACCGGAATGCGACAATACGATATTGGTAAAGACTCCTTCTTCCCTTACTAGTCGCTCGGCTTCCTCATTGACGCTCGGTGATTCCGGATAAAACTTTAGGTTTTCTGAGCTGGCAATTATCTTCAAAAAACATTAAAATAAAAAGACAAATATTTTTAATGTTTAGAGTATGTGTAATGTCTTAACGATATTAACTGTATAGCTGAAAGTATTGCTCTTAGGGCTCTTAGATGTTAAACATCAACACACAGGGTTACATCGAGACTTCATTTTTTTAATGGAATGGCGTCAAATCATTCATTTTCTAATATTGAATTTAATGCAGAGTTTTAGCCGAAATCTTATGTATATCCTCATTGGAGATGTATCCACTATTTTTTTCTAGCATTTTTCTTCGCACTTCGCACGAACGTAAAGCACCCACAAGCTGACCTAAAACTGACAATGTCGCAAAAAGTTTGGCTAACATAAGGTTAAACTCATGGTAACTGACTCCGAGCTGAAAATATTTGTATAAATACTTTGCAGCCTATCACTAACTATTAACTAATTATTCTTTATAAAACTTCTGAATTCCTCCTGCGTCGGTTTTTGTTGATTCGAACTTGCTAACGTTTCGCCAATCATCCAATCATCGAGCGTTCCATCTGAAAATACACTTCACCATAACCTTCCAATAGTAATGAAGCCGAAATAAATGCCACACTTGCCACTGTTGTCCTTCCTTACATTCAAAACATCCCTGACCATATATCAAAAGTTCTAAAGAAATATAACGTCAAAACCAGATTTACCACTTGCCCCAAAATCTCTCATCATCTTCGATCGGGCAAGAACAAAATTTCATTTAAGATGCCAGGATTTTACAACATTCCATGCATATGCGACAAAGAATACATTGGAGAGACCGGACGTAAAATCGACTCAAAGAACATGAAAGTGCCTTAATACTTGGACAAATAAACTCATCAGCAGTTGCCGAATAAATCACAAAACCGGACATAAAATTTTATTCGATAAAATTAAAATTCTTGCATGTAATCAATTCTTCTACCAACGAAAAATTCGAGAGTCTATAGCAATCTATAAGCAACCTAACAATCTAAACCACGACTCAGGTTTTTAGCTGTCAGCAATAACAATAAGCAGGTACAGAGTAAAATGCGATCCAGTTTCAGTCAAGCTCTGAAGAAGCCAACAGTCAGAAGCCACGAGTTAACCAAAACCGACGCAGGAGGAATCCAGAAGTTTTATAAAAACTATTACAGTAGCCTGCGGAAGTTTCTTTGAAGAATTATTATCTAATTGTTTTGTTTTTTCCTTTATATTTGATCTGTTTAGTATACCATGTTTTGCACTACGTTTGTTATACCTTCATCTACAATTAATATTTTTTAATAAAATTATATGTCTTTTTATTTAGTCAAATTAATACGAATATATTTTTTTCTTTTTTATCAATAAAAAAAATTATTATCTAATTGTTTTGTTTTTTCCTTTATATTTAATCTGTTTAGTATACCATGTTTTGCACTACGTTTGTTATAACTTCATCTACAATTAATATTTTTTAATAAAATTATATGTCTTTTTATTTAGTCAAATTAATACGAATATATTTTTTTCTTTTTTATCAATAAAAAAAGAGTGCATTCAATTACAAATTTGTTTGCCATATTGCTTGCTTAACGTATTTTGAAATTTATTTTTCATTATTCATAACAGTAATATTACTTGTGCTCGTACTCACGTTTGTTTGAGAGTAGATCACTCCGATGATCCCGATTTTTTTCCCATTTCTCTCAATAACGGTACTTTTGGTATACAGCCCTTGAATAGTCGGTTCCAAACTATCGTCGATATTAGAAACCACTACCGGCGCCTTTAGCGCCTCAATGAAAGGAACCACCCCAGCAATTTTGTCGTCGAATTCATGGTTCCCTAGCACCTGAAACAATAAGCTCACTAACCATGCGAAACAATATTAAAAAAAAGTACTATGGCGTCCCAAGGCAGTAAGTTGAGAAACTCTTGCGTAATGTTCCATTTTCCAAGGGTGTAGTATAACGTGCCCTGGAAATTGTCTCCTCCATTTAGTAGCACCGAGTTGGGATTTTCCTGTAGCAACTCCCTTATCTGAGCATATATCCTGGAATAGCCCCCTATGCATTCGCCGCGAGTTTTACAGTCTCCAGCCGCAAGACTGACTTCGTCATACCTGAAATGATGGTCGCTTTGCAAGTATGCGTCATTTTGTTTGAGTGTGGCGAGTAATGATTTAGTAGAAATCTCAGGATTTCTTATATCATGTTTCGGTCAGTTGTGGAAGCACTACTAGTTATCAAGTGTAAACTAGTTTTTGTTACAACAATCTAATTCTTAAAAGGAATGTTAGGGTACATCATGCAAATGAGCAAACACTGACAACTTAAAAGTAAGAATCGAATCCAGATTTTGCAAAACAGTATTTAGAGTATCACTTTAGTAAGAAAACAGCCACTGAAGCCTGTGTGTAACGAGATATAGGAAGCAAAGAAATATTTTGAAAAATTAAAAAAAAAAGACAAATGGTCCAAAATTAAAATTAACCACAAGAACCAGAAGAAATTGTTGGACACTAAAAACTGCAGCGATAAAAAATATTTCGATGGCATATAAAATGAGTCGTCTTCATACCGAGATGCCTTGCCAAGTATCTCTTTTAATGTTGGTTGGCCAGAATCGTTTCTAACCGTTTCGAAGTTTCCACCAGTTTACATTGGTGCGTTCGTTAGAAACAATGTAATAGTTACGTACTTACACGGGGCGTCCCTGTAAGGGCAACGGAAAGAGAAATTGGCTATCAATCAATCAATTAGGCCCCCTGGCGGACAATTTCAGAAAATCAAAAATGATTTGTAAAAAAGTAGAAAGTATTTACTCTTGACCGATTTAGTTAATACATTTTTTTTCAAAATTCTAGGACCGTCCGTTTTTCTCTTACCTAGTTGCCCTTATGGGCACACGGGGTATACAAATAATAATTGTAAAATTACTGCATTCGTATGAATTCAGTAATTTTAGAATTAGATTTATTTAGCTAACACTTGATAACGGGTAGCGATAAAATGTGGGAAACGTTGTGAAAGTGTAGAAATAAAGACCATAAAAATTCGTCACATCGCATCTTCCTCTGGTTAACATTTGCAGGTTACATGAATTTTATTTAGTTTTACTTACCTGGCGTGGAAATCGTTGACATGGATCACAGAGAGCTCGAAACTTTCGGCATATATCACAGCCACATTCACTGCCACAGCGACAAACAAAGATGACAAAAGTGCCATTTAAAAAAAAAAGATTAACACGTAGGCGAATAATTTATATATACTGCTGATTACAGATGCTTGATTTGTTGAGATTTATCTGATAAACATAAAGATACCCAATAAAATATATCACATATAGGATACAGATTGTTTAAAGTTAGTTTGACAAGGTCGACCAGTAAATTACGAAGGTACGATATCAAAAATTGACTTATACAGGATGGCCGGAAAATGTGTCCCGTATTCTACATTTTCAGAAGCTCTTATAGTTGTGGACAATTTTTACTTGGATAAGCGGGTTAAAAAAAAATTCTTGCGCCCCCTAAGGCCCGAGCACGGAGAAGCCTAAAAAGAACGACAAAACACATTAATCAAGCAAAAATGAAAAACGGGTTTTTATTGCATCTCTATAATGGAGAGACGAATTGGAAGATGAAAAATATTTTCAATTTCTCTTTGTGGTTGGCATTTAAAATAGATACCACGATTTATTGTTGCGAATTTGATCATATTCCTCTCTCTTTAGTTTTTTCCAGAAATAAAATAGTTTCGAAATGTATCATCTTATGTATTATTTTACTTCTTGTGTGTATACTTATGACGTAGTTTATTCAGTTTACTTTTTTGGCACATATTATCAAGAGTAATAGCCCAGTAGCTAGTTCGTATTATTTCTGTTCATAAACGGTGACTTTATTTCCTGTACTTGGAAAACCAATACAGCGGATGTTTCGCATTTGAATCGTACCATTGGAATATCAAATCCACTGAGTTGATTTTGGTCAGAGCTGCGTCAGCTCCATTTTTGTTGTTAAATTAATTAGAATAGGTTAAAACTGAACACAAAACGGTAAGAAATGTCGTTTTTTTAACTTAATATAACTTAATTTAATAATAAAATTGCACTTATTTTTTGAAAGAAAATTTTTAAGTACAAAAGGTATAGATGAGGCTACAAGAAATAATTTAAAATTATTTTCAATTATACGGGGTGATTCATATCTGTGTGGGAAATCAAACTTATATTATACATGGCATTAATAGATGTTGTTATGGCCATTTTTTCGCCAAAAAAAAATATTTTTGACTCCATTTTCGAAAGCTGTAACAATTTTATAAAGTGGTACAGTCATACTATACTTGTCTGGTAGTTAATCTGAATCGTTGAGTCGAATGGAAAAATAATAATTGTGACAAATTTCAGTAATTTGTTGTTAAAAACTTTAGGAGTGTTTAATAAAATTGAAAGCGAATTTTTTTTCCAAAGAACTCCACACAAATTCCTGGATTCTTCCATCGAACTTGCCAACGTTTTGCGTGTGTTGGTTCTTTCAGTTTCAGTTAAGCTCTGCCCTGCCAAACGATTCGAACTAACTTCAAGACAAGTATAGCATAAATGAGTGTACTACTTTATAAAATCGTAGGCATCATAAAATTACGGCGGAAACGGCGTCAAAAATATCTATATACCATAATAACCCTAATTGGGTGATTGAGTATAAAAAGTATGCCATATACAGGGTGTTCCAGTTAAAAATGTGTAAGCTTGATTTTCCACACACACACCTTGTATATTTGCAAATAATTTTAAATTGTTTCTTTTAGTCTCATCTATAACTTTCTAATTCCAATAATTTCTAAAACAAGTAATAACAAGTAATAAATTAGACACACTATTTAGACGCACCGTCTGCATGGTTGCAATAAATTTGAATAAGACGAAACTGCAAGGAACTATATTTTTCGACATCTAAGGAGTATAATTAGAATGGCAATATGCTGTTCACTTTTTTACGAACTGTAAATAATGTTTCCTCTAGCTACCAAATGTTACCGGTCAGTTCACTCTAAATAACGCTCTAATTTAATGATTCGTATTGTATTTATTTTCCCTTTTTATTACTTAATATTTAGTTTATTAAGCAAGACAGCGTACAAATATTCAAGTTGTCACCGTTATACGGCCCTCAATGCGTTGATACAGAGGCGAGTTCGCTTCCATGTATTCCAAAAACACTTCCAAGTCGGTTTTGCCGATCTCCACTTTATCGACACTTTTGCCGAGGATGGAAAACTTGTCGTTGCTTTTCAAATACGACTGATAGACGATGTCATATTTTTGGTCGGGGTTTAAATCCTGATAGATGTCATTGTCGCATTCTTGGCACCTTATCTTAAGGGAAGTCACCCTACTTCCTCGGGGTCTCGTCAGATTGTAAACAATTTGCACCCCTATAAGAGAAGTAATAAATAATAGACGAACAAAATTATGGATCAATTACAGGAATGTTTATACTAGTAGGAAACCAATGCATTGCAAACGACATTGAACGCTATGGACTCATCTAAAATTTGTTACTTTTTTTCTATAATTTCTGTTTTTAATTTATATATTGCTTATTGGAAAAAATTAAATAACAAATTAATTAACGACCTTTGTGATTAGAAGTTGCTTACATTCTAGTCCGTCATTAAATGTCACAGCCGGTTTTCCACTAGGATTTTAGCAACAATCAATTTTAATTGAATTGTTTGGCAAATGACTCGGCAGATTTGGTTAGTCCAATTCCAATCCGCCATTTTCTGACAACGCCGCGAAAATTCACACCGGATTATGAGACAATAGGGACTTTTTGGGACGTGTATTTGACGCTCGTGAGTCTGCGCTATGCCGAAATGTCATTTCGTAGTTGTAATGACTACTACTAATTGTAACTAATGATATCATTCGTAAGCTACGAATCCATTTCGTTTTCTTTTTTTCGGATTAATAATTAACTAATATCGAACTTGTGAGTTGTGTTTCACAAACCGAAGTAAGATCAGCCCGAGGTTGTGGTAGTAGTAACGTTCGTTAACGATATACCGTTTTTACAACCTTTTATGGTTTAAGACCCGCCTGTTGTAATGCGGAAGGGACCATTCTTTTCAACACGTGTACCACAAACTAGGGCCGTATTTAAATGTTAACCGACAAGAACTGTGGTATGCGGTATGGTTGTAGTTTAAGAGTAGTTAATTTTTCTTTGATTGATTCACGTGTGCTTTTTATAAATCTTCCTAAAGCAGTTCCTACTTGAAGTATCTCGATTTCAAGTCCAATTTAAATTGATTTCCAATTTAAAGGTTTAATATAATGACTCTAAAATATTTTCCTACTAAAGCAATACAAATTCTTATGTAGATAATTGATTTGTAATGGATGTTTTCCCAGTTTGCTTTTGGTTGATTTGTCGGTTTTTTCTATTTCGTCTTGGGTTTGTAATTAGTAATTACCAACTTATTGTTGTTCAATTGTATATCAAGACTCAGTATGTCATTTTTATTGAGGTACCATATACATTTTATTAAAATTTATTCAAAGGTGTCAAAGACTCGGGCACACTTGTCGGTTGCTGCCAACATTATAATTTTAAATGTGTTTCTGTCTCTGAAATCGACATACACGACATAGTTGTGCATGGTATCTAAGAAAGAAAAACGCGGAAAGATCGTATGGGCCCAAAAGGTCGACACGCACCATAGTGAGACGGTTGATATGATGCAGGTTCTGAAGCTAGCAGCAGGTTTGATAAGAGGTATAATGTGCACAAGTTGGTCATGGAGCGGGGATTCAAAGTTGTCTGTCTTCCACCACACAACTGCAATTTTAATACGATAGAACTGATATTGGGATAGCTGAAACCCACTTTAAGAAGAAACAACATAATTGTTTCGACAACACAATCAAATGTGATAAAGACACGGGTTGTCGAAACAATTGTCATGTAAAAATATATAATTTCGTGAAAATCTGAACTTTTAGTTCTTATTTATTTTGATAAATGAATTTTCATCAAGCAAAAGCCACCACAGTTCAATAGTACCGAAGTACGGTTCTGGAACGTCATTGTAGAATTGCGAATCTATTTATTAAGGATTACAAAGAGAAATCCAAGCGAGGAAGGCCTGCGGTTAGACCTTCATAAAAATTGACCAAAGTTAAATACCGGATTAGGTCGTAAAAACGGTATATTGTTGTGCGAACTATAGCACAATGGCTGTCAATGTTCCAAAATTTCCCTATTTACACCTCTGTTACAGTGGTAAGTTTCTTAAATCTGTTAACCTGTACTACCGTGACTTTTGTACTGTATATATAAGTATATTTTGAATGTTATACCCGAAACTTGTAAAATATTAAGGTTCGAATACGACGCAATGTAGTTATCCGCAGGAGCACCCTGTTCGAACAGATCCTTGAGGTGAGACCCCCTAATCTGTCCCTTCTCTATGGTATTATTGTAAGGTTGAGACATCCAAGCGTCATAATAAGTGATCTCTGAAACGCCACGATTTAAAATATGCCGTATTATTTTTAATTCGTTACCTCCTTTTTCCATTCCTGCGCACATGCCTGCCGCGTTCATAATCGCTATAGGGGCGTTTTTCGCCGAACTGGGTTCTGATTTGTCTGCAAACTGAATTAAATTTGGTCGATTTATTTTCAACGAAGATGCAATATAAAATGACAAGTTTGCTTACCGCATATGCCATGCCATCTGCAATGACATCAGCTAATGTACATTCTTTGTTGTAGCATCCTAGATCTAAGTTACCCAAAATGGTACCAATTACGCTACTTTCGCTGCTTCTAAGTTTTGATTTCCAAGATAGCATTTCTGCATCTACTTTCTTTTCTGAAAATTTATCGCGGCCATGACACGCTGCAATGATGATAATATTGCGTTACCCTGAGGCAGGGAATTCTTCAAATAAATAGGTGCTCCCGAGTAATCCAAGATGTCACCTTCTGAGTTGTAGAAAACTGTTATGTTCCCCACGTATCTAGCGAAGGCAGATGCTTGTACTATAAGAACGTCTTTATGGTGCTTGCTTCGTACAACCGTTGGGTATGGTCCCACTGCTTCCTCGTATCCCGGGTAGTTAGCTGAGATAACCGACGCAGTTTGTTTGTTAAAATATATTAAAATACGCTAAATAAATTAAAATATTACTTCCTGTCCACAAGAAGGAGTGAGTGTGAGACCCAACAATCAGGCCTATCTTCTCTGATGCGTTCGCAGCAATTATCTTATCCACCTCGTATCCAGCATGCGAAAGAACTATGACAGTAAATACGCCTTCATCTCGTACTAATCGCTCGGCCTCAGCGTTAATGCTCGGAGATTCGGGATAGATCCTTAGATTTTCGAGGTTGGGAGAGTCCTAAAATTATCGTTTTTTTTATAATTCAACGAGTAAATGTTTATACCTGCAATCTCAAACAAAAGATTGCTGAAACAAAATCAAATTGTCTTTGGTACTGAAATTGCAAATTTTTTATGCGTTCATGTAATTTTAAGTTGAATTTAATTACCGATGTCATTGTACCTTAGAAAAGACAAAGTGTTACTGCAATTTTTATTTAATTTGAGTCACTGCATCTGTTACAGTTTGCGAGATCTCAATGGTGGTTCACGTGGTATGTAGCAGTGAAAACTCACTAGCATTTCATATGTCAATGCCCCGATCACTCCTATTTTCTTGCCACTCCTTTCTATCACAACGCTTTTGGAGTAGAGCCTCTCGAACCGCGGTTCATCACTGTGATCCAGATTTGCGATAACAAATGGGGTCTTTAATTGCTTCATAAATGGTACCAAACCGTCAAGCTTATCGTCAAACTCGTGGTTACCTAAAGTCTAAAAAACAGCCGATCGATATGCTGCATATATTTGATAACTTATGCGGTAGTTACAATAGCATCCCAAGGGAATTTAGCCATGAAGTGTTGTGTAATATTCCATTTTCCCGAGGTGTAGTACCAAGTGCCTTGAAAGTTGTCCCCCGCGTTGAAAAATAAGGCGCTAGGATTCCTCTTCTTCATTTCTTGCAATTGGACAAGCATTCTAGAGAAGCCCCCCACGCAATTGTCCTGATTTTTGCAGTTGCCTCCCGATGGACTAGTTTGTTCGTATCTAGATTTCCCGATTTTTGAGTGCGTATTTAGTAGTTGATGGGATGATAATAAGGTGTTATATTAAAATCATTTATTGAATGGGTATAACAAGTAGGCGAATCATGCTTCGAGTTTTTCGAAACTTATAAAGTTGCTGAATGATTTCGAAATCTTCCATAACCAAAATTGTAGGGGATTGAGTTCTGATGGTATAGAGAGCCAAACAATTTTTTAAAGGACATTAAATTAACAACAATAAAGTAAAGGCACATTAGATAAACCGAAGAAAGAGTCAATGCAAATGTGTTATTTATTATAAAATTTATCAAGAAAAGTGACGGATGAAAAATATCCGATCGCTCCCAATTACTTGACTAAATTACTGGAAACCTCCGAGGTGGTTAACGAACCTCATGTCTCAACACTCCTAATCAGCGCATAATTGCGTATTTCAGGTATATTGGGTATCATAGGAATAATATGTTGTTTATTACTATTTACGGTAACGCCACTTCATAGTCATTCATACTTTCAAAAACTTAATTAACAACACTAACCCGCTAGAACAGAATTTGGGCTATTTAAAAAAAAAAACATAACGAGAAACTTCTGGATCCTGGGTATTAAAAAGGCTTTGCAAAATATCTAACGAACTAATGATAGCATCGTAATCAGTAAGATTATTCTTTGGGTAATGTTAACCTGTACACTGCAATACGCAAAATGTTTTCTAAACAGTTTCTAGCTCATTTGAATTTTATAAAAAGGAGACTAGGCCTGGCTAGCATATTAAAACACTCACCGGAGAAAACCACAATTTAAAATCTTGCAGACAGGTGAAGATAAAACTACTCTAAATCCATTTATAAAACCAAGGGCCTTATTATTTAAATAATTTGTCCATCAATGCTGGATTGAATTATTACTGCATTTAATGACTTCAAGGCTTTCAAACAAATTTGCTAGAAATGGATCAAAAAGAACAGGACCCCAATGTGAACCCTGAAGCGCACCTGAGATGTCAATGTTCTGTTGATTTTGATTATTACAAGATGATCACTCCAAACATTAAGTGTCTCAGGCGAAGATTGATATTTACTTATTGAAGAAAAGATTATTCAACTATCCGCACCTATTTGGGTGAGAGTGTAGTTTGTTTACACTGTTGTTTTCAGAACTGACGTATATATGGTTAAAACTTGCATATCACTTACCTTGCATGAAAATCGTTTACGTGTACAACTGACAATTCGAATAAGTCGTCATTTTGCACCGGTATGCCACTGATCGCTGTCAGAAACCCGGCAAGCGCAAGAAGTTTCGCGAAACTACTCGACGCCATGCTAAAGACAGATTAATTAAATTCAAAATAAGTATTACCCATTTTATAGTTTTTAAATTGGCAAAAGTAATTCCGAGCGGCACAACTTTTCAATTAAAACAATTTTATCAAACGCCTCGCCGATAAACTGAATACAGAGAGAAAAAACTATTTCACAATATGGGTGCAAAAGTTATCGCTTAGCTAGTACTAGGTGGCACGACGGACGAAGGTACTGCTAATATTGGCATCTATTTTTGGAATATCGATAGTTTTACTAAATGTAGGTAAACGTTGTACTGAAAAGCTAAATTGCAGTTTAATAAACATATAATACACATCAAAATTCTATTGTAGCGAGGGATTAACCCTGTATAATATTCGAATTGCATTATCCGTAGATGACTAAACTATTAGCAGTTATTATTATTTATAAGATATTTACGCGAATTATAGCCAAAACAAATTCAACACACATTTATTGCAATTCACAGAACTTGTGGAATTTTCCATAATCGATGTTGCTATTATAATATAATTTTTATAGTGAATCAGATTTAATCAGTTCAAAATACTGTATTTCATGTACAGTTTATACAAATATAATATAGATATTAAGACCTCTTCAGACAGTGCCTTTTGAGATGCTATGTTCTGTGCAATATTGAAAATACAATTGTTGCCAACAAAATGTATTGGTTAGTTTGAAAAAATCTTTAAAACGGTTTAGCTTATTAAGAAAAGTTGTTTGTTTTTTTAATTTTGTACCTATGCCAAATTTGAACATAGGTATACTCTTTGAAGACCAGCGAAAATTTAGTTCCCTAATCTTATCGGAAGAGCTCAGTGGGCCTAAAATTAGAGAGTCAAATACAACAAGCCATTAAGAACATGAAAAACCGAAAAAGCCCAGGACATGACAATATACATGCTGAGATTCTGAGAATACCTAACATACCTATTTAATAGAATACATGAATCGGGTTAAATTCCATCGGGTTGGTTAAAGTCTACCTTTACACCCATCCCGAAAAAAAGTACCCTTAGAAACTGAGGAGACTACAGACTTTTAAGCCTTATGAGCCATGCTCTGAAGATTTTCCTCCGAGTTATTCACAGCCGAATATATGCCAAATGTGAAGGAATGAGTGGAGAAACCCAGTTCGGTTTTTTTTTAGGGGCTGGGTACAAGAGAAGCTCTCTTTTCAATGAAACTTCTTATGCAGGAATGCTATAGATTACCAGAAGGCTTTTGATAATATTAAGCAGGCTTTTGGAGAGGTTATATGAAATTGGCTTAGATTCGAAGGACATCAGAATAATTGAACAACTCTACTGGAAACAAATTGCTAAGGTGAAAATAAACTACGAACTAATTACAGAAACATTTTCCATGCCCCTCCGCCAGGGATGCATTTTGTCACCAATTTTATTCAATATCAACATAGAAAAGATTTTTCAATTCACTTTGGAAGGAGATAATAGAGGAATCAAAATCAATGGAATGCCAATTGAAGATATGAAGATATGCAGAAGATACTGCTGTTTTGGTAAATCCTCCTTAGGACCTTCAACACACTCTGGACAGAATTAACCAAATAGGTAAAGAGTTTGGGCTCAAAATTAACACATCCAAAACAAAAGTCATGACAATAACCGGCGAACATATTGAAGTGGCTGTGAGGATTGACGATCAATATCTGGATCAGGTGTCGCGTTCTGACTACCTGGGTGCTTTCCTCAATCAGAAATGCGATAAAGAAGTGAGGATACGGATAGAGGTGCCAAGTACTCAATCCCTAAACTAATTCCTGGCTTCGCAACATAATATGCTGGTGCGGAATCTTTAGGCAAGCTGAGAACCGCCCCCTACATATGATATAGAGAATGTAAAAGTATAAGGGATCGCCAACGTGCGTATATGCACAGCGCACGAGAAGAAGAAGAAGAAGAAGTATGCAAAAATGACAATTTATGCTCTAAAATTTTGTTGATGTTTGATGGAAAGAATGATCAATGTTGTTTCGTTAAAAGTTTATCAGTACAGAGAGGTATTTTTATTTTAGTAGTGTCGACACCTTAGCAATTTTAAAATAATTTGCGCCTTGCCATTAGTGGCATTGCAATCATTATCTGTTATGTTTAGACCGTGGATTGAAGAAAATTTAGACATAGCAAATAAAAAAATCCGCGAATAATTTATATTTTTTAATGCAAAATTTGTCTTCCGGTCTTCTAAAAAAGTCAGAGGGCATAGACGGTGGATGTAATTGGCATTCCAAGGTCAACCTTGCGTCGATTTCTTGGTAATGATTAATGATTTAACGACGTGACAAAGGCCTAATGAAAGTGTTTAGGAATGGTGATGCCAAGTGGATTTGGAGGGAACTGTATGCGATGTATGAGAGAAATTAGATTACGTCATTTGAAGCATTGCAACAGAAATGAAAAGAAAAATTTCGATTTACTGGCAGTTGTGAAACGTTGCGCCAAATTCTGTACAAAATTGGATATAGATTTAAAAACATTGACAAGCGTAGTTACATTAACGAGACGCAACGATTGGTGGAATGGAGACAAAAATATTTAACTCAAATTCATCAATTTCGCGTAGAAAAACAAAATGTATTGCGTGTATTCTGTTGAATGTCAATAATTAAGGGGGCGGTTCTTGAGTCCATTTTAAAAATAAAACTTTTGAGATACAGGGTGATAAAATTTTGACAAATGAAATATATTTTTTAATATCTGCAATACCACCACCACCACCACGGGCGTAAGGAATTTCACCTGTCCTATTTTGGAAAACATTGATGGTACGCCACTGATTTCTCTTAAAATAAAAATTATTCTTACAATCTCCAATCAATTCTAAAGAAATTTAATTTCTTGATTTTTTTAAATCCGATGTACGATTTTCGCTTAAAAAAATGAAAACCCTTTTATCTGGTCATAACAATATCGTTAATATGACGGCATGCAGAGAAATTAGTTTTTATTTTTAAGTGAAAACCGTGTGACAGACTAAAAAAAATTAAGAGATCAAAACTGCTCATAAATGAACGCAAATGTTATTATTCATTTAAGGAAATAAATGTCGTTCCACTGACTGTTCATGAACAAATAATATCTTAATTAATTGGTTAATTTAGTCGTCACTGCACTGCAACTTTTTTTTTGTGCAAAATGAAACATCTATCTAAATCAAAATTTCTACTTTTTAGTTACCAACTAGCGTCCCTCAGACTTTAATTAAATAACATAACATTATAACAACAAGATAAATGATAAACGGTTCAAATTAAAAAAAAAACGCTACCTACTATTAACAATTTTTAACAAAATTGTCTGTTAATAAATTAATAACCTTTTTGAAAAAAGTGGAACATAGAAAGTAGATAAGTTGTTGAAAGTGACTTTTAGGGTACCCCCATATTTGAGGTCCGCCACTGGTGAATTAAAAAAAAAATTGTGGTACCCTAAATAATGCCTCTTGATACAAAGTGCATGTGTGCCAAATTTCATTTAATTACAGATATTAAAAAAATATATATATTTTTTTGAAAAGTTTACCACCATTTATCTCAAAAGTTAAGCCATTTAGGACATACGTTCAAATAAAGTTTTCTTTTTAAAATGGACTCAAAAAGTGCCCCCTAAACCCCAAAATATCCGCCCATATACTTGATATAATTAAAACTCAGTGTATATTAATACCAGGAGAAAATGTGTTAATTATATAATTATGAAGTACCAAATAATTATTAAAAAAACTTGGATCAACCTAAAACCATCAGTTACATAGATGGTTGACAATGATAGCAAAGAATAATTTATATATATAATTGCAATAATACAGTGCGCAACGCAACAGAATATATTCATATATTTTATATTTCAATTTTTATTTTTAATTCATTTGGCCCAAAAATGCCTACAAGTAAATAAAAACTTTAATAACATTATTACAGTCATGACAATATCGCACTGAAATTTGTTATTAAGTATCTACGAGGGCAGCGCCAAAATTTGCCTGGCCTGAATATGAAAGAAACAAAGTAGAGTAACATTTTTTTTATTATTTTTCAATATAATCTCCCTTAACTTCAATACACTTATTACATCTGTTTATTAACAACTCAATCCCTTAAAAAAACTATTCTTTGGGTTTGTCTGCAAAATGAGCTAAAACAGCCTCTTTTAACTCAACTTCGTCGTTAAACCGCCGTCCACGTAAGTCCTTTTTCATATATCCAAACAAATAATAGTCGCTGGGGGCCATATCTGGACAATAGGGAGGATGATCTATCTGTTGGAACCCACACCCTGAAATGACAGCTTGTGCAACACCAGCAGTATGGACAGGTGCATTATCCTGCAAAAGACGCATGCCTCATGTTGCGTAATATATATAACAGTGGTATTAGTTTCTTTACAATTTATCAAAAGACTTCCTTCACAATCCCAAAAGATCGTGGCCATCACCTTTTTTGTTGACTGGCAGACTTTGAATTTTTTTTGGAGGTGCTTCACCCTTACGACCATTGATTCTTTTTTCGATAGAGGTTCATAATAGAGAACCATAGTTTCATCTCCCGTTACAATAGTTTCTATCACAGGCTTCGGTTCGGCCCTACAGAGTTCCAAAAAAGACCGCGCACACTCGACACGGCGTTGTTTTTGAATAGCCGAAAAGTTTTTAGGAACCCATTATGCATACCTAAATGATCACGCAGGATTCGAAGAACACTTGTATCGGAAAGCTTAGTAATTTCTGAGATTTCCTTGACCTTTAAACGTCGATCACTCAATACCACCTCTTCCACAATTGCATCAATATCTTCCCGTATGACCTCCACTGGTCGACCCCCTGAATCATCTTCAAGGGACTCCTATCTTATTCGAAAACATTTTGCCTATTTTTCCACTACAAAATACGAAGGAGAACTTTGGCCGTACACACCATCCAGCCTTTGTTTAATAATTTTAGGTGCTAACCCTTCTTTTGTCAAAAACTTTATGACTGCCCTATACTCAATTTGCGTTATGTGCGACATTTTTTCGGACACGTGTTGTTTAAAATGCTGTCAATAAAAAACTACTAAAAAACTACTAAGATGTATATTTAAAAGAAGACAAAGTTTTATCGTGGTATTGGAGCTGCATCTATGTCAGGCCGGGAAATTTTGGCACTAACCTCGTATATCTACAATGACTTAAATACTATGTTTATACCCCCTTCGTTATTGCCTTAAAAAACTAAAAAATTTCTAAGTGACTAACTCTTTTATCCTTCTATAAAATTTTAAAATATAAAACTTACCCTTCCCTCTATGAGAAACCAAATTGTCGCGCACTCGTATACTGATAACCTAAAGCTAAAAGCTAAAGAAAGACTTCTCTCTTTGCTATTTCAAAACTTAAAAAGCAAATATTAAAAAAAGCTTGTCTTATCAGGTACCATTTTGTGTAAATAAATACCAAATATTTAATTAAATAAACCACCTATGTTAAAAAAATATTTGAAAGAAAGTATTTTTTAGAAATCATTTATTTATACTTTGCATATAAGATATTCGTGGGTTGCAGCGGTGCTTCACTTGATACACTGATTATAATGATATAAAATTGACATCTATTTTGAATGTTCCCATTGCATCTACGAAATTTTTCAACCCTTTAGTAGATTACAAACCCAATTAATCTCAATTCATTAAATTTGTATTGCCAATTAGTCTCAACTAATAAGCGCACTAAATGCGGTTTAAATTTTTTTTGTAGTAGATCAATAAACAATCGCCATATCTTTAAATTTCACGAGGTCAGTCTATCTTCAGAAGTAATTTTCAAAAGTGCTGTGAATTAAGCTGTCAGCCCAGTTTCTAGGTATAATATTTTTTAATAAACTAGTGACTTAAAAAGTTTACCAAACGTGTGGCTCGGATCCGTGGGACAAGAAACTCACGTCGTAAAGTAACGCTTTCCGTATGCTAGATCGGTGTATAATTAGGTATTGTACAGAAGGGAGTAGAAAAAATGTATTAATGTTTTGTGAGATAATTATGTTACAGAGACATAAAATTTTTGTATGTAAGGCAATATTTCACAATAAAATGATGTTTCCATACTTCATCAATATGTTGCAAGAAATTCTATATCAAACTCGTGAAAATAATGATTTTAAGGCAAACATGCCTTAATTAAATTAGAGAGACACTGTTTAGTTCACGAAATGGTTATTTTTTTATAGCTTAAACTGTTTTTGATATAGCGACATAAAAACTGTGATCGAGGGTTTTTGGAAATGAGGGATACACTAAAATTCCATTTTTTTGGGAAATTATGATACAGATGATTTCTAAGTAAAAACCATTTACTTTGACTTTTTCGAGCTATTTGCATTGTAATACACTGACCTCCACAAAATGTTGCAGGAAAATGTTACTTTATTTAATTGTTTCTTTGAAGCGGCAGGATTGGTTTTTGACATTTCTCACCAGCATTTTACGATTATCTGAAGTGTGCAATCTTGCTTCCTCCTAACTGACTGTTTAATAATGATAATGCAATAATTTGACTACTAGAATTTAAAATGCCGCTGTGCGTAGTTGCAATAAGAAAATATTAAACGGTTTTCATTTCCTCAAAATTGTGAAAAAATAAAATTGATCTGTTATTTTTTTACAATTTTACTAATTTTTAAATGCACATTTTTCAATAAGTCTTGGTTAGTTTTGGTTAATTTAGAAGCATTGAAATTTTGGATGTTAGGTTAAGAGATTTACTCATCGTGCGCCGCCGCCGCCAGCTCTCTTTAAAGTACACCCGTTTTCGTCATAGTCACGCCTAGACAAAATGTCCCTGAAATGTTATTGTGGACGTTCAGAAAAACATTTCTTCCCAGCTACTTTTAATTCCAAAACGATTGAATAGATAACTACTATTTCATCAGGAAAATGAACATTTATGGTGGAAAATTTTGTTGATGTTCGATGGAAACCTATTTGAACCATTTTTTTTCCCAAAGAAGGTAAATTTTGATAGTTGCGTCCATCTGACGGAAACTCTTTCACCGATATAACTTTTAGTTATACTAGATTAACAGTTCATAAACGTATATATTAGACGTCCCGGTGGTAGATAAAATTTGCAGTTATTTTAGCCAAAAATGCATTCTACCAATGTGAAGAGTTGTTGAGATATTTTAATTTTTATGTTGTCTTCGAAAATCTCCAAATAGTCGCAGTCATTTAAAAAATTATTATTATAATTATTATTACGAAGAATAAAGTGCAGAGGAGAATCTATTTTGCACATTGATTGTTAGTAGCATAATACATATAATAAATAAAAATTGAAAAAATGTCAAGTTTGAATTTTATGAACACTGAAACTGAAATATAGAAAAAAAAGATTGTATTTGCTTTAATTTTTAAATTAGTACAACTATATGGCGAATTTCTAGAAATACATAAAAATTAGAATATCCCAACAACACTTTACACAAGGCGTATTTGTTTGTCTACTACGTTTATGAACCAGTCAGCTAAGGCCTCTGCTGATAATGTAGCATAGCATTTTGGAGCAAAGATTGGGAATTGACATTTACTATGCACATGTCATACTATCTACAAAACTTCTGGATTCCTTCTGTGTTGCTGTTGAATCGATGTTGCTGACGTTTCGCCAATCATCTTGTTGGCTTCTTCGGAGCTTAACTGAAGACTGTTCAAAACTGAACAGGTTTCAGTTAACCTCTGAAGAAGTCAACAGGATGATTCGCGAAACGTCAGCAACTTCCATTCAACAACAACGCAATAGTATTGACCTGCAGAAGTTTGTTTGAATAATAATGCACGTGTTGTTGCACATCTCGCTTTCAATCAATAACACCTGACCTCACAGTTCGTCAATCTTACATTTTCAAGTTAGGATATTTTAGTCTCAGATCGTATTAAATTTTACGGTGTTTAGGGCTTCTATATTATTTAATTCTATGCAATGGTGTATCAGCAGGTTACAAAATATACAACAATTTTATTACTTCAGTAATTTCAAATTTTTTCTTGCGTAAGAGAGTCGCACCATCTAAAAAGAGTTCTTTAGTTTTTCTTCGTTACTACAATTCTTTCTTCCAGTTCTTCGTACGCTGGAGATTTCCTCTGCATATAGTTCATAAACACATCCAAGTCGGTTTGGCCTATTTGAACGTTCCTCAAATTGTCTGTAAGAGCGCTGATTCTTTCCCCACCTTTCCTTAAATAGGATTGGACTATGATCCGATAAACTTTATTTGGGTCCACCTCCTCGTAGATTGGAATTTGGCATGCCTGACACCTAGCTTCTATATATACCACCCTACTCCCCTTGGGTTTTGTTAAATCGTACTCTATGTGAAGCCCTAGAACAAAACGTAAAGCTAGACAACCTGTCTGCCGATGTTAAAATCCCCACCAGACACTTGGAGTATGTTTAAATCTGAATATGAATCCGTATACTCCTCTGCCGGACAACCTTCTTCGAATATTTCTTTGAGGTATTTTCCTTCGATTTCCCCGACGTCTATAGTATTGCTGAAGGGCTGTGCTACCCACGCGTCGTCATATGTAATCTCTGTAAAATGAATGGAAAAATATTATTGCGAGAACAGTTGCTGTCGGTCCAAATGCAACATTACCGCCGATTTCTAATCCAGCTCGCATACCGGCTGCATTAATGATAGCTATGGAGGCGTACGTCCAGGAGTTGTTCTCTGCATGATCCAAATACTAAATAAACAGGATTATTCATTGATCCACTCTCCGTTTCTTCGCATTCGGATTAAAATACTTAGTGATAGTATGCAAAGGAATGACAAGGCAATTCAAACAAATATTTCCTAATATGTTGTACAATACGGAAGGGATAAAGTTGATTTATTGATATACCCTTAGAAAAATTTAAAAGCATTTACTTAGGTTTTCCTTTGTCAAAATTGTCGAATATTGCATTATATAATACTGTCATATATTATCAGTAACATTGATTTCGCTTTCGTGTAACTACTTTTTTTTATATACCCTGTAATAACATAACGTCCCTTTCCATTTTTCGTACGGTTGATTATTAGAACACTAGCCAAATATTATTGAGTTGAAAACAACTTGATTAATAATGTTGGATCGACAATTAAAAAAGTACAGGGCTTCTTGTTAATAACTCCAGTAAATTGGAATATATATGTAGTAAAACCATTTCGACCGCATGTTACAAATCTATTTTTCAGTCTCGAGAAGCCATCCTACGTATCTGCGTAATAACCCTCTAAATCTCAAAGGCTTTGAGAATGGAAATCTGTAATATCCATCAGTTTAGCTCGTTTACTTTGTCGCTGTGATATAGTTCCTTGTTCTTTGTAAGTTTCGTGTTCAAACATTTCTGCATACATTGATAGCTATCTCCTAGCCTTCTACTAATCACAAGTTTAATATAATTATATTGTTTTAAAATATTTTTAATATAGACCATTAACAACGGTTTAAAATAAACATAATGTTCGCAATACTTTTTTTATTCCAAATATTTTTATAAAATCTCTTTTGTGTTTCAAATCACATTGTTTATTAGCAAGCACGTGCAACAGCTTTTTGTGTTCATGAAAGAATCGATGGCATAAATTAACATTTCCCCCTTGATTTTATTTTAAAAATATTTTATAGTCCAAGATTAAACATTTATATTGACACAAACTGCTACTATTGAAATAATATCATTAAATATATGTACTGCGTATTCAGATTGCGTTGCCTAGAAATATGCCACTGCACTACAAGAAAGCATATTTTTGTTAATTGAAAGAAATAGTTTTTTCTTTTCAATTTATGTATTATAGCCAGATTTTTTTGTAAGTGACAGGCCAAGTTGTCATTTTTAAAACTGAAATTTATAAATATAGAAAACACATTTCTTAAACTGCTAAATACTTTTTTCGAATCTGAAACAAGTGTCGTTAAATATAAAACAGGCGAAAAAATAAAAAATATAGTGCGTCCAAAGTAAATAAAAATACGCGATAGTCTGGGGTCTTAAATAAATTTTTAAATTGGGCTGGGAAACAATCTTACGGTGTTCATTCATTTATTTCCTATCCGTACCGACCTAGCAAGAACAGATATTTTTGGATCTCTCATCAGATATTTATTTACTGTGCAATAGACTTTGGATAAAGCGGCCAATGCTTATCGAATCGAGCGGGGGCAGAAACGATACAGGAAAAATATCTGAACCAGAATTGTATTGATAGTGATTGACACATACCGCTTACAGAACACTTTGTTAGATATTTTTTTATCCTTCGCCCGGTTATAATTTGAAAATATATGTTTAATTCAAAGAAAAAGGCAGCCAGTCAAACTCGTAATCAAAATGCTCAAATTAGTCCGCTCAGTATATCTTCAACTTTATTCTACTGGCTAACTAACCAAAACTAATCAAACTTCTGTTCTTCCGTATTAACTGAGGTATCTCAGAAAGTACACAAAAACTACTTACTGCGAACACCATCGAATCGGCGATGAGGTTTCCCAAAAGGCACTCTTTATCGTAGCAGCCGACCCTTAGCTCAACCATACTAGAGCCTACTATTTCGTTGCCATAAGCACTGATTTGTTGTTTCCAGGGATCCAGAGCTTTCGTAATTTCCGGATCTAAAATGCACCAGAAGATGATATAACTCGGCTTTGGGTGATTTAAATGAAATTGGAACCACACCTTTAGCTATGGAAGTTTGCAGGAAAATAGGAGAGCCTATATGATCCACCACATTTCCAGTCTGATCGTAATAAACAGTGATGTTTCCAAGATATCTGGAAAATGATGAGGCTTGTACAATGAGTACCTGGTTTCCTTTGTCGTTGGTAATGATCGTTGGATAGGGACCCACTGGTTCCTCCGGCCCTGGAGCATCCTCTGCAACTTGGCATGGGAATTATTCTACTACCCCTCTAGCTTGTAAACTTACCTCCGGTATATAAAAATGAATGTGTATGCGCTCCAACGATCAAGCCAATTTTATCCGCAGCGTTGGCTGCTATATGCTTATCAACTTCGTAACCCGCATGGGATAATACCACGACTGTAAACACTCCCTCCTCTTTCACTAAGCGCTCCGCTTCTGCGTTGACGCTGGCCGATTCGTCGAGCAATTTAAGCTTTTCCAGTTTGGAAATTTCCTGTAAGCACCATCGGTTTGGTTTATTTGATGGAGGCGCAGCCGCAGCTTTACCACAATGTCCGTACAGATCACTCCAATTATACCGATTTTCTTTCCGTTTCTTTCAATTACGACGCTCTTGTTATAGAGTCCCTGAATACTCGGCTCGAGACTGTCGTCTATATTGGAAACGATAATAGGTGATTTCATGGCTTCCATATAGGGTATAACTCCAGCCAGCATATCATCAAATTCGTGATTTCCGAGAACCTGAAGATATGAAGTTAATGGAAGTAAGAATAAACAGTGAGCGATAATATTAATTAATTAATAGTTGTCGTATTATGCTTGTCATTTATTAAGGCCCCATATAGTCTGTCGGATACTAATAATTATATACGATGCCCGGCTTCGAACTTATCAGAGATTATCTTCACAATGGGAACAGTTATTTAACGGCCATGATTGCGACGCTGAGTAACTTTCAAAAATTATGTATATATGTGACTTTGATCATGTTCCGATTTAACATTCTATAAATAATTATGCACTATTGTCCAGGCTTGAAAACTGTCACCTTTCGCATTTTTTTGAAGTGGAGTACACTGTAAACCATCGTATTTTGGGTTAGACAATTTCAATTATACAGGGTGTTATTGAATAAGCATCCTGTATGACACATGATTTCAAAAGTATTTTTGTGGTAAAATGTTGCTTTATTTCGAGATACGAAAAAAAGTTTCTTACAAATGTTCCTTCGACTCTCCTGAAGATTTAAAATATTATAATTTTGTTGATACAGGGTGTGTCAAAAGTGTCCTACCCGACACCATCTTTGTTACTTTAAATGAAACACCCAACATATATATTTCGACATTTTTTGAATGCTTAGTTAAAATAAAGGACACTTTCTTAAGAAATTCCTATTCGAATTTGATATGAAATGAAACGTTGAGATTTTGTTAATTGAATTCGCCAAAACCTAACCACCTATTTGGGACACATAAGCTGAGGCGCATCTGTCAAAACTGATTAAGTAGTGCATCACCTCCTTAGTCTGTGGCCAAATTTTCGTCGCAATACCTGGATCAGTACTGTCACAACACAATTTAATATGGGGCAATCAAAATATGAAGGAAACACCTAACCTCAATTTCTGCCCAAACTGTGCAAAATTCGAATAAGAATTTCTTAAGAAAGTAACCTTTATTTTAATCAAGGATTCAAAATATGTCGAAATATATAGCGTGTTCCATTAAATAACAAATTTGATGTCGGTGGGAGACACTTTCGGGACACTCTGTACAGACAAAATTATAGTTTAAATCTTCAGGAGAGTTCAAGAAACTTTTGTAGGAAATTTTCTTTTGTATCTCGTATGGGTTTCCAAATCATGTAGTGGATCGTTTTATTTGGCGCACGGTGTACATATGACATGACGAAACTTAATTTATTTTTTAATTTATTATCAGTATCTATGATACTACTGTCCGACATCTCTGAAAGTTACTTCGCAAAGCTTTTAAAAGTTCTAGTGCGTCCGACTTAATTTCTTCGTAATTATTATGAGGTTTACTAAATTAGGAATAAGCACTAAAGAAAGTAGATGTCTTAGTTGCTTGATATTAACAAGAGTTAAGAAAAATAAAGTTCGAAAAGTCAAAAAAATTACATAAAAATCTTAATAAAAATCAACAAAACCGAGAATTTTATAACTTATGCCTTTAATTTGATACTATAGTGATACCAGGCAGTTATAACATGCAAAAAAATCAAGTACAGATGTCTTAGAAATACATACAGCTAGAATAAGTTCTAAAATACTCGAAAAATGCAATAACTTTTAGAAAATTTCATCTAATGTGTTAAAAGTCTATATAAGTATATAATGTATTCCTCAGACAAAATGCTGCTGTAAACAAATAATTGCGAAAAATTAAGTTTTCAAGCAACAAATAAATCAATAAATTGTTTTGACTATTAGCTATTTTGCATTTGGAAAGAAATTGTCCACCCGATAACCTACCACGGCATCCCAGTCGATTTTATTCAAAAATTCTTGCGTTATGTTCCATTTGCCTATCGTGTAGTACAACGACCCTTGGAAATTATCCCCGGCATTCAAAAGCACGGCGTCTGGATTCTCCGCCTTCATCTGACGTATCTGGGTATAAATTCTTGCAAACCCTCCTACGCACGCGCTCGCATTTTTGCAGTTGCCCCCCGAGTGGCTCACCTCGTCGAACCTGGCAAGGAATTATTCCGTACAAAACATTTTCCAGTCTCAACCCACCTTATTTAATCTAAACGGGATTTCCAAATTCGGCTATGAGAGATATAATTGAATCCTCATACCTGGAATGAAAATCATTTAAGTGGATCACAGATAACTCAAACACGCTCTCGGCGCCAACCGAAAGGCGAAAGATGAGGGTCCAAACCAAATACTCGACGAACATTTTAGAATGGTCTCCGGAAAAATTTTGCACGTTTATGTTTAGTTGTTAAATTGTAGAGGATTAGTTGTGATAAAGATTTTTTAAATGGTTTTATTGTTTTACGACAGTCGTCATAAATCTGATTCAAACAAGGATTCGCACCAACAAGTGAATTTATTTTACTAGTAAAATCATCAAGTAAATGTTAAATTTACTGACAGCGAAACTTTTGCTTGTATTTTTGATTTGTATTTTTTTTTTGTATTTATTGCAATTATCTTGACGCACTGATAACGAATTCAACATATTTTACCATGTTCGTTTTGCATTTGTAAAAGTGTTCTTGGTGAAAAATTGGAATATTCTATTCTATTCCTTTCCAAGCCTATAGATATAAATGTCGATTTCATTAACATTTTCTTTCGTTGTTTTCAAAACACACATTTAAGAGAAGCGAAATATTAATTTCTTAGCAATTTGAAATAACAAAGCTCTCAGTAGTGAGAACTGTGGCTAGAAATTGTATTTATTCAAAGTTCACATAAACAATCCGTCTTGAAACTCTAGAATCAAATTTAAGTCTGTTTATGCAGGGTCTTTCAAAAAACATGACAAAAACCTACGGCTACAGATTCATCATAAAAAAAACTCCATATAAACGTAGATCCGGGAATGATTCCAATAAACGGGATGTTAAAAAAAACGGCTTGTTCTAAAATACTTACTTCCTAGCCTTCATACCTGCAATAAGTGCATCATTTTCTTTAGTTTTTTTTCAACGATTGTGATTAAAGTCTCCAAAAAATAAATTGGTCGAAAAATTGCAGCCCACATTTTTTCCGGACAATTATTTCAAAAAAGGAATGGGAAGAACGGAACATTTTTTAATTTTCTTATTAAATTTTTGTGACACTTTATTTCAATCGGTAAACAGCATCAAAATAGTGATTTTTTTGGTATTCATAATTGATACGCACAAATATAGATCATGCCATACAAATGTAAAAATCAAATCAACTATTTTCGTTATTACACTTAAATGCTATATTCATAATAATGGTATTTATACAAGAACTGCCTAATTTATTGTTTATTTTTAAACAACATCCGTTCATGCAATAATTTGCAATAGGTGTAAATACTTTAATTGCCGTTATTTTTACCGCGATATACGGATGCAATTTGACTTGGATAAGTGCGTCAAAGTAATCGGAGAACGAGGAAAAACAGCAAAAACTCAGAATATGCACATTGATAAAGAAAACGAAATCGCAGATATGGAAGAAACACAAATGTACAGGTACCTCCGAATATTGGAAAATACTGGCGTGGAAGATAAAAAAAAGAAGCAAAAAGTATCCGAGGTATATAATGGCAGGGTTAGAAAAACTTATGGGAAAAACAAATCCGTGGTCATTAGAGGGCTCGCACCACCAGTCCTCGCATATAGTTAGGGCATTCTGGACTGGAGGACATAACAAGTATAGATCGAAAAGGCAGAAGCTACTGACCATCCTTAATCTACATCATCCGAAGGCGGGCGTGGATAGACTACATACGGTCAGAGAAAGCGGTCTACCCATAAGCAATGAGCATACTAACCATTTAACAATCATAGAGAAAAATATACACTGATGAATAAAGAGAAGTCGATAAGGACATAAGGACGCACAGATATTCAGATGGCTGACAACAGGAATATGAAAAGGAGAAACAGAATCTTTGATAGTCGCTGCTCAAGACCAGATTATTTCAACCAACTCTATCAGGCAAAAGTTATTCAAAGAAAAAGTATAGCATAAAGTACAAGCATAAAAGTACTTAGGAATTCTCCAGACCCACAAAATAGAACGTAAAGAAGTAAAAGCTACATTGATGAAAGAGTTTGAAAAACACCTTTACAACCTAAAAAGCTAAAACTCAAGAAATCTTTCCATAAATAACTATGCCATATCTGCTCTTCAGTAGTTCTTTGGAATAGTTAAATGGACCCAGACAGAGAGATAAGAACAGAATTTAGAAAATACAGAAAACCCCATCCAAAAGCGCCAGTTGAAAGTATAAATCTACCAAGAGAAAGAGGAATAAAAAGTGCCGTGGATGGCTGCAGTCAGACTTAAGAATTTTTTTCTATAACCAAAACAGCGAACTTCATCAAATTATAGTGACAGCGGAGACAGAATATACACCTATAAACTGAAGCGTGGGAAATTTATGCCATTTAGTACAAAAACTTACAATGACTTTCGTTCAAAAGAACTGTCTGGTAGATTTATTAATGACTTACAGAAAGACACAGTAGATCAAAGTAAATCTGTGAAACGGCTAAAGACAGGAAGGTTTTTTTTCAGAAACTGAAGGGTTTATGATTGATATACAAGATCGGATTATTAAAACAACTAATTACTAAAAGCATATCCTTAAGGAAGAAATACCAACAGATAGGTACAGAAAGTGCAACAAAAACCAAGAAACCGTAGAATATATATTATCTAGCTGTGAAAACCTGCTACAATTGTTTACTTAGACATACTGAAAAAAATTAAGCTCGAGTCTCAAAACAACGAGCCAGTTATAGAAAATCAGGAAAATTTATTGGGATAGAATCATCATGGCAGACGTAACAGCAACACATAACAGGCTTGATATTACAATTATTACAAAAAATTCAAAGAAGCGCCACCAATTGACATGGCGGTCCTAAATAACCCTAACCTAGAAAACAAATATAATGAATAACAAAACAAATATGCTGATCATTCCGGTTTTGTGTGTAAAAATTGGAGTAAAAATGAATAATAATAATAATAATAATAATAATAATAATAATAATAATAATAATAATAATAATAATAATAATAATAATAATAATAATAATAATAATAATAATAATAATAATGAATGTACAATAATTAAGACGAAATACTAAGTTGACCCTAAATATTGACAAGAATAAGGATGACAGTTAATATTAAAATGATGAAAATGATGCTAGTTATTACCTGACTATGAAACTTTGTAGAAATTGTGGAACACTCCTGAGTAATGTTTGCATTTTTTCTAAACTGACTGAGAGATAATATTTGCAACACAAGAATAATTATCATTTAAAAAAAATATTTGCTAATTAATATCTGCATAAAATTGTCACAGTTAAAAATATACAGGATGTATCACAACTACAAGTACTCGTTAGCAAATTATATTTGAAAAATTGAGAAATGATATAAAACAATTTCTTATTACACGTATCTGCCATTAGTATTAATGTGTATGAAAAAGAAAAAATCTCCATTACTACCCGTCGTCTTATTCTAATGTTGTCTGCATTACCGCACCCATTTCAGTTTACATCGAGTTTACTGTTCAAGTTTACATAAAAAGGTGCTATGACTGTGATGGGTTACCTTACATTTGTTAGTTATGTTAGTTATGTTTTCGCCGACGATACTTATAGATACTTCCGACCATTGCAATAATTGCCTGTTGCCAGGTTAAGTTTCAACTGATAAACCACGTTTTTTTATATAAGCAACGCACATGCGCTTTCAGACTATGTACGTCCTTAAAAAACGGTGACCGTTTTGTTGTATTTTGTTTATGTTTAAGATTAACGTTACGGCGTTTAACTTTATTTTTACAACATGTGTAACCATCTGAAAGGTGGCACAAGGACGCCTGGGCCGTCCGCCACAGCCGCAAATGGTACATTCATCTACCATCATTTATTCGCTGCAAATTAAACGAACGACAACTGTTTCGAAAAACAAAAAAATCCGGTTAATTTCGCCACCAATTTTGCATGTTGAAAACTACGCTGTTATTTCAGTCTCCCGTTTATGTTTGTTTGTGTGTGTGTCGAACAGCAATAATTTCTCGTAATTGAATTTTAATAACAAACCGAATAACAATGCCAGTCTCGAGGGAATTTACCTTTACGGTGTCGCGGTGTGCGTTTGTGTTTCAACTCGTTTGGATTTAACTAGCTGCGTGTAATTTCCGAATGTGTTTCCATACGTGCACCTGGGAGAGTATTGGCGTCGAAAATATGCGATTTTTTTCCCGAACGAAAATTTATCGGTGAGTTGAATTTGTGTTTGAACATTGTGGGTTCCGATGCCGTACTCTGCCTATGTGCGTTTATAAATAACTACCATTCGTGCTATCATCTAATCTGCGCTGCAGATAAGGTTGTGCGTGTGTAAGGTGTCTCAAAGCATGAAGAAAACGATGACGATAAACGATAATATTATATATACAGTGTGGGTCAAGGATGCACCGTAAAACTCATCTCATTTGATTTAATTGTGTTGTAAATATTGTTACTTTCGGGCAACACTCTATCAGCACAGTAGATTATTTCTTTCAAGAATTAGGAAGGGTGATTGCACAAGTTGGCTCTTAATGCTTTAAAAAATAATTGTGTAATTATATTATGTACCTATCTTCACCTTTTATTATTATGTTTTATATATTTTTTAGTTCTAATTATGCTCTACGTTTGTTTTGTGATTCATTTACACTTCTCTCAGTTTATTTTTTGAATTTGTTGTGCACCATTTGTGAAAGCTTGTCTTTTCTTTTCTTGGGACAATAAAGTATACATACAAAAATGCATTATGCATTATGCATGCAAAAATTCGACAAAAAGTCAGTAATTTGTTTAGGTACGAGTGTAGCGTTTAGGTACGTGTAGTGTTTAATTAACGAGTATATTGAAGAAGCTTACGAGTGTGTTGCATCTATATGTTTTTCGACAGACCTATAGATCATATTCAAAATGTTCATGCAACTGATAAATTATAATTAATTTTCTGTAGCCCAACTCATCAGTAGAAGCGCTATGCTTCCTCCGCGAGCATGAGTTGGAATTTTTAGCATTTGACTATTTACGTGTTGGAGATTTTTGCGAGTTGCGTAGTAATTCACTACCAAAAGAGCGTGAATGGTTTACAATTAACAAATGTGTGTGATTTATGATATTCTTTATAATTTTTTAACAGCATTACCTATGTTGTCATTAAAAAAATATATTTTAAATGCGCGCTTCCGGTATTTTAAAATTAATGATTAGGAAGAAACTGTAAAACAGATGGTGACTTCCCAAGGTTCTAAAATTGCTCGTTTTTAGGGTCTCCGCAAACTCCATAGGGCCTCCTCTTCCTTTTTTTAGCAAAATATTCATTTTCATATTGAAAAATTTTCCGAAAAACGTATTAGTTCAATGCTTAGTTCTTTTTAATTTATATCCATGATCACTTTAAGGCATAAAAATATATTGAGCAAACAGGTCGTAAAATATTAACTAGACTGAAAAATAATAATGATTATTATAACAGTCTTTCATTTAAGATTAAAAAAAAAATAGAATTTATAAACGAGGGTCAGTTCACTGGTCTAGCAAAAATGAGTATCTGTTCTTCCACCTAACCCGAAAAATAAATACATATTGCCATATACAAACAAATTGTTCATTACATTGTTCATCATTGTACATTTGGTTGAAATATTAAGGAGATAAAAAACTACAACATTAAAATATATTAAATGTAACAGGAGGAGAATAAAAATTAAATAAGAAGAAAACATAACAATTAACAAGAAAGTTTGTTTTTCAAATAGGTTTTGAAATACCTTCTTTTTAAACACAATTATTTAGATTAAAGATCTCGAATGCAAGCTGATTAAAAATAGATACAATCTGATACGGAAAAGATTTTTGAACATTTCTGTGGAGTATTTCGGAGTGGTAATTTTTCTCCGAAAACAAAGACTTACATTGTGAACATCTGACTTATACGTGTTCTCTGATCCCGCATTCTACAATTATTTAAGGCGAACATTTACGTCTCAGTTTCAGAGCGCTCGCTGCGCCAAAACTCGACGCAGCACTAATTCAGATATCACTTTTTTTGGAGTTCTAGTGATTGACACATGCAGCAGCAATTGCTTGCTTCGATCCCAGAATCATCCGTAAAAAATTACTTCTTGCCTATTTATTCTTGTCATCGGTATGTAGAGATATCATAGTTCCACAACGCACGACGTTTCGTTGGCAGTCGTTCAAATCACAACCGGCAAATACAAATATACGTTAACTCGCGTGTACTTCAGGTTTGTTTATTTTTGGAAGCACACGCACAGATGCGGCGATCTTAGATCGGTTCATCCAAATTGGCAGTATAGCGGCCAGTCACGTGTCGCGTACATTCTATTAATTACACCATGACAACGTGGGCCTCAAATCCACGGATATTAGCGATCATCATCCATTAATGATACCGGAAAAATTCCGTAGGAAAAAATGCGGTTATTATGGGTGAGTACGTAATTAAGCACCAGACAAATTGCTTTAACCTGTGCCGGAATGCGGAATATTTATTCCTCGATTTTGTTATTTACGAGGAGGAGTGGGTCGGACTGTGTTTATTTTTAACATTTCAACCACTTGATCCTTTAATGGAAAAGTATTTGCTACTAGTCCAGTCCATATTGCGATTTTAGTTTTTTTGGTTTTCTCCAAAATCAAGTGTACTTCCTATTTTACCAATTTTAAACACTTATTTTGACCCTTTACTGAAGATCGGTTAAAAAAGTTTTGAGTAATTCTCGTAGACTTTTCTAACAGAATCCACCTGTTCGACTTTTGCCTTAGGTCTTCAGTAATCACTTAGTAGTTATGGAGGAAATAAAATAAGCGCTAGCTGTCATCCAATGCAAATTATTTTAAACTTTGCGTAGGTGCATCGAAAAGTAATCATAAAATTATAATTACAATTTGAATATTTTTGCTGAGACATGATATTTTGGAAAAACTATATGGCATAGAATTTTACATGTGTGTTATTAATTTTTATTAACCGATTTCTCTTTGAGTTAATAGTAAGGGAACATCTGTCATTACATTTGTCCTCTTTAAAATAAGGTGGTATATCACAACTACAAAAAATCAATCCTTATTATCTCTTTATTAATTTATTACTAAATTATAATGCGAGATATTTAGGTACTGCTATTAAAAGCTTATGTTTGTTGGTGGTATTTTTGCTTCTTTTACTAATGTTTTGAATGTTTAAAGTTTTTGAGTTCATTCGTGACCTACAGATACGTTTTTTGACTGTAGTGTTTTTAATTTGTCTTTTTTTATTGGTACGCTATGTCGATTATAAAGTACTCGTCAGCGTGTTTAAAGCAAACTTTTAAAAACGCCCAAATTTTAAGTCAACCAGAGAAATATCAACAGCCGAAAAAATATGATGTCCAAATTTCCGCTTATTAATTAATGATCTGGCAGCAGTAACAATTAATATACTTTCTACTCTTCTATATATTCAGGCAAAAAAAACTAATGGTCATAGAAAAAGTATAGTATGCAATAAACATACTGCATACTATAAACAGACAATTCGCTCTGCTTGTGCCTAAATAAACTCGCGACTAAAGTTCAATTTATAAAATTTTTTCAGTAATAAAATATTCTACAACAGCTGTCAAAACTACTCACTTGTGGGTAATTTTTATTCACCGACTTTCATTTATTTTTAAAGATCAATTACTAACTGTAAAAAGTTCGGAAATCGGACTTTAGCATATATACCGATGGATGTGCATTATTTACAATGTCCGCAGGACAAATTCACAATTCACCGAAACTCGGATCGGATATCAAACAATCATGCCCGTGGATAAAACAACAATTTATGTTCGGTCTATATCAGTCGCCCAAATAGAAGTCGACTTTTGTTTGCAACCACATCGAATTAGTGGCAATCGATCTACTCGATTGCTGGCGTCTCGCTTTGATGTACGTTGGGATAACGTAATTCGATAATAGACCAACCTTTCAGGATGTTAAACCGATACCCTCTCTTCGCAATCTACAAAAGCACACAAATTAAAATGAAGTTTGGCTTGAGGATAATATGAACTTGATCATACGGTTTTCATATTACCTAACTTCATATTGGAGTTGTAGTAGACTATCATCTACTTAAAACAGATTTCGAAAAAAGAGAAAGATAATTAAAAACGTTTTAAAAAATCGAAAACAAGTATAAAACAAACTCTGTATAATAAATAAATTAAAAATTTAAAATTAATACTTTTACACTGTTATAGTCCCAGATATAATTGAATTAGAACTGTTTTCTAAGACTTAACTTTTCGTATTCGTAATTTGCACTAATTAGACGTAGATTGTTGCTGCGTCGAGATACAATTGATATGGGCGGTGAATTATACAGTCTGGCGACATCATTTAAATCCTTGCACGCGGTAGCGTATGCGCGTTCACGGTTCGAACATCGTCAATGGTAATTCAAAAGGCTTCACTCGGTTGCCAAATCGTGTGGTTCGTCTTAAACAATAAATATTTGGTTTACAAACATTGCAACTAACACTTCATGGGTAGTTGCCTAGAAAAATTGTGGCAAGCGCAACTTTTAGATAACGTTTTGTGTTAATTTTGATAACGCGTTGTATCCACCGAAGCCATTGTAGGAACCTTTATATGTTTTTGCTACAGCAGATTGTTAATAATCTTTCTTTTTTAACTATCCATATCCTATCCATATGGCGACCACTTTTCCAAATTTATTTCTATTTCTGGCCTTGTGAATGGGTTCTCCAATTGATTTTATTCTGTTGTCAATTGTCAAACATTTAGAGCTCATGGAATTTATTTTCTTTCCATTCCTCTTTTTCTCTCTCTCTCTCTCTCTCTCTCTCTCTCTCTCTCTATATATATATATATATATATATATATATATATATATATATATATATATATATATATATATATATATATATATATATATATATATATATATATATATATATATATATATATATATACATATATATATATATATATATATATATATATATATATATATATATATATATATATATATATATATATATATATATATATATATATTCGAAGTGTTTTCGGAGCGCGAGCATTGAAGATGCCAAGTGAGATTTTGGCGAAACGTCTGCAGGATTCCAGTCGGATGCAAGATTTGCAGGATTCCAGTCGGATGCAGGATTCCAGTCGGAGTTCAACGAGCGAACGGATGATATCCCGGAATATAGTGTCATCATATATATATATATATATATATATATATATATATATATATATATATATATATATATATATATATATATATATATATATATATATATATATATATATATATATATATATATATATATATATAGAGAGAGAGAGAGAGAGAGAGAGAGAGAGAGAGAGAAAGAGGAATGGAAGACCATTAGTTACGTTTTAGATAACATGAACGGTCAGTTGTGACCAATAAAAAAAGAAGAAAACAACTTTGTGATCTTCGATTGATTGATATTTATTCATTTAAAAACTCTTTAGTCTGTTAAGTTTTATTACTAGATACTCACCCAATAAAACTTAACAGACTAAAGAGTTTTTAAATGAATAAATATTAATCAATCGAAGATCAGAAAATTGTTTTCTTCCTTTTTTATTGGTCACAACTGACCGTTCATGTTATCTAAAACGTAACTAATGGTCTTAAAATGTTTAGCATGTGGTAAGAACGACGACCATAATCTGGAAACAGTGACATATTCAGTTATGTTAAATATCACCTCTTATGATGCTCGCTATACAATTACCTACTTACAAATTGTGTTCTTAAATCACCAGAGTATGGTTTCCTTAGTTTTATAAAAACACAAAAATGAGTTGTAAAAAGTATGTGTTGTGAGTTTTGACAAATAAGGACGGGGATCCACCGCAGATAGAAAAGACGTTTGATTGCTCACCTATTTTTTTTTTAATTTCCATGAGAGATTTACTGTTGCTGTAAAACGTAGTTTGAGCATTGTGTTTGATTTCAAACCATGCAGTGTTTCCTAGGCCAAACAACATATTTGACTTTGAATATCTAAAAGCCATATCGCCTCACAAAAAATCAACTTCATCCGGGGACTGAATTTGATGGGAGAAGTATAAAAAATCTTAATATCTTATTTCTCATAAACCCATTTCGCTTAGGAGGGACAATTTAAAGATTCGGTAAAATTCAGGTACGATGAAAAATATCGCTATAAAAATTAAAATCAATAACTTTTTCAAATTCTTAAAATTGTTGATACTGATATTACAAACCGGTTTGGCATGAAATCGAGTTTTTGCCGTAACCATCATTACAAAGTGGAACTCGGTTTTGGTTGGCACCATATTAGGGGGTTCAAAGCGGCAACGCCGCACTGCAACAGTGCCATTCCTACCAAAAAACATACCGTTTGCGGTCTACGCAACTAGTGTTAAAAACGCGTTTTCATACGCCCCAAATAAATTAATTTTAAGCACCCTATCAAAAGAAGACGACCGACTACCAACACTTTGTTCGGAAATGTTAAAACGTCGATATGAAGCGATTTTAAATCGCCTTGGAGTGTTGACTGATTCTGTTTGTGTGCCGGTGTAGAGAAGCGAACGACGTCATTCACCGGAAAACGGAAAGGTATTCTGTGGCTGCCAGTGGCGCGCGGTCATTTGTTATTCGCCGACGAGTTAGACAGTTACGTGCATGAATCTTAGATGAGTCTTCATGTCGGTTGTGGTAGTAGTTACGTGCGTGCGGTTTGGTCAGCATTCTATAACGCTACTCGTTATTTACAAGCGTGCAAATTACTTTATCTCAGGCTCATCCATCCACTACTCGTGGTTTATGTTGTCGTTTTGTCGATTTCTGGATGTTTGTGCAACTTAAGTCTTTTCGCTTTATGCTACTATTGAAAACAAATACTTAAGTTTATCATACGAATTATTTAAAACATGAAACAGTTATATATTTCTAGTAGGTGTTACAAAATAATCAAAATATTGTGACAAACTCTTCACTTAATTTGAATATTAGATAGTTTTATAAACGATATTTTAAAAACTGAACTGAGTTGGCTTTCACTTGATGAAAATCCATTTATCAAAATAAATAAGAACTGATAGTTCAGATTTTCACGAAATTATATATTTTGACATGACAATTGTTTCGACAACACCGTGTCTTTATCAAAAATTTGATAAAGACACGGTGTTGTCGAAACAATTGTCATGTAAAAATATATAATTTCGTAAAAATCTGAACTTTTAGTTCTTATTTATTTTGAACGATATTTTAGTCACGAGTTTGTTTAGGCACGAGCGGAACGCAGCGAGACCAGTATTTAATACACCATCCATTAGTTTTTGGGTGCATCCGACGTGACGTGACCATCAGAACTGACAAACATCAAAATAAACTTAGAGAAAACCAATATCATATTTTTAGTATTATTGGTACTGCAACATATCGTCTAAAAGTGTTCTAGCATACAAACGCAAATTGTTTGTGAAACAAAAATAAACTTCTTTTAATTTATTTTTTGTTGTAGGTGTTAAATGACCACTATGAGATTTCTTTGAGAGTCGGGATAAATAATATTTTATAGGGTCCATCCAGTCTTTTTTTTGCTTTCAATGAATGCACGTTCGTGGTTCTTTTGTATCTTTCGTGTTCGTTTTAGTGACAATGGTTTCTCGCTTTTTTTCAAAATTAAATGCTTGTAGTTTGTGTATTTATTTATCTCTCGCCTTTATTTTAAGTTCGGAGAAGGGTCACATGATCTATGAAGTTAACCCAGCACGTAACGTGACATACAATTTAATTTGGTATAAAAGAAAAGAACATATTTTGATAATATTACATAAAGGAAAATTATTCTATATATATATATATATATATATATATATATATATATATATATATATATATATATATATATATATATATATATATATATATATATATATATATATATATATATATATATATATATATATATATATATATATATATATATATATATATATATATATATATATATATATATCTTTGTATATAATTTGTGCTTGGCAAATCTGAGAATATTGAGCACTCTAACAGATGTTTACGAGAAAAAGCTATTACTCATGTTCTTCTACAAGGCATTTTATGAGGTACATCCAGCTTTAAGACTCAAAACTAATGCCAATACTAAATTGAATGAAAACTAAAAAAAAACTAAAACTAGCTGATGTTTATGATCTAGATGGTTATGAATCAATTGAATCTTCCTAAACTTAAATCCGTAATATTGTGACTGAGGGTATCGATAGCTTTCCTATAATAAAGTCCTCATGTGCTGCTGACAGAATGTCATCCAAAACTCTGAGCAAAGTGTATATGCACTGCACCCTTTGCGAAATCCTGACCACCATTTAGGTAAAACATTTTTATTAGTAAAATAGTCAACTATTTGCCTATAAATCAGTATAGCACGATTGCGATTCTCTCTGTGTAAAGTGGCAGTATATATCGACATGGTCTGAGATATCTAGATCCTGCTTTAAAGATATCTTAAGTGCCTTGACGGAGATAGGGGAATATTAACGTGATTTTTAATTTGTTCCAGAATGAACGATTCCGGAGTAAATAACAAATCGACGGAATTATATCAGGTGTTGGAGCCTCAAGCGCCGGTCCGACTCACCAGACATCGTTGGCATGAGTCACGAAGGTGAGTGGAATTTATTATTAAATATTGCGTGCGTTAAGTACATCGATAGTTTTACATTGTCGACTTCGTCTGTGGCGTGGTCTGCAGTTTATCGTTATTTGACCTTTAAATTGTTCATTCAACATCGATCGCGTTGTTAGGTGAGGATACAATGGTGACAAGGTACGATTTTGGTTATTCGGGTATTTTTGTTTAAAATTTAAGTGAGCAACCCAATCAGCTGATTAGTTTGTAATGATAATTTTTTTATGCTCGATTGACTGGGAAATGTTTCCTAGAGATGTAAACCCTAAGCCTTCAGTACACAATTAATTACATAGCAATTAACTGAGAAATATCTTTTTCAAAAATAAAATTCGTATGAAATACAAAACTGCTAAATCAGTGTCAGTAAACTATTCGAACCAGTTTTTTGTAGCTTCGGTCGTGCTGGCATTCTTTCTGAATTTTTAAATGTTACCCAGATACATAAGAATTTAAAAGTTTTATGGCAGATTTCTTATATACACTTTAAAGTCAGATATAGTTGACTATAAATATGGGTTTGGAATATGTCCGTTTTGTGCAGAATGCCTTCTTGGAGGATCTACGCCGATGTTTCCAAGGCATTGTATCGACCATACCTCCACACCATAACATGAATAGATAACAGATTAGATAACGGGCAGAAAAGAACTTTTTAAAAATTAAATTAATTAAATTAAATATATATTTTTTAATTAAATTAAAAATGATGTTTTCCAAGGTTCTAACCTTATGTCACTTCGATTTTTGATATTTATAAACAATATTTAGCAAGAGACGGGAGTGAGTCAAGGTTTGTTGTTAGCCTATGACGTCAAAATCCATAGGAAAATATCATCCTCAGATGATGACCGTGAGTTATAATGTCAGTTAAATTGCATTTCTATTCTAAAAATTCTAAAAATTCAATAATTTTTAATTATGAAATTGACAATACGAGTATACTACTTTCTCCCGTTGACACTATGTATGAAAGGAGAGTTAATTAAATTTTGTTCTGGTATACATCAGAGCGGCGCACTTAACTTGCCTGGGTTAAAAGGTCAAAGCAATTGCATCATAAGTTTCTGAGCAACCTAAACTATAAACAAGTATTAAATTATTATTCACTGAAGATCTCACTATCCTGTATTGTGAGATTTCCGAATCAGGATTCTAAAGATGTTATTTTTAAAGCAATTTCGTTTTTTAACTATAATTAATAGTTGTGTTTCGTTTTCTCTTTATTGCTATGATATTGCAAATTAGAATAGCTAATTAGTGTCTTACGAGTTGGGCTTGTCTCCTTGATAAATAAATACATAAATGTTTGCAAGTTTTTCCTTCGAAAAATTGTTTGTTTCGTCTATTATGTACTACTTAATTGTTCTTACCTCTTTCTTTTTTTACAAGCATTAAGTTACCACAGGTTCGATTTCTTCTAAAAATTTTAGTTATTTGGTTACTTGTCATTACGGGGTGCCACTGAGAGTGGCCCTTTTTGTCACATTGAGGTATCTTTGGTTTGTGTACGAATTTCATCGATCATGTTAAAATTAAACTGTCCTCTAATGAAATTATTCCACGAAGCCAGCACGCAGACGATCGGCCATCGCACATATTGTATGTTTCTAACAAGATTTGACCGTATTAAGTCGGTTAATCTCGTTTGGGTTTAGTCGCTACAAGGACGCGCAAAAATCAACGAAACCGCCGCGTTACACTTGCCTAATATTAGTACATTTTCGCCCTGCATGTGAGCTTATCGGTGGCTTTTGGGATCTGATCTAAATTATTCGTCGCAAGAGAGATGGCGGACGCGATGACGCAAAAGAAAAACTCTTTGGAAGTGCCAAAAGAAACGTGCAACGGGGCCGATAGCGACAGTGACATGGAAATCGAGGACGATGACGACGATGAAGGGTTAGTTGCTCAGAACTTTAAATGCTTTTGAAAGTCGTTCCGGTTAACAGCATCCATAATTTAGAAAGAGCTTTTGATATGGGTCACGTCAATTCTCTTGTAATACTGGTAAAAATTTAATTAAAACAAACATGTAATAAAAAAAATGTTTTTGATTATATTTTTCTATATAAAAAACCATCCGAATATCGTACAGGGTGGTCGTAATTGTAGTGTTTGTATCCATCTGCTGGGAATAGAAAAATTAAAGAAAAACATCTGAGTTCCCCAATATATTTTATTTAATAAAAGTGCTCTCATCTCATCCGAATCATAAATATATAAAAAAGTTATGGATCCAAAATTGACAATCGTCCTATAACTCTGTTAATAGAGAAATTATTACTATTAAACATTTCTCAAAAGTCAAACCCATAAAACGTAAGTCCATTTTGCTTTCTTTAGTTTAGAAATAGTGTTTTCCTCTTAAAACGCTCTGGTAATAATTTGACTCGCCATCTAGTTATATCTACGAAAACATTTACAATGATTATTATAAACAGGGTGGAAAACTTGAAGGTTATATCGTAAAGTACAGACAAAATGAAATTATTGTTTTCCGTATTGGGGTTTTTAAGACCTACACACCTTGAATCGTTTCTAAATTAGGGTCACACAAATTTGACTGCAATAGGAAGATGAGTTTGTTGAATGAAAGTAATGTGACAGCGGCGTTACTACAGATAGTTTATTAGAATTTAAATGTAATAATAATTATGGGCAGATAATTGAGACATAAATTATTCTAAGATGAAGTAAATAAAGACTTATATAGAAGTAATGGAAACAAATAAATTGTAACATTAGTTATTTAAAAAAATCTACTTTTTACAAAACAATTTCATCTGTAAATTTTAGTCATCATGTTTCCAGTAGTCATTTCAACTAGTCGTTGGAACGCAGAGAAAAAAATAAGGAGTTCTGCAGCGTTTTCTTCTAGCATATTATCAGCTTCTCACATTCCTTCTTCTATTTGGCAATCTTTGGACTCTCATTTACCACAGTTTCTTTTCTTCCTGTACTTCTCTTTGGTAGTCTGGTGGGCTGGCGTTTATCCTTGTACACAAATCGGTATAGTGTTGCCTGTACGACTCCTGTAATATCATCCAAATACATTTAAATTATTTTCGTAACTCCGAATGTTGAGTTTTGGTAGCGAGAATTATTTTGCATATATATATATATATATATATATATATATATATATATATATATATATATATATATATATATATATATATATATATATATATATATATATATATATATATATATATATATATATATATATATATATATATATATATATATAAATTATTAGAAAGTGCTGTTTTACTAATCCGTTTCTCAGCAACAAATGTAGAAATATTAGCCATTTTCAAGAACGTCAAAACTGCCGGAAAGTAACATATTTCTAATTTGAAACACTAAAGCACAGGTAGGTCGACCACTTCACTTTAGGACTTCACATTAGGACACAGAGCATACTAAAGATTAGAACACAATCTCAAAACATTAGAATTTCCTCTTAAATTAAACACAAGAAAATCGGGTATAGAGAAGGCTTCATACTTTTTTAATCAAAGCGTTCAAGCCCTAATTTTTCTAAAAAAAATATATAAAATTTTTTTTATAAGTGCACTTTATAGGTATTAGATATATTAATTAAATTTAAATGGAAAAAACAATGATCGTTGCATTAAAATTATAGAATGTGCAATTTTAGGTTTCAGATATGAACTGTAAAATTTTAATTGAGAACAGAACAAATACAGATATCAATTTTTTTGTTATAGTCGTGGTTAAAATATCAGTTTTTTAATGTGGCCCCCGGAATCAACGGCCATTTTCCTAAGCTGTAAAGTACGATTTTATAAACACTTCGTTTTACAACACCACCACTTAACAGCAGATTTTCCCCAGCCGAAGAATTAAATCCGACCGTTTTCAGATCTTCTAAGTATTATTTACACATCTTCTGGATTCCACCTGTGTCCTGTTGTTGATGATCTTGCTGAAGTTTCGCCAATCATTCTGTTGGCTGTACCTGCTTATGTATTGTTTAAAGGAGGTGGAGCTACAGGAAGGGTATGAGCATTGTCTTGTATGACTGATTCCAATGTTGGCCATAGGTGAAGGCCTGAGTTGTGGTTAAAATTGCTTATAGATTTCTATAGATTCTGCGATTTTTCATTGGTAGAAGAATTGATAACGTGCAAGAATTTTAGTTGTGTCGAATAAAATTTGATATTCGGTTTCGCCATTGTGTTCGGCAACTACCGATTAGGTTATTTAGCGTAGTCTTAAGGCTCTTTCTTGTTCTTTGAGACTAGTTGATATTTTTCGTCCGGTCTCTCCAATGTATTCTTTGCCATATATGCAAGGAACGCTGAAAACTACTGGCATCTCAAACCGAATTTTGTCTCTGACGGATCGTAAATGTAGGAGATTTTTGGACAAGTGGTAAATTTCGTTTTGACGTTAAATTTCCTGAGAACTTTTGATGTGTGGTCAGTGATGTATTGAATGTAAGGAAGTAGCAACTGCGGGATTGCTTTCGGACTCATTGTTTTTGGAAGGTTCTTGCGAAGTGTAATTTGTCATGGAACGCTTAATTATATGATTAGAGAGAAGAGCAGACGTAAGGTGTTTAAATTCTGGGTTTAGTGACTCGGGCTAAGATAGTTTTTCGACTCAGATGAACAATGCATTAAGATATCAGCCAATTTACATAAGGTTTTCTGTAAACAGAATAATCCAATGTTAGGTTTGATTTTTTATTGATAAGAATATTTAAGAATGGGAGATTATTATTAGTTTACAATTACAAATGGTATGTGAGGCTGTGTAGAGGTTAAATGGCAAAGAAAATCTCGTAGGGATTCTTGACCAAGACGCCACATAACACGATCTAGTTTCTTAGATATTAATATATTTGAAATAATGTTGAGGGATTCAGGAAAGGAATTAAGTACGAAACATTTTGCTAAAGAATATGTTTAAGACAATAGGTCGAAGGGGTTATATTGGTTTTTTGAATCATAGAGATCTCTGAGGAGACGAGAAATTTTAGAGTCATGAGGCGTGACAGACTTTTTCAAGCATTCTGTTAGGAGAAGCCTTAATTACAGATTTAAGGTTGCGTTCTATAGATGATGTTGGATCTTTTTTAAGTTGTGTAGGAATATCTTGAATTTTTTCCTGATATTTGACGCATTGTTCTAAAATCTGTAGAGTCTAATCCCGACATCGTAAATTTAAAAGCAGATAAAGGAAATGCCATGAACTCAAATCAATCAAAGAATTAAAACACCTTAGAGATATTAAGCGCTCCACTTCGTCACAACCTTCCCAAGACAATGAGTCCTAAAGCACCCTCACAATTGCCACTGTTGTTCTTCCATAGATTTAAAACATCATTGACCACAGAAGTTTTAAAGAAATACTAACGTCAAAACCAGATTTACCACTTGAGAGACCGGACGAAAAATTCCAATTAGGCTCAAAGAACATGCAGAGCCTTTAGACTACGACCAATAAACTCATCAGCGGTTGCCGAACACCATCACGAAACCTGACATCAAATTCTATTCTATAAAACTAAAATTCTTGCATGTAATCAATTCTTATACCAACGAAAAATCCTAGAATCTACAGAAACCAAACACTCTTAACCGCGACTCAGGTCTACCTTCCATCAATATGTGAGTCAGTCATCCGAGACAATGGTCAAGCTCCTCCTTTAGCTTTAAACAATACATAAGCAGGTACAGAGTAAAATGCGAACCAGTTTCGGTCAAGCTCTGAAAAAGCCAACAGGATGGTTGGAGACACGTCGGCAAGTTCAGTTCATCGACAACCGATGCAGGAGGAATCCAGAAGATTTGTGAATAGTATTACAGTGGCCTGAGGAAGTTTCTTTGAAAAATCGGTTAAGTACTTAGTTCATTCATGAGTTGTTACTAAAGATGTACTATATCAAATCTATATTTTGTTTTCAATTGTTTCTTTATTAGCCTGGGTCGAAAAACTCATAGTTTGTTTATAATATTTTGATTATATTTTTTTGCTCTTCTATGTCTAAGCATCCAATCTCCTATGATTCTTAATAATGTGTGTTTTGGATATTGCTGTTATTTTTGGGTCGCGCCCTTTATAAAATTAATAACGATATACCGTTATTTAGATTACTGAATTTGGCAAAGCTTGGTCGGCGTGTGAGATTTGATCCTTCCGTCATTCAAAGTCAAATTAGGGTGAAACCTAAATACAAGTGAGTGACCTCTTTATGTAAAAATTACCAGAAATTCAATTACTCAATACGCGCATGTGACTTTTCAACATTGTAAGATTTAAGAACTTCGAAAAATGCGACGAAAAAAAGAAAACACATAATCGATATGTTCCTAGAAAGATTAAATCATCTCCTTCTTTCTTTGTTCCAGGTAAGTCCGATTCCGTTCCGCCATTTAATGTAAGTACACTGTCGACTTGAAATTTTAAGCCTTACCTCTTAAAAGATTACAGCGTGTATAACGAGAAGCAGTTCGGCATCGTTCGTTAACTTTATATTTATACCTTTTTCGCTTCGTATGTTTTTCGGACGTTTTATAGCTCCCGAGTTAATAAGGCGGAGGGTAAGGATCGTAGTGTTTTCGTTGCATTAGCTTTTACAAGTTTGTTTCCAGGATAATCCGATAGGGATGGGCGACGGTGGGGCTAATGACAAACGACGGAGGAAGTAATACACTTTGATAGGTGAGTGAATCAAAGAAATCTAGGGAATAAGTTCTGCGGTGGGAACTAAATAAATAAATAACACACAGGAAAATAATTAAAACCAAAATGAAATGAAATTCTCGACTCCAGTCGGCTAGTTAAAATCCCTGAGGTCAGTGAGGATGGATGCTGTTGAAGTCGTTTGAGTCATATTTTACGTGTATTCTTATTCAAGATTTTATTAATATCATTAATGATGTATTAACATTTTTTCGGCACAGCAATTTTGTTTGTTCGCTGCTGACCTAAAAAATTTAGAGACAAATTACTTCACTTTCCGATTACCTAAAGCTTATGTAGTATGTTATGCAGAAGATAAACGAAATTTTAATCAAAAGTTTGATTTGGTTAGTTTTGGTTAGTTAAATAAACAAATAAATGAAGTTTATCGTTATTATTTACCACGCTCCGAAATCAGTGTTCGAACTAATTTTGGAGCGCGAGAATTGAAATGCCAAGTGGTGAAAGGATTCCAGTCGGAGGTCAACAAGTGAATGGACGATATCCCGTTTGAGGTCCACGAAGGAAAAATATAGGGAATTTTTCTATCGTGATGTCACGCGAAAACGCCTTCTGACGTCATGATGTGTTAAATCTCAATCGGTGGAAACTTTTCTATCAATTCTAGAGTACTCTTGACATTGTTCTAATAGCATTCGCATTGTTTACGTGTTTGTAGCGCTTTGGCGAGGTTCTTGATTTTTTTTTGGTGCAGTTTTAATAACAATTTCAATTTTGACTGAACAAGGATTTTTAAAGGCCCAGTCGGTTCATTTTTTAGTTGTGGATGCTTTTATAGTAGCTGAATTATTTTCAAACTTCGAGGACTTTACTCTATTTTAGTTATAGGTTATGTGTTCTAACCTCATTCGTGTGGCAATCGTGACGTTACAACCGATTTTGACAATTCTCTCCCGCTACACATCGATTCAACTTACACGCAAAATTATTCTCAGTAAATACAAAAATTGGCAATTGTAAGAAAAAATGCAAGGAAAAAATTGTAAATTGTAAATGTTGTATGAGACAACGTCGTATTTTGTATTAGGGAGTAGAAAAAATATATTAAATGTGAAGGATATAATGAATAATTATCGCTCCCATACACACCCCAAACAGGTAGGCAATCAAATGAAAAATTCATTCGGTTCGAATCTGTTACCGAGCTTTAATTTGTTAGAAACTTGGAAGTACTTTGCAGAACCAATTACAGTTTAAGTTGGTAGAAAGTTTTGCTCGAGATTGGCTTTGCGATCGGAATGGCTTTGAGAGAGTTTTTATTATTGAAAAATATTTGTCGAATATGGACAGGCAAGATTAGATTCGTTATATTGCTTTAAAAAGTATGAAACGAATAATACTGTATCCTCTTAAGGATTGATTGATACGATTGGCGGCACATACATGATTTCAAAACTGAAACTCTGAAATACATAAGGGAGGCAATTTTTCTAGCGAAAATGACACCCTGTTCCCGGAAGCTTTCCACTTAGAAGTCAGTAAAATAGGTGTCGCGTGATCAGAAAAATTTTTCAAAATATTGATATTCGCACTAAGATGTCACACGTGGGCGAGATTGGGAGTCTTCGGAACGGCCCTGATCGATCCGGACACAGTGCACGGTATTGGGTTAAAGGAGTTGCTGACCTTCTACAGGAGGGGCGGCATTCTGGACGCCTTCTAGAGCGGCCTGGGGGCACAACGGGCCCATCTGGTGGCCTAAGTGTTTGGACGCCCGCGAGGGCGCCCCCCTTTAATACCAATACCAATACCAATACCAATAAGATGTCACACACACAATACAATTGCAGTGTGTCAAATTAGAAACACAATATCTATTTAACGCGGAAACCATTTGCCATTTTTTTAATTTTCGGTTTTCGGGATATTCTGAAATAAACACCTGGAATATTTCTCTCTATGCGATTGATTGTCGCGAAGTGAATACTTGGCAGTATTTTTATTACGGGATAAAATTAAACCGTGGTATTTGCTTTTCGAAATCGGTTGAAACCAATAATTCGACGTCAAACAACTTAATAACATTTGTTAGATATAAATAAAAGCGGTGATTTCGGACCATTAAAAACGTTTAATTCTGTTTTTAAACAGAAATTTCATCCCAATTGCAAACGTTAAGTTCCAAAGTTCATCATTAATCATTTCTTTGAAAAAATTAATTCCATACATTTCTAAACTATAGCTTTCCACGGTTATCTGTGTAACTCCGCACAGGACAGCATCAAGTGGATTGTTGCAGTTTTTTTGTATCAAATTTGTTCAGACATTTCATTGAGCTTATTAAAAACGACCTCGGGTAAACATTCTTAGCACGAGAAGTATAGATGGATACTTCAGGATTATTTTTTACTTTATTTTTTTGATTACCCATTAATCGACGAATTTGTTCAACTGATGGCTGACCCCACCAGGAAAACAAGGGATACCTGTTTATTCTATTGTTTGCAGAATTTTAATGAATAATTAGGAATAATAAAAAAATGTCCTAGATTATTATTAGGACAGACAGTTAGACTAGGTGGACGGCATTTATTTTTCCCTATTGCAAATCGACATGAATTGCGCTGGGAATCTCCAACAAACGCTATTTCTACGTCCAGAAAAAATTACGGCCAGAGAAAAAGTAGACTTACTTCAATTGAATATTTATATTTATATATATAAGCAAAAGTTTAAACAAACATGAATCTACAACATTAAGCCGGGTTTCCACCCATTTTTTGTTTGTGTTTCTTTCGAACTAAAAAGGACAAAAGGAAAAGTGAAATAACCTGTCTTCGTTCTGTTGGAGTTTTATTTTCGATAATTTGAGAAAGAAACAAATCAGATAATTATTGGTTGCTTTGTTTTCAGCCATATTTGTTATCTATCATAAAACATAAAATCAGGCGAATTTCATAATTTGCAAAATCCGAAAGTTTAATAAAAATTACTTTTAATGTGATATAGATTTTTTGCTCCCTGGAATTTCTATAAAAATATTTTATTATATTATACTTACCGGTAAAAAGTTCTTATCCAAATTAACAAAACCAACTACAGGTCAAAATAAATAAGAACTAAAAGTTCAGATTTTCACGAAATTATATATTTTGATATGACAATTGTTTCGACAACACCGTGTCTTTATCAAATGTGATAAAGACACGGTGTTGTCGAAGCAAGCAATTGTCATGTCAAAATATATAATTTCGTGAAAATCTGAACTTTTAGTTCTTATTTATTTTGATAAATGGATTTTCATCAAGTAAAAGCCTCCTCAGTTCAACTACAAGTCAATAATAATGAACAAGAACCGTTTTTCAAACAAATTTCAAAACAAGTTGAAACCTTTTCATTTTACTGTTTCCGAGTGGTACCCGAACAAAAGACACTTTTGCAAAACATGACCGCCGTAAAAAAAATTGCAAAAAGTTGCACTTTTGTTTTATTTCACACGAGTTGGTGTTTTGTTCCTTTTGGTCCGTTGGAAAACCGGCATTAATGTTTTAAAAAACATATTGAACTCGCAACTAAAGCACTGTGTAACAAAAGCTTTGGTCTTGAATTGAAACACAAAATTTGATGAATATAAAAACATGGCAGAGCTAGAATCTGCAACATCTTAAATAATTGCCTAAGAGAGTGTAACTCTACACTTGTATATTTCTTCTATTGACCAAGTTAGGAAAGAAATACCATAGTGCATCTTAATTCAACTTCCACAGAGTAAATGTTTTCTTCCAAGTTCATTCTTCACTGAGAAATATTGTAAAATATTTGTCGGGTATTTTTTCACTGCTGACATGAAAGGTTAAGAGAGGTTAATTAAACTAACCGTGTAAGTAAGGGTAAGTACACTACACTTTTCTCCTTTCTACTCAAAACTTCTTAATAAATGAGGCATGAACATAACGGAAAGAAAATAATTTCCGTTGTTTGTTTTCATTGAACGAATACAGTGTTTTCCGGGACACTGTCGGATTATCTTTAGCCGCTCAAATCTTCCAAATAGAAAAATACCTAAGAGCAAATATTATAAATATTGTTTCGCCGCAATAGACGCGTCGTACTTTATTCGATGGAAAAATTTTCTCACATTGACATCTGATTAGTGGGTTTTCTGATGCGGTATAATTTTGTTTTTCAGATATGGTTGTAAAAAAACGTTCACGCATTTGATCGTTATAGATACAAGCGATTCTTATATCCATGATTGATCCTGTAATGTGTCTAACGACAGATTCGTACGACATGCTTGCGTTGTAATAATTGATGTGACCCGAAACTTTACCAAACGTGGGGCATGTGCCTGTTCCATTTTCGCCCCTTCGTTGTTTACCGCATCGATAAATCAAATTTTTCGGTTGGTTTTCCTAATCAACCTACGCTCGTTTTGTTCATGTTTTCGTCATTTTTTTTCGATGGACTTTGCCCTTGGCGTATAAGTTTTTTTCATATTTACAAGGTTTTTACCGGAAAAAGTTGTGTGGTTTTGTTATTCTGTATTAAGTATTGGTAGGTATGTGGAATAGGTTTAACATATACTGATTTCACGTTTCACTACGTATAGGTTCCATTTCTAATTGAAAAAACCTGTCTTCATTCTTTTTAAGTTTTGTAATTTTTCCTGTTGAAGTATTTCAATATTTCTCCACATTTGATTTGTTTTTCCTAGAATACATGTTGAAATGTCGAAATAACTTTGGGCGAACTGAAGCAGTAAATGTACCTAATTTGCACTTTTTTGCATTCGCTGTCATCACTTAATAGTCGGCAATATTTACACTTTTTTCAGCACAAGTTAAGGAGGACAGAGGCTTAGAGATGTTGGGCATTAAATTTTTAATAATCAATATTCTCTAAGATGTCGGCCCCCATTGCGAAAACGCTGCGTTCTATAAATGCGAAGCGCGGCTTCTTGGTTAATCAGTCATAAAGTGAAACCTTTGAGCTTGCAAATGCATTATATTAATATA